TATAATAATTAACGCCTCCACAATTTATTGCTAGCTGATTCCCTATTATTGCACCTTGTGTTACACACTATACGCTACAAAGGCCCATACCTCGAAGTCGGAGGGTCCATGTGGGACAGCATTGACGCCTTCTGGAAGCTCGGGTAGGGTTTTCAGGGGATTTCAAATTCAGGGGTTTGCGGCCAGTTTGGTTAGCTGGTTAGTTATGCCAGCAATGCCTAGTGGAGTTATCTTCATGTTATCCGTAACACTAGATTTAGTGTTGCGGCCAATCTAAAGCATCTAAAGACGGACATGGGTCATTTCCTCCGCGCGGCCTACTCCATTGCCCCAGCTATTAAGTAAAAAGATATGGAGCGTCCTGGTTGTTAATGAATAGAGAACCTCAACAGCAAAGATATCACAAGATTACAGGATGATCGATGACCTTGTTCTAACCCTGAATCATCCCAAGTTTGCATACAGTATGATGAACGACTCATAAGTTGCATAATTACTATATCAGATACCTACTAAAAGTGAATTTCAGAGTGTTTGTTAATGACACCTATTTTCCGATATCGAGGTGGTTTCTTGTTTTTAAAAAAAAACCTGTTAGTGTTCTTAATTCTGGAATGAATTAACAAACTTCAATTCGGGTTAATTGAGTCTCGACTGCTTGCATCATTTATTAGCGTGCTAACCAAACCTACCTAGAGTAAGTTCTTGAATAAGGTATTACCTGAGAGATAAGCACTATTTGTACTTTAGGTTTTGCTCGGGGTACAGCTGAGTGCCCCCTGCTGCACATAGACGACACTTCCTCCTCTACCTAGATAGATTTTGGTGGACCCAGGACCAGCCGAAGCAACCTTGTCCCAAGAACGACCACCTCAATCATATCTCACGACAGAACGTAGTGCATATCACAACGGTTCAAATTCCTCTCCTATTGAAATCGGTCCAGGTCAGGAGCAACTCCAAGAACTCAACAACACCCGGGCAGCATTCGCTCTGGTTTATCCTACGCAACGCCTGCGCTAGCGATTGGGGATCCTTGACAGGACCCTCCTACCTAATCCTCCATCTCCGCTTGGCTATCTCGCCTCTCGAACCCTTACCGTCTCCTTGATGCATACTGAATGACTTCGACTACGACCTTATTCGCTGTGCCGTAAGTGCCACGCACTTGTGTAAAGCCGAATCGACACAGCTCGAGAGAATCTACCGTCAACTTGGCAACGACTATCATGACCGACCGCTCTGCGCGGCCGTCGCCGCATCGGTCTTCATCGGCACTAGCATCCGCCAACTATTCCTCAGACACTGCCTCTGTTCGCCCGCGAAATCGGCGTCTTGCTAGCACGCTCGGCGATGACAGTGATACCGCTACCTCTCGCGAAGCCAGCCGCTCCCGCCGTGGCCGCAACATCGAAGTCCACAATACCAAAGCTTCTCCCTCTCCTGCACGAAGTTACGGCCTCTTGTCAGCATTGAGTCCTACAAACAGCCGTTCGACGAGTCCTCTTCCCTTGGATCGAGGAGCCTCCACTCCTCACCGAACCAACAGCGCAGCCAACCTTACCAACTTTTTGAACGACTCATTAACACAAAGCTGGGCTTCTATCCAAGGGTTTACCTCTTCTCTCATATCAGGTGACAATGTGGAAGCAAGGAGGAGCCAATCCCATAATCGAGCCGGCTCTCGACCTGGGACATGGGGAAGGGACTTTTCTAGTAACGGTAGCTCGAAGAAGACAGGTGGTGCTTGGGGCCCCGCGCCTCCCAGAGAACCGAATCTGAACGACGTGGGTGCTGGATCCCTAGAAGAGCGCGAAGCGGCTCTGAAAGCTGCAAAAAGGGCCATGGTACTGGAAAGCCACGATGGTGTCAATGGAGGACTGGATGTCAGTGGGAAGCATAAACGCCGAAATTCTGACGAATCTGCACCAGAGCAGTCTCAGCCTGAGGAGTACCTGGTCTATATCCACAAAGTCGAGCCCAATGACACTTATGCAGGCTTGATCTTGAAATATCAATGCCGTGAGGATGCCTTCAGAAAGGCAAACGGGCTCTGGACACGAGATAGCGTACAGGTGCGCAAATGGCTCACGATTCCAGTCGACGCTTGCGATATTCGTGGGCGACCTTGTGATCCACCGTCATGGCACAACGCACATGGTGTCGATCTACTCGCTCCGACACCCGCTGCTGAAGAGAATACATCAGCAGTCCACGATGACTTCTTCAGTCGTCCAACTAATGGAACACCATCAGCCACCCAATCAATCGAAGAAGAGAGGCCGTGGGCGCATGTGCGCTGGGTTAAGATTGACTCGTTCCCACAGCCAATAGAGATTGCGCGGGTTGCGCGGAATGCTATGGGTTACTTTCCGCCTCGACGAAAGAAGAGTATTAGGACTATTTCAACTCTCTCAACACCCCGGCAAAGTCTGGACCTATACAGCAATCCGCCTGGATCCACGGGTAACTCGTCTCGTCGCCGAAGCTCTCTTGGTCATCGGCCGCAGCTCTCGAATACTGTCATGTCAAGCCCAGTACGAGGCGGAGGCACGATCAGCGAAGCTGGTGAATCCCTACCCGCTTGGATGCGTCGGCCCGGAGGTGTCGGCTCCATGGGCATGAGTACACGAGCCCCTGGGCCAGACAAAGATTATCTGACTACATGGACTAAGAAGCATTTGCCCGGGCTCACGCTTGAGGGCGTACCCTCCATGTCTATCATGGGTTCAGAAACAGCCCATTTTGGTTTTAAATCGGGAGAGTCATCAAGCATTGTGGAAAACCCCACAGGTGAGGGACAGGACGCCAGCTCAACACAACAGGGCAACGGGCTGGATAAGGCCGCCGCCGCTGTAGAAACTTGGCTCAGGGGCGCTCTTGCACGGAAGCCAAGCTCGCAACTGGAAAGGATACGCGGAGTACCCGAGGGAAGGCCTGAACGGAACGGCGATTTGATAGAGTTGACTGATACCGGTAGTGATGATGGGGGACCTTCAACAGGAGTCCCGTCTGGCCTGATGGAGGCCCTGCAGATTACGAGTAGTGGTCGAAACGAGCCCGAAGGAGGCATCAGAGAAAGGTTGGCAGTCAAAGGTGGCAAGGGTGATTAAAACTCAGGGCTGCAGAACTTCAATCAAGGGAGTCATTGCAAGAGACCATGTAGAAATCTTTGGGGCCAGGCTGAGAACAGAGAGGCGTTAGTCGTGGAGGAATTGCATATTGCAGCTGATTTAAGCTGCAAGGCGTTTGGGGGCATTCGCGATGCTTCAGGATATATGCATAAATCACAGCAAAATTCGAGGAGCGTTTGAGAGTTTTTGGATTGGCTGGGTTTGTTCTCTACATTTACCAAGTCTTGGTATATTTCCAAAACATTTCAGAGAGCATCAGAACAACTCGTATATTGGACAGAGAAGATGCTCTATCGATACTTAGCTGCAGAGGAGAAAGGAAACACAATTACCAAATCATATTGAATCAACTTGTCTAGTAGTGGTGAAAGTAATGGTCTGCAAGATGTTCAATGTTGCTTTTATTGTTAGTGTGAGCCGGGTACCATATTATCCCCACCTCATTCCCGGCTTCGTTTAAACTGCGTGGCTCCTTTCAACAACCATACATATCACTGGCCATGATACCGGTCAAACTGTGTCAACCGCAAATTCTACCATAGCAAGCCACGTTTCTTTACAAAACTCGCGTAATAGCTACCGTAGGCTCAAGATGCCTATCTGCATCGAATGCAGGCACCCCGTGAAGACGCTATGGACAGCATATTCTGGCGCAGGGGACAAAGCAAGTGGACATAATATTCGACTTACTGTCTGTCGCAACTGTGGCTGCTTCTGCGACAAGTATGTCGAGCATGACTTTGTCGTTTTATTCATCGACCTGGTTCTTATAAAGCCTCAGGTACTATTCATCTCGAGTCCAAAAATAATGCAAGCTTCTAACGAATCGCAGGTGTATCGACATTTACTATATAACACGCTCATGCGCGACGATGATCGACTAGATGTAAGTCATGACGAACAAGTATGAGCCCTGTAGAGGTCCTGCTGACATCTTTTTAGCATTCTATCATCCGTCTAGGTATCCTGCTACTTCTCTTTGATGTGTACTTAACATGGGCACGGCTGGAGAAACAGACAGTGCCTGACGCTCTTCCAGGAGCGAGCAATCTAGGCAAATTGGCACAACAACCAATTGTCCTTCAATATCTTTTCTTCCGTAAGATGAAGTATCTCAGATCGATTACAAATTCTATAAACTAACTCTGTTACAGTAATATTTTGCGCCCTCTCAACCGCAGCATTCCATGTGAGCATACGCTTCCTCACATCCTCTGCATTTTCACCTCTCAATCTTTTGGGCATCCTGCCTCAGTACACGAGACCAAACTCGGTGTCCACAGCTCTTCTGGTCTCATCGTCTACCAAACTATTCCCTATCCTCATGGTGATCTGGGATTATGATGTTCCCGCCTCAGCTCGTTCACTCGGTTGGGCTGTCGTGGCAAACAACGTCGAGGCTCTGCGGATTCTTCTCGACTGTGGATATATAACAGCATGTTTCCTCGCCATCGCAGGGGCAGCCTCACGCTGGGTTGTCGGCCGGGGAGTTTTGCTCGCCGCGGGTCTCGCAGACGTCGACTCAATAGGCGAAAGCGGCGTGGCGGCAGACGGCAAAGCACTCTGGGCGCTGTTGATGTATGCCAGGGAATGGGCGGGTCGGCTCGCTGTCGGTTAAGGTTCAACACTGTAGGTAGGCGGCCAAGCAATCACGCTGGGACTCGAAGAAGAAAGGTGCATGTGCAGAGCGCATCTTGGGCTTGGTATAACAGGCATTCCAACTCCGTAAAGAAAACAGTAACAACAGTATGAGTGCCAAAAAAGACAAACATTTAAAAATACAAACGCATCCATCCTCATGACAGTCTCTCCCTTCTATCCGCCTCTTCCCCAAGACACATTGTAGGTCGAATTACAGGTCGAATTCTAATCGAGGTACTCTTCGCGGATACCGTTTTTTCTGGGCGCAATAAGGGGATGGAGCTGAGCGAGGAACGTAATAGCCCACATGAGATAGCAGCTCACGATGGCCAGGATGGCAGAAGATCGCCAGAGTCTGCAACAACACAAATCAGCATGGCGACCTAGGAATGGAAAGTCGCATCAACAGGAAAGGATATACTAACACTTGGTTTTCTCCCTTGGGAGCGAAGAACCACGATGCCACGCAAAGAACTGCGATGACAATGAGGCCAATGAAGACGGCGTATCTACAATGTTGTTAATTGGGCCGTCCACGCGTCGTTGATGGAAGGAGTCGTTGCGCACCCTTGAGCCATGACTGCGGTTGTACTTTGAGGATTATCCTGCCGGCAGGAGCTTCGTTTGGATGACTCCGAGTAGTAAATGTGGTTATTTTGCGGATAAGGAGCTTTCTTGAGGGTTGATGTCGTTGATGGTTGTGAGCTTGTTACTAGATTGGTTGCATCACTGAACTGCGCCAGGAGACTCAAAGCTGAGTCAGCCACCAGCCAAGCTCTTACCCTGGACCACCATATACCAACATCCATCTCCAGCATCTATATCAAATTTGTCTCGAAACAAGTCATTTCTCTCCATTCAGGTTCTTAAATACAATTAATCACTCTTGATTTAGGTACTTTTACCGTCATTAATAGATACCGGTTTCTCCTTTTTTTCAGATACAACCTAGCGTAAAATGAAACGTTCGGTTCTCTTCAGCTTCATTTCCTAGTGTAATTGATAAAATATCTTTAAATTTCTAGGCATTGTTTTCATAATCGAGACCAGACTCTTTACGAACAGCTCCGTAAATACCAGCCATGTCTGCAGATGAACCAACGTGGTCAAAGGCCATTGCCAGATGTGCGTCTGCGGCCTCGACATTTCGAAGCTGAACACCAGCAGACTTGGCCAAACTCATAGCATGTCGAGCATCCTTTCTTGCCAGTTCGACAGCGAAAAGGGGCTCATCGCGCTTGTAATAATCTCCAGTCAACATACGCTCGCTATAGGAGGCATAAGGTCCTCCAAAAACCGATTTGACAAATTGATGGATGGCTTCAGTGCCTAGTCCAGTCTTTTCCGCCGCAACATGAGCCTCGGCGAGCTGCTCGGCCATGTTCAAAATGAAGGTGTTTCCGAGGACCTTGAGAGTCAAAGCCTTGCTGTACGGCTGATCGGAAAGGTCAATATCGGCCTTGGAGGTGACGCCCTGGAACCACGCCTTGGCTTTTGTGACACTGGCAGCAGGTCCAGCAAGCACCCCGACAAGCTGACCAGCTTCGGCCATCTCAGGGGCACCAAACACAGGTGCGGCAACAAACTCGGCGCCCTTGGCGATGACATCTTTGGCGATGGCTTCGGTTGTCTCTGGGTGGATAGTTGAACTCTCGATGAAGAGCTTGCCTTTGACATCGCTCTCAAGCATTGTTTTATAAGTCTCCTGGACAGCCTCATCATTGGCAATACAGGAGAAGATAACATCTGCTCTTGCGACACCATCGGCAAGGGACTCGATAACTTCAGTTTTGCCGTCGGGGAGTGTAGCACTAAAGTCAGCTGTCCTCTTGGTAGAGCGGTTGTACAGGAGCAGAGGTCCGTCTAGGTTGCCCTTCTCAACAATGTTCTTGCTCATGCCCTGCTCTCATCAGCTTTCTTATTCAAGGGCCCTTCCAAGGACACTTATAAGACTCACCCTCCCCATGTTCCCGAGACCAATCCATAATAATGTAGGAGCCATGGCGATATGAACCGGTTGTGATGTCTAGGCCCCGTAGTTGATATCTAATCAATGAAAAGAGTGTATTACAGCTTAGAGACTTCTCAACGCCTCACTAGAATGTCTACGTACGTCTTTTATAAGATGGAGATACGGAGTTCACTCTCCGCCGAGATCACAGCTAGGTGGGGTTTAGAGGGACTGGGCGGGTGTAATACGGGATTGCTTGAGGAAAGAAGTTATCATTTGTGTTGGAATCCTCCATTGAGGTTGTTGCATCAGGTAGTTTAGAACATATTTAGTCCATCCCAACCTACGTATCCTAAGTATTTCATAATGTTTAGTCGAAGAGTTTATATAGATGCCTCGAATACTTCACAATTTTGACGAATGAACACCACTTGGTAGTTCTGTAGCTGGAGGGATGTATATGATGCAGCTGCCCCAAGCTGTTGTTGGTTTGAGCTGCCTCTCCACATTAGGACAGGGTCTTAAGGTACTGAGGTAAAGTTTGGAGCAGTGACTATGTCCTCGATCGGACACACGCGACAAGTTGAATGTTTAGATCACAATGTAATTAATACACACAAACTTCTAGTTTAGTTCTCTTGGTGTCCACTGAGATGTATCCATAGCTTGTAGTTCTAGACAGACAATTGCCGACAGTATCCATCGTCATCACTAACATGGATACCTTTAGCGACATCGGCATCGAATCTGGGGCTTATCAGCTTATCGCGCACATGTCATTGTCCTAAAAAAAAGTTGTTTAACCTCCACTACCCGGGGGTTCAGTCTAGTCGAGCTATTTGATCTGATAAGTAAGGTCCCCCAGGCCCAGTTCTCCTCGGCTGAGTTTTGACTCACGGGCGTCACACTCATATTTGCATCTGCACCTGCACTCTCCTCTTATTGAGGAGTCAGCCAGTGATGCTCTGCAGTTAACATTGATTCTTCTCCCCCTACGACCGCTCTCAATCCACAATATCACAGGTCATCCGGGGGAGGTTCTCCCACCCAAAGTCAAAGCTCCTATACTTATCAACTTATATCCACTGCCGCCAGCAACCAAAGTCTGTCTTGTGGCATCATGAGTTGGCCTCGTATACTGAAGCAAGCACCTCGGTGCAGTCATTGTGCGCCAGCTACGGAACCACAATTTGCAGCATCTCTGCATGATATCACCAATCCCTTCCGATCTCGCTTTCGTGGTTTTGCTTCACAACACGGCAACAAAAGCTCGTCAGCCGCATGTCTCGGCAAAGGCGTCACCCGCCGCTTGTCGCCAGCTTCTACAGCGCTTGCAAAGAAAAAGGCCATTGACAGAGTATGTCGACCCAACCAGCACTTACTACTGTAATGCCTGTTCGTTTGCCTAACATATATTCAGGACTTTATCGTCTCCGTCTTGGAGTCGGCAACGAAGCGAGATGCCAAAGGCTATCTACAGAAATATACCAGCAAGAACCCAAAGTCCCTCGCAGATGCGCCTTTGTTCGTCCAAGGTGAACTTCAGCAGGAAGCTGTGCCCGAAGCACCGAAACCTCCACATGTTGCCATCATGAAGCTTCGCGTTCCTCAGGAGATTGATGATGAGACTCTTGACGGAGTTGCGAACACACTATCCCAATTGCGTAAACTGGGCCTCTTGAGCGTGGTTGTGATCGATTGTGGCATGGATGAATCCCGTATGACTTTCCAAGAACAGACTTTCCGGCTCTGTGAGGCCATTGATCGGTTCGGAGAGCATGGTGCTCGCGCTGTCGACAATGCGTTTGTGTACTCAGAGCCCTCTGCGCAAGAGAGTGTGTCGGAAGCATCGTCGCCCATTGATATTCGAGTTGAAGACCCTGGTTTTCTTGACCGCATCCTGCACCACAGGATGATGCCAGTTATTCCTTCAGTTGTCACTCGTGATGTCACCCGACCACCTCAGCCTGTTGACTCAAATCAAATCGTGTTGGCACTGACCCGATACTTTGCTGGCCTGCAGTTCAATAGTGTTGGTGAACATAGTAAGGTTGATACTGCTCATTCCAAGCCAATGGCTCTGGTGGAGAGAATTATCCTTCTCGATCCTCTTGGAGCAACACCAATGACCGGACGGCCTGGAGCAGCCCACCGGTTCATCAATCTGCAGCAGGAATACGGGCCGATCCTTAAAGAACTTATGGGACCAGATGGGTCTCCTCTTGGAGATGACAAGGACCTTTGCGCCTCAACTACGGCCCACGCTGCGAATTTGGCTCTGGCCAGAGACACACTAGCGATGTTGCCGCACACATCATCAGCTCTCATTACTACACCCGAAGCTGCAGCCAACCTTACTGAGATCCCACTCAAGTCTTCCGGACTGACAGGATCCGAATCTGGTTTTGAGATGGGCGGCATGGTTACAACTCGGCGCAAAAAGAACCCACTGTTGCACAACCTTCTCACAGATAAGCCTGTGTTCTCGTCGTCTCTACCTATGGCGCGCGCTCCAACCAACTCTGGTAAGGGGCAGACTGTGGGCGCATCTTCGGGCTCAACTCTGCTCAAGAAGGGCATGCCCCTTCGACTGTTTCCACATCCTCGACAGGATCCATGGCGTCCGCCCAAGCCCGGTGCACCTCGTTTGCGCTTGACTGACAAGTGTATCGACCTTCCTCGACTGGTCCATCTGATTGAAGACTCATTTGGCAGAAAATTAGACGTTGATGACTATCTTAACAGAGTAAACGAAAATCTTGCTGGCGTCATCATTGCCGGAGATTATGAGGGTGGAGCTATTCTAACCTGGGAGAAGCCCCAGGGCTTGGATGATCAGACTGCTTACGAACAAGGCCGCTATGTGCCCTACTTGGACAAGTTTGCCGTCCTGAGGAAGAGTCAGGGCAGTAGTGGCTGCGCTGATATTGTGTTTAACGCAATGGTACGGGGCTGTCTTCCTGAAGGTGTATCTTGGCGAAGCCGGAAGGACAACCCTGTCAACAAGTGGTACTTTGAGCGATCTTTGGGAACCAAAAAGCTATCAGGTTGCAACTGGACGATGTTTTGGACAACACCAAAGTTGCATATCGAAAGCCCTGTACTACAGGACTACGAGTCTGTATGCAGGGGAGTAGAGCCTTCTTGGGCAGACAACAAACACATCTTGGACTGAATGGGCAGAAGAGGGATGTTTGAACAAAATACAAACGAGATGGAATAGATATGCAGAACCCGCAAGGATACAATGAAGCCATCTACAAACATAAGAGACACCTCTGCCGTAATTTGAAGTATAACAAGAACTAATAGCTGATTTGCCGATGTCACATGTGAAACGAATGGAGCCCCTTGCCTTATACCATGGGCAATGTCTTGGAGAGATTCATGCGTAAACCTCTATTAGAATGGAGGAAGGGACTCGTAATCGGGGTGGCTTATCTTCAACACTTGTGATGGAAGAGAAGTAGCAGTCTAATAAGTGGCTGATATTCCAGAAGCTACTAAAATCTATCATTACAACTGAAGCTAATCAAATCAGGACTCGGGAGTTTTGTATCGTGCTATACCAGCAAAAGAGCTAGGGCCACCTTGCGGATCTGCACTCGCCTACCAAGGTGGACAAGCTAGACCCGTTTTTGAATGAGTTCAAGGAGGGGAAGACCGTTTCCCAGGGACCTGTGGACAAGAAGGGAGGGGCGCAAGCCCCTGGATAAGGGAATCCTCCAAGGCTCCAACCAGCTACAGGACAGGTCTTATCCAGTGGAAGATTTCAATTCGTAGTGGAGCGTTCCCATATCTTCAGCCAAATCCCATCCATGCCTCTTTAACTTGACTCCTGCCTCGACCTAAGCTGACGCAAAGAGCCTCCTGTCACTTTTGCCCCTAACAAAACCTCCAATCGATATCCTACCTCGAAACCACCAAAACACCCAATCGACCCAAACAAACCGACAAGATGGATTTCGGAAACCTCGGAGGAACTTTCGGAAATGTTGGAAAGCAGCTTTCGTATGTGCTCCCCTAGCACTCGCAAGACATGCAAGCTTGCAGCATCTTGTCCCCCAAAGCTTTCGTCATGATGCAATCCCAATATAATGCTCACCGCTATGAAACAGCAACTTCGGAGCCTCTGTTACCCCCTTTGCGTCGCGCACTTTCCAATACACCAAGGAGCAGTTCGGCCAGACTGAGGACAAGGTGGGTTGAACCTTTTCGCATTCTTATCGCAGTCATCCTCCTGACATGTGGCCCTACAGACCCAGCTCCCTCCCGACTATATCGACCTCGAGAAGCGTGTCGATGCCCTTAAGCAAGCCCACCAAAAGATGCTTGCTGTGACGTGAGTTTACATAATACCGACCTGCGCTACATGCCCGGGAGTTGGTATTCTGACATCGCTTTATAGCTCGCAATACTCCAACGAGGCCTACGACTACCCCCCTAACATCAAGGAGACATTCCAGGACCTCGGCCGCACCGTCAGCGAAAAGGTCAGCCTTCTTTCTTCAGCCACCTCTCCTGCCGAGGCCCAGGCTGCCCTTGTTGCTCCTCCCGCTGCCAAGCCTCAGCCCAAGACTTTCAGCCATGCTGTCGCCCGCGCCAGTCTGGCCAGCAGCCAGCTCCTCCACCAGCACCACACCGGTGCCGGTGAAGACCCTCTTGCGACGGCCCTGGAAAAGTATGCGCTTGCCAGCGAGCGTGTTGGTGAGGCCCGACTTGCCCAGGATGCCCAGATCCAGAGCCGCTTCCTCGCTGGCTGGAACACTACTCTCAACACCAACCTGACTTTTGCCACCCGTGCCCGCAAGAACGTTGAGAACTCCCGTCTGTCCCTGGACGCCGTCAAGGCTCACGCCAAGGGCACCACTTTCCGCATTGGTGGTGGCCAACACGACCAGGCCCATGAGGAGCAAGAGTTGAGCCCTGAGGCCCAGGAAGAGGTTGAGAAGGCCGAAGACGAGTTCGTCACCCAAACTGAGGAGGCCGTTGGTGTTATGAAGAATGTGAGTTTAAGCTTGAAATTGAGCATCATGTGCCCTAATGTTAACTGTGCTAGGTTCTTGATACACCCGAGCCTCTGCGCAACCTTGCCGAGCTTGTTTCTGCTCAAATTGAGTACCACAAGAAGGCATACGAGATTCTCACCGAGCTCGCCCCTGTCATTGAGGGTCTTCAGTCTGAGCAAGAAGTGCGTCGTGCCTCTGCCTTTTGATTCGTTATGAAAAGGGGCTGACATATTGTGCTTTAGGCCGCGTACCGAAAGAGCCGAGAGGAATCTTCTTAAGTTGGCGGCAATCAAAGGGAGGATGGCATGAGATTCGTTGAAGATCGCGACATGGCTATGCCGAGTTGGGCCTCAGGAGGTCCATGATCTGAGCGAACATGAGCCTGTGTGTTTTCTTTTTTAGTTTTCCTGCGTCAAGGTTACATGTTATGTCGGACGGTATAAGATATTGTCTTGATCAAAGGTATTGAGATATCAAGCAACCCAAGATTTGAGGGTCTTCTTTTTTTAATATGCGTAGAAAGTCTACGGCTTGATCCACAGGATAAGACTCGTAGTGATGTATGTTTATAGCTTGATTTGACCTGATATCGTCAACGGAGTGTTTTGGAATCATTCAGAGCCACGTTGGATTTGGCCATGCTAAATCTGAATTGGAACAACAAGCTCGCTTTGTCTTCTTTCTTTTTGGAATACAATACGCTCCTGGTTTAAGCTCATGACCGATTATTCGATAGGTATAAGCAAGTGGTGATGCTGTTATCGACATGAGCCTGTCACGTGACGGTACACGTGCAGACCGGATCGGCAATGGTGGGCTGGAGTCCAATGAGGTCAATTCAATTTCCTCTGACCATTCCATCTACCTTTAAGTCACGACGAAGTAATTCCAATTGACCTCGCCAGCATGAGGCCAACAGCTCGTGTGTTTGCGCGCTACTTGGAGGCCGGTACTCCTACCGGTCTCACCGGTCTCTGGACTCATGCCACCCCCAGATCGACCCTCCTCTTCCTCTACGGAACGACCCTCAACAAGCTCCAGAACATCCCTGAGAACTCCATGTACCGCCAATCCGTCGAGGCTGTGACAAAGCACCGCCTGTCCCTTGTCGAGCAGATGGTCCCCCCCGGATATAACGAATGGGCGGTCCGCGCCAAGGAGCTCGTCAGCAAGAACTCGTCACAGTTCCGCGTTTCCAGCGGCCGCGTTGACGGTAGCGAGGCTCACACCGTCAAGCTCGGCGACAAGATCTTTGTGGTTGGAAGAAAGCACGAGGCTGGTGATGTCCGAATCGAGGAGTGGAATGGCGAGGAAGATGAGGGTTCTGAGTACGAGGGTATCCGAACTCTCAAGGAGCGAGAGGACCAAGCTACCTGGGCGGAGCGCAAGCCTCTTGAGGACCATGAGAAGGTCGAGTGGGAGGATGAGCCTCAGATGACCGCTGACCAGTATGTTTCCCTCTGAACGGTTGGGAACAGGACATTTTAGCTAATCGATTTGACAGAGTCCATGAGCTCGAGCAGAAGATCGGAGCTGGTCTTATCGAGGAGGTTATCCAGGTTGCCGAGGGCGAGCTCAAGCTGGTTGAGACAATGGAAAAGTCCAAGGTGTAAGTTACGACGTTCTTTGGCGACACATTACAACTATACTGACAAAAAACACAGCTGGGAGGACCTCGATGAGAAGCCTGTCCCTGGCCAGTGGACTTACTTTGACCGAACCTAAACAAAGCAGCTGACGAATGAGGCAATTGTAAAAGTAGAGGGGAGGTTATGTATATAGGATGCGTATGCTGGGCTTTGCGACTGGGTCAATGAAATGAAACAGAGCTTGATTGATCATTTGCTTGTTTGCGATGAACTTTGATGATGACGATCAGATTTCATCAAGTGATGGTGGCCCTTTGCCGCAATACTTGGAAGCAACTCGATTCCGTGGCATTGAGTGTGGTGTTTTCCGCAAAGGTTCGGCTCAGTTGCATGTCAACGGATTCACCTCAAACCATAATGTAGAGCTGGCAATACTAGTGGGGCCAAACTCTTGAAGACTTTCAACCTTACATGAATATCTACTAAACACACATTTACATCCTCACCACAACTATGGCGTCCCTACTAGATCCGCCATTTTTTTCACAGCAAAGCCAATCTAACAAGCGTAAGAGACTAGAAACCACAGATGAAGAATTCCCGAGCTCCTTGCCTACAGGCCCCATCAACCCTTTGAGCCACTCACCTGGTGTAATCGCACAGTTTGCCATCGCAGGCCTCTCAGAAGCAGATGAGGATCCCTCGCAACGGATTCGCGACTTTCCTCACCGTAGTCTTGTTGGACACGGTGCATCCGCCGTTGAAGTCGAGAGCGATGAGGATCCAGAGACAGAAGGCGACGAAGCAGCACACCCGAAGTCGAAAAAGAACACCACCCGCAAGCGCGGCGGACACTTTGACGTTCTCCTGCAATCTACTCACCATTTTATCGACCGGGGAGAAATGGAAAAGGCAGCTCGCACCTACGGTCTGCTACTGCAATTACGGCCGTCTGGTCTGCCCGTTGATATTCGGCATCACGACCTTTGGGCCATCGGCGCTGAAATCCTGATGCGTGAGGGTGAAGGCTCTGCCCGGGAACGTGAAGAAGACCAAGAGAAATCACCAACGCCTACGAAGAGATGGGGCCGAGCAGAAAATATGAGCAAAGTCAGAGCTTATTTCGATACACTTATTCAACAGCATCCATACGACTACAAGACGCCCAATATTGTTTCAGCATTCGATTTCTGGATTGCCATGTTCAGTTGTGAAATTTACAATGCACACGCAGAGCATACATTGGCACTGGAACGATTAAGTTCTGGCGCTGAAGAGGACTATCGCCGCGAATCGTTTGGCCATGACGATAGCTTTGGCAGTGATGACACAGAAAGCTCTGAAGCAAGGCTGGTGCGGAAAAAAGATGAGTTACGGCTTCAAGCACTATCTGCCATGCAGGATATCACGAAGAGGATGGACGTATTGATACAAGACATGCCATACTCGAGAAATCAGCAATATCTTCGCTTACGCGCAATGGCCTCTCTCTACATTGCAGACCTCGTTGTACCCATCGGTCCAGGCTCAATGCTCCAGACCCAACAAGGACAGCAAGCAAGACTAATGGAGCAAGATAGGGCTAGGAAGTCTCTGATGAGGATCGTGACATATGGAGGCGAACTTGACAATGCTGCATTAAGAGTTTTGAATCCCTCTGATGATTCTGAAGGAGATACTTCACTATCACTATATTCTAGCCTTCCAATAAGAGGGCTTTAGCCTTGAGCACAGCTCTAAACGGCAGTGCTTTGTGTCGGTGCAGAAGGAGGCACGGACGCAGAAACGGAAGCGGAAGCGGAAGCAGATGCTCTAGAAGTTGAGCCCTTGCTAGCCCATCGCTGGAGAATCAGCGCTTGATTTGAACTGCCCACCACAACACACCACTCGCCGCCAGGACTCCAGGCTGTCTGTCGACCCACAAAGTTGGCCGATGATGACTCTGTCTTATGCGCCTTCAGAGGCTCATGAGGATCATCTTGACTGTACCTAGACGCCCAGGTCTCGAGGGTTTCTGCGTTATAGTCCCCAATCTCTTCACTTAACTTGATAGCGTCTGCACGGAAAGTACTCGGAACATCTTTTTCGCCGCCTCCATGCCGACCTTTGGAGTCTGACTTGGAACGACCCTTTACTGGTCTCATCCAGCTGGGGTGAGGAAGCGATTTGCTCTTATCCCTGCCAGGGTCTTTGAGTGCTTCCATAAACTCGCGATATGCCACCAAGCGTTCAAAGTCCCAGAAAAACACGTTTCCGGCTGCATTACAGAAAGCCAAAACGGGATGTTGGTCAGGTACAAAGTGCAATTTGAACCGCATAAAAAACTGCGGGCCACAGTTGGGGGTATAGAACTGAAGCAACATGGTGTACTGAGATGGGCATTGTGGGGAGATTGTGGGAACAAAAGCCGAACGCGTGAGACGACTCGCTTCCTCGTAATTAGTTGGAACGGTAGTCTGAGCTGTCGGTGCTTCGCTCTCTGCAGGAGGCGGGTTTGTGGACGAAAATCCTTCTATTCTCCATAGAGAAATGACGTTGTCGTGGCATGCTCTGGAGAGAATGCAGTCGCCGTAGAATGCCACGCTTCCTCTGTTAGCCGCGTCGTCATGGTATGCATATACATATGCAGAACCTACCAGTCTATGATCCCACTATGGACAGCTGATGTGGAAAAGTGAGGATAGTGAACTCGAGCAGGAGTTTGGATTGCCTCGGTAGGCAGGTCGGGAAGTGTCCACTTTGGCTAGTCAGAAGAGTTATAATTTGGATATTCCGTAATATTTACCAGGTTAATAATTTGGTCGTGGGCCGCTGAGAGAAGGTAACGCCCTGTATCGTGGAATGCCTAACGCAGATTGTTAATTGTCGGTCAGATAGTCCAAAGAGCAACGGAGACTTGCCACACTGAGAAGATCCCATGAGTGACCTTCGCCAGCAAGGATAACCAAGCATGGGCGGTTGGCATGGACCGGATCAAGACTCCAGATACGAATACTTGTGTCACCCGAGGCTGAGGCAATGATAGAAGAATTTGCAGGTGAAGTCGCTAAGTCATTGACGTCCTGCTTCGCATAAGTTTCTGAGTCAAGGATTTACGAGAGGGATGGATGGACGAACACCTCCGTGACCAGTAAGGCACTTGGGTCAAACAACAGTTAGCAACGATCTTGGTACAACATTCTCTGTGAAAAAGACATTACCCTGTACAATTTACCGTTCACAACATCATAGATCTTGACTTTGGCATCAACTCCACCAATGCAAAGGTAGGGCGCTCCTGTTTCCGGATCCTTTGTCCAAGTACAACAGCAAGCAGAAGCCTCGTCCTAGGCAGAGTTAGCGACCTTGGTAGGGTAGGGATAGTGATTGCATTGCGCAATGCCTACATCATCATCTCTTATCACAGAAAGCACTTCGCATGGATTGGAGTCAGTTGTTTGAGAGAGTGTGCAGATAACGACCTAGGTGAGCGTGAGATGCTGTCTCAAAAGAGTAAGCTAGATCCAGGGGGACTGACATGCTTTTTGCTGATGGCTGCAAAGACAGGTGGTGCATCTAAAGGCTGATAGGGACAAAATTTGACATCGAAGAACTCTATGAAGAAGAAGAAGAAAAGTTTACTGCGTTAGACAACGAGGCACTGGCTAACCGAGAAGAAGAGGACCATACCAGCAACATTATCGTTTTCCAGAAACTCTGTATCGTTCTGTTGTATCTTGTTAGATTATGTAATACAACAAAGTATCTGTAGGTGTTTACTTCTAGGATGAACGAAGAACGTAGCTTTGGTAGCTCAAAGGCGTTATCATCGGTGATGGCCATGTTGCTAACAAGGCTTGTAGTAGAACCAGCTTGTTTGGCGGTCTGATTGACAATTATCTGAACCGATATTAGAATGACACCCTTGTATCAGGTGCAGGTAGCTCTATCACCAGGGATAGTAAAGAAAAAAGGCAAGAAGAAGCAAAAAAGTTGGACGCGATACGCGTCAAGCTGAAAGATGCTAATTAGACGTTGTGTTGTGTGTGTTGTTGAAAGAAACAGTGGCATCCCTCCGACTGCGGTAAAGTGGAGTTGAGAGCTGCTCAATTCTACCATCTGGTTGGGCAGGTGGGACCGGCTAGTGTAGTACCTGCCTCCGGGTCACTGGACTTTGTACTTGAATGGAAGCCTTATTAGTAGTCGACCTCACTATTGCCCTTTTTTTTTTTGGTGGAAGTTCACTTCTTATTGAGGCAGTAATATTAACAAAAAGTGCCAATCACAAAGCGAATTCTTAAGATAGTGTTGATGTACTGATCATAGATTTAGATAAATGCAAGTTCATAATTGGTAGATAGGCAGTAAGTAACCTGACGGAGGAGCCTTGGTCCTATGGATCGACTCTCGGCGTCGTGTCAGGCTGCATTACATCTACGCAATTGACTTATAGATATGTGGGAATCGAGTTTTGTGTTCAAACATAAGCATCTCTGGAGCCTTTACTCCTGTCTGCAGCTTGTGCTCCTTTGAGACACCATCACCCCTCGTTTCGATTCGAATTGCAGTGCATAAGTATTAAGATGATCAACTCTATTGTGCTTCAAACAATATCCTTATTAACTATATCGACAAATCAAGTCATTCTAGAGGCTACAAGACTATCGACCCAAAGCCCCCACGCTATCTGTCTATTCAAACATGCCCAGTATACACTGTATGTGTATCCATCCAGAAAACAATGGTCGCGTGCACGTTTTGAAGGACCAACTTCGTGAGCGCCACGAATAGTTTCGTGTTCGCTCAAGTTCTTAGGTCTGGGTCTACAGGATCCATCCATCTACTATATTGAGATCTTGTCAATCATCACACTCGCATCATCTCGTCCTTTCCCCCGCCATGTCGACCCCGATTCTGTGCATTACCTTGATGCATAGGTAACAGAATGACAAATAACAGTAACCAAGTAAATGCGGTGTAAGAACCGGCTCGGTTTCCCACAATTTTTGCATTTTCATGCAAGTGAGGTGAGCTGCAGATCAGCTGATCCATCAAAGTACTGCAGCACACATGGTTCACCGTTGTGGCTCGATGTTATCTCAGTTCCGAACTTCCGAGGAAACACGATTATCCATGGTGAGTAGTTCACCGACAGAAACCATAGTTACTGCTCTCGTGGCGGAAAGAGGGGAGAAAATTATATAATACTAATTGACCCTTTTGTTGCAGAACGGCGCAGTGCAGCACCCCTCACAGCACTAGTTGTCGATCATAACTGTCAGAACTATTGTTTTGATGTAAGTGAGTGAGCCATGTGGTCCAGTCACCAATGCAAGGCGTTAACGTTTAGTGTCATTGAACTAATGTAGGTAGGGTTGCTCATTTTCCAGGGTCTTCGCAACGACTTCCCAATAATGCTACTAGGACAGGACAGGCACACGAAGCCAAGGTTCATTCGCCTTGATTGCAAGCTTCCAGAGGCGAAGGAGTGGGCCGGTATCATAAACATCCGTCCGTTGGTCCCTTGTGGCTTGCAGAAGGGCGAGGCGCCATAAAATTATGCCGTACAATGATCAAAGGTGAGATTCCGTTAGTCGAGGAATTGGGGAGTCGAGGACATCCAGATCCCGCGCTTGTGGAAAGCAATTTGTTCCCTACTACGGCAAAGTGCATACTGTAGTACAGCAGCATCATGGCGCTACAGTCTGAATGGTTCTTTCCTCACCTGCTGAAACAAAAGTCTTGCGGTACCGTGAGCCTACTGCAAGTTGTCGAGGTGTGTCGGCCAAACTAACGGTTAGGTGCAATTGGCGTTTGTACTTTTGCTCTTGGAATTGACAATCCAGGATGTTGAACCGGATATTGGCATTCATTTCCAGTCCTGTACTACGATTCACAAGGCGAGAATTCCATAGGTGTTTGATTTGCAGGTAGAGGTTGTGCTATGTATATATCCAATCATCAACAGAGACAATGCAGTGCAAGATAAAGATGCACCTTGTCCTTGATCTAGGGTAACAGTGCTTACGATACCTTGAACAGTTAGATGAAGCAATAATAAATTGTGTCACTTCAACGGTTCAAGGATTGATTGTGTTGAATTCAGACATGTAACTTTTGGCAATTCAAAGAATTGAGCTTTGCCTGCTTGTAGTGTTTGAGAGCCTCGATTCATACCTCAACATGCTCGATCCTGACACAAGTTATCTTGCCGTTGTATCGGGGCGGTTTTTATTTTAACGTTGGAATGCCCCACCTCAGCCTCTATCAACTATTCCTCTTCCGTGAATCGACGTTGATGCCCCTTGTCGTCACCCTGTGAAACGTCATCCCGCTCACTTTGATAATGGTAGGTGTGTCTCTCTGAATGCCTGGGTATGTACTCTGTATTGTGTATGGTATCACGTACCTTGTCAGCTAATCAAGTTCAAGTTGCAAAGACAATTTGACTGTTGATGGGGTGTGGCCATGAATGGTCATTTTCTCTCAATTGTTTCCTCCATTGACTTAAACTAGCTTGCACCATTGATGGGAAAAACAAGAGTTTGTATTTCTATTTTCTCTTGTTTCCTCTCTTCTCATTCGAAAACTGACCATTGACACGAAGGATCAAGAATGGGGTTCAGTTTCGTTGCTTTTTACTGGGCGGCGTAACCGTAACCTAGTGAGACATCGTGATCGCCTTCCAGTCCAGCTCCTGCAGCTTCATTCCGAGTCCACACCTTGGACTGGGCTTTCTTTTTGAACCTGCAACAGCCAGTGGCGCGCCCGAGGGATATAGTAGGGGTTTCGTTATCATTGCTGCAAGTGGCAGTTTGTCTTCTCTTATTCAGCCATTCGTGTTATGCAATGGGTTGGGTATACCTTGCACGTACGTAACCTTGTCTCGTGTGCAAAAAAAGGTGACGATATTTTGTCGACAACACCTGCGTTTCCAGTCAATTCGTCGAATATCATTGACGATACCACTTTGGTTTTAGGGAGGTTTGAGTACAGCAACGAGACCAGCTTTAAAACCAAAAAAAAAAAAAAGAAAAAAGACTATAGGCAAGCGATAAACCATCAACCAGTGACCTCGAGTCAGGACAACGGCTTTGACAAGCAAGCAAGCAAGCCACATTTTTCTCGAACCGGTCTTTGAGCAAGACAGACCCTGGTCAAACTCGCTGTAGAATCTCATTTCTCACTTCATTTCACTTTTCATTTCCTGGTTTTTGAGCCTCGCACTTCTCTTCTCTCACATCCATATTGCCGAGGACTTCCTTTCCTGGATGCTGATTGCTCCGAGTCCCTGTCACCTCGACTCAATTCCCCCACCACAATAGGTAACCTCCCTTACCCGCTGCGGTTTCGTTCCTCAGCTTCAAGTCTACTTGCATTGCATTGTACGGATACTTCGTGGTTGTATTGTCAAAAAATTAATTATATATATAACACGCTGCCCCCTCCGTGTATGAAGCAGCTTCAACTCAACATATCTCAACTCAATACACTTCCATCTGTCTTCCCTTTCCCTTATTAGTGCTCTTAGGCACCACAGAGAGGATATCTTTAAGATACCGGTATTTCAGTACCAGAACTTCTCTTTGCTTAACCTCAATTGGCATTCTATTTGTTTATCCCCATACTCAAGTCAACCTCTCAGAAGTGCTCTCTATCTATCTGTATAGTCAACTCGTGCTTTGAAAAGCCCAGACACACCTAGACCCTTCTGGTCCTCTATTGCCGCGTCCGTGCCCCTGTCATCCAATATCCTCCGTTAGGTCCACTGTGGCAGTTGACGCCAGAGGAAGCTATCTCGAGTTAGCGAACTAGACTGGTTCATGGTGGGAGCGTTCCAATCCACTACCATTACCTTTTATTCTATTCGCACCGAGGTCTCTTCGTGCACTTGCTTAAACTCTATTTTCTAAATATTCAAGATTCGCCTCTCCAGTGATCATTTAGTTGGTATTAGCCAGCAGTCACTGGACAAGTTCTACGCATCTCTCAAATAGATCCTGCTATCAGACCAAACCAAACCATTTCGTTGCGGAGCTCGCTGCTCTTGCGTCATCGTCTTCATGGAGCATACTTTTTTGACTATACATAGTAAGTCATCTCTGTCGCGTGCATCCGTTGCATGTCTCAAGTCTAGTTCGATCTGACCCAATATTCAACCACAGATTTACATCCGGATGCCAACATCCTTTACGCCTCTGATTCTATCTTTGAAATTCTTGGTTACTCCCCGCAAGAGGTACTTGGCCGGTCTGCCTTTGAATACTTCCATCCAGAGGAAATCCCCTATGCGCGATCCGTTCATAGTCGCGGCGTCTTGCTGGACAAGGCTGCTGTTCTGCACTATGCACGCCTTCGCTCTCGTGACGGCCGCTGGGTGAGCAGCGAATGCGTCTTTTCTATTGTTCACGACATTCTTTTTGCCTGCATCAGTATCTACCGGTGCGATGCCAAGAGCGAGAGTACGTTCACACCCGAGGCGCTCCTCCATAGAGTTGCGGTTCTATCTGATATACTACGTTCCGATGGCTAATTCGAAGTAGGACGTGCCTTGGTTGCACCCCAGGTCCGACGTCTCTTCTCGCGTTCTCCTCGAGACCCACGATACCACATGTTGGAACATTTGTCTTCTAAGTTCAGGTTGCCACCTGTGGAGCGCGAGCCTCGAGCCGCTCTCATCTTGAACCGATTCACCAGAACATTAACGGTGATGTTTGCAACGGAAGCCATTGCGTCCATTCTCGGGATTCCTGCCAGTCAGGTCCAGCACAAGAGCTTTTACGAGTGCATCCGTGAAAGCTGCCTGGATGATGCTGTCAGATGTCTTGAGAGCGCAAAGGCCAACGACTCCATTGCTTACTTGCGTTTCTGGTCGAGAGATCCACGACGACCAGAAGACTTTGAAGACGAAGAAAGCAATGCCGATGGAGAGTCAACGATTGATGCAGAGAATGGTGATGGGATTGTCAGTAGTGAGGAGCCGTCCCGTTACTTCAGAAACAACCACACTACCAGCCCAAGTCCCGATCAGGCCAGACCTGGTGAAGGCTCGATGGCCTCTTACCGTCAACGACGCGGTGATAGTCGCCGCTCTAGTGATTCTGAAGGAGGGGGCGTGAAGCTGAATGGTGCTATGGATCTTGACTCATGTTCCAACTCGGCTTCCAATCAGGGTGTTGCACCTTCTATCAAGGTAGAGCCCGATGTGGAAATGCAGGACGGTGTTTTCTCTGCAGGAGAGACATCGGGAGAATCGCGTACTACAAGCTCCAATGCCCTGGGGTCTACTTCCCACAACTCACAAGTCGGCGGATATCAGACCCCTCCTACTCCCCCATCTCCACAGCCGGTCGGCAGAAACACCCCACGAGCAAGCAGGGAGCGCAGTCGTGCAGCGCCACAGCTGGCACCTTCTGTTGAACTGGAGGCCGTCGTATCTTGCACTTCTGACGGCCTGGTCGTTATCATTCGTCGAGCACGACCCCAGATTCCCGATGCCCACAATCCTCACATTCCCTCTACCAACGACCGTGGCGTTTTTGCTGCCCCTTGGGCGCAGCAACCTTTCCAAGCACAGTATTCGCATGAGAACTTTCACAATTTCCAGGCCCCATTGGCTCCGCAACATATGCCGCTGCGCAGCGGAATCCAAGCCACTGGAGGTCCTCCCATGGATCAGCTCATGCAGTCCATTAGAGATGTTGCTGTCTTTGCTTGGGCTGTTTGTGGCATCAATGGAAACATAGCTTCATACGGACATGGCCAGCCATCAGGAGAAGCTCACCCCCCGGATGGTCTTCCCATTTGGGATCCCACTGGAGCCGAAACTTCATACGAGGGGCCGTATAATCAAGCCGCTCAGCGATGGGCTAGAGAGGCTCAAAGACAGCAGCCCTCGCTACACCCACAGGATTCTGCCTCAACAGACTTTTCCATGGAAGGCACAGCAGACCGTAGTTCATATGGGACGGGCTACCAGAACCATGCAAGTAATGGCCATGGAAATTCATGGCTTTCACAGCCATCCGCCTACCAACAGAACCAAAATGCATTTGCGCACAATGGCCATCAAGAGTACGGGGGCCAAACAGGCTACAATCCGGGTCCCTCGCATCAGCAATTAGATGGACAGCATTGGTCCGGGAACCCTCGGGAGCCTACTGCTTCAGCTGAAGAAACTCGCGATCATACCTATAGATGGTATTGATCCAGTTCGGCATTGAGGAAGAATTTGAACAAGAGCTCGAAGACGAAAGGTTTATGAGATGTAGCTGACCCTATGATGTGAGTACGCGATACTTGAGAGGTGCCGTTTTAATTATTTGGTTACGACACTGAGCGGAATGGGTTTGGACAGCCGAGAGGTACTCGGTATGTTTCAAACAAAGAGTTTTCTTCGACAATTGTGTGATGTATTCTTGACCGGCAATCAAGTATAAATCAATCATTAATTAAATTTATCAGGTTTAGTAAAACCAAAAAGTATGCATTTTAAGGAGTGATTGGTGTTAGTTAGTGACTGTGTCAAGGGATTGAAACCGATAACCCTTGTAAATATGTTCCTGAAGTCTTGTATTAGTTCAAGACATGTGATTGGCTGTAATCAGTAAGAAGCTTGGGCCACCTCCCGTCAAGGGGTTGTTTCTAGAGAGGCGACCGTGGAAGTTTCGCAGTTATTAGAGATACGTACGTCAGCTTTATACTCAGCAACTTTCGTTCTTTGAGGCCACGATCCCACTGTAACGTCAGGCATTGCTCTTACGGCATCACAGCCACCGTTCACGCAGTCACTTTCTTTTCGAAACGAATTCCCAACGACAACCTTTAACCATGTCAGCTTCCAGCGCTCGAGGGCACTATGCCAACCCACCTCTAGAGGATGAGGACGACCTGATCGACCCTGATGATGGTGAGTTATCATACATCGCAATCGCGGAGCTCAGTCTCTACGTGATGTTCTGCCATGAACTTCATTCAACTCACACATTGTCCAGCCGATCTCAACGACTTTGACGACCCCCTTGCGACGAACAACGCTCGTCAGCCCTTGACAGGCAACATCGGCTCCAGCTCATCATCGCGACCTCTGAACGAAGGCTATTTGACATCACGCATCCCTGGAGAAGACCGAGCAGCCCCTCTAAACACAATTGACGAGTCCGTCTGGGATACGTTGCGACGTGACCTGCTCGCCGTCTGGGCCAAGCTTAGAGAGGTCCTGTATCCTCGCTACCTTCTCGGTGGCACCATGTTCGACAGCGAGGGAGGCATTCGCGGCGCTTACTCAAGCATTCGTGGTGCTGGTCTGTCGGGAACAAGAGAGGAACTTACTGGACTGGCAAGCCGCATGGTCGACGCTGAAGCTTTGCTTCAAAGTAACATGACACCGGGCCTTCGTGACTGGGATCTTTGGGGTCCTCTGATCTTCTGCCTACTTCTTAGTGTTCTTCTGAGCTTCACTGCTCGTTCTGAACAGAGAGATGCTGTTTTCAGTGGTGTCTTTGCCATGATCTGGCTTGGAGAGGCTGTGGTGACTCTGCAAATCAAGCTGCTGGGTGGAAATATGTAAGCTCTTTCTCAACATACCCTCGCATACGTGGCACTCACTAACCAATTTGTAGCTCATTTGCTCAGAGCGTCTGTATTATCGGGTACACACTTTTCCCTCTAGTCCTTGCTGCCATGATGTCTGCTCTGGGTCTCCACTGGATTGCTCGTATCCCGATCTACATTGTCTTGATCGGCTGGTCCCTGGCCGCTGGTGTTAGTATCTTGGGTGGTAGCGGCGTGGTCAAGAACCGGGTTTTCCTTGCAGTATATCCCTTGCTCGTCTTCTATCTTGGTCTGGGCTGCCTGTGTTTTATCAGCTAAGCCCAAGCTTGTAGCAAGGGAAGGATGCACTGAAACCAGGTTGCAAATGAGAGGAAAGGGCAGACTAAAACGATTGATTTAGAGTTGATGTACTTTTACCTGTAACGAATGGAACTTCACTAGAATTGCGGTGTAGTTGGTATGCGGCAATCCAGTGAGGATCGATATTTGGGTTATTATGCTACTCGTTGGAAAACATTGATCAAATTTTGACTTGTGACAATTCTTAACCCGCAGATGAAATCTGCTACACGCCTCTTGGGGGTTAACTGTAGCAGATGCTGGTGTGTCTAATACGATAATGTATAATTTCCGTATTGGGTCTCTGGCCTTATGCACGTGAGAAAGAATACACGATGGCGCATTCGCGACCATGCTGGGGGAACCCAGGTCTCCACGAGACATGTATGTACCTATTTTCCAAGCCAAGCCAATGCGAGAGTCAGTCTTAGAGTTGCATATGCCATTCTGGATCATCTCCCGCCCCCCGATGATAAGTTCCAAGGATTCGGAGAGTCAAACAAGGCAAAGACCCCTGCTGTGATCATGAACAGGCGGGAATCGGACTCCGTTAAGGCACTGACTGGTGTTGGGAGTCATCCATGGTCCCATGATTTCGGTACCCCGGTGGAACGAAACGAGGGTTCTTGTTATGAAAGTCAAGTTTGATAAGTGCATTCCATAGTCCGTCAACCTTTGACCATTTCCATGCCCTTTTCAAAGAATTTGCAAAACAGCCTCTTTTTTTGACTATAATTATGACGCTCAAAGCTCTGCATCGATTTATTTACCCCTCCTTACAGCTGGTGTGAACGTGGGCGTCGGGTGGGCGGTGAATGAATACCTCACTGCCAACTTACCTAGGTAGGCTTATAGTTTTTAGGTAGTTATCCATTTGAACGCTGGCGACTCTGCATATCTTTGATTGGTTCCACTTACTGAGCCGCCAGCTTCTAGCATCGAACAAAGACCCAACTCAGACAACCTGCGCCCAGCCTGATTCTGAGTCCAGCGCATAGATTTGCTGGACAACACCTGCGACTGATAGGCTTTGTTTCTTGTTCAATTATCCAAGGGAAATCAGGTCGATAATCGAAACTATTTCCTCGTCAAACTCATACACATAGACAACAATATTCTAACTTCATCCTACCGTCATCATCACACCGAGCCGCCGCACGCCATGGCCGACGACGCTCCCGATGCCAGTCCCAAGAACGAACCCCTCAACGTTGAGACAAACGAAGACGCAGAGACACGCGCCACCCGTCGCGAACTAAAGCAATCTTCCATCTCCGATCCTCCAACATCTGGCCCTGAAGATGCTGCCAACACCTCGGATGCGCCCGATAAGGATATGAAGGAGCAGATCACTTCACCTAAGAAGAAGCGAGCACATGATCAACTAGATGGGAGCAAGGAGGAAGAAGAGAATGATACGAATAGTGTAGCTTCGTCCGATTCGGCCAAAGACAGGTCCTTACGACTGGAGCCCGAGAAGAAGCGACATCGCGACGAGGACACAGATCTGGTTTGTCAATTCGACCTCTCTTTATGGAGGCACAAGGATTTAACTAATTCTTCAATAGCCATCGGGAGCTGTTTCTAGTCAAGAAGCAACCAAGACTTCACAGGCGGGCAACTCCCCTACAAAAACGTCTCAACCACAAACATCTGCTAGCGCTTTTGCAGCATCTGGTTTCGGCAAGCTTTCCTCTGGAACATCGCCCTTTGCTTCCCTCAGTGCCTCTCAAGGATCAAGCCCTTTCGCATCAGCCGCCGCTGGCAAACCCTCGATTAGCTCGTTTGCTTCTCCTCCCGCGTCTACGGCAGCGCAGCCAGCGGCAGCACCCAAACTGACCTTTGGCAGCTCTGGCGGAGCATCACCATTCGCTGGACTTTCCTCTGGAACGAACGGAAGCCCATTCGGTGGAAGTACTTTCGGGTCTGCTTTTGGTGCTGGCAAGCCCCTCTCAAGCTTCGCTGCACCTGGAGCAGAGCCGCCCAAGAGCGAGAAGCCTTCGAAACCTTTCGGAGCTCCTGACAGTGATGTCGAGGAGGACGAGGAAGATGACAATGAGGCGGAGGAGGCCGAGCAGCCTGCTGAGACCGAACGTGCCGCTTCTCCCGAGAAGGAATCCGACGAGAAGAAGAAGCTTAAGTTGCAAAAGAGTAAGCATCCAATGGCTTAACGTGTGAAATGGATTCTAACGCTCTATAGTTGAGGTGAACGATGGAGAAGCCGGAGAAGCAACAGTTGTATCTGTGAGAGCCAAGATGTTCTACCACGATAAAGAAGCTGGCTGGAAGGAACGAGGTGCGGGCATGTTAAAGATTAACGTGCCTCAAGCCTGTGTCGAATATGACGATAGCGGTGCTGTTATCCCTGGATCATTTGATGCTTCCGCTCTGGAAGTTGATGAGGAGGCAGCAGGAGGATCTCAAGGGCACAAGGTGGCTCGACTCATCATGCGCCAGGACCAGACTCACCGAGTTATCTTGAACACAGCACTTGTTGCAGCTATGAAGTTCCAAGAAAAGGCTTCACTGAAGTCTGTTGGTATTCTCTTCACTGCTTTCGAGGGTGAGCAGTCCAAGCCTGTGAGCATCACAATGCGGGTAAGTGGTGATATCTTTGACTTTACATTGCTATTTTAAGCTAACAGTTGTCCTCCAGATGTCAGCCGCTAATGCTAAGATCTTCATGAATGAAATTGGCAGCATCCAAAAGGAGCTCCAGAGCAGTTAGAATCTGGCAAAGGAGCGCTCGCAAAGCGAACCTCATATATAGACGACACCCGACAGCGAGACCTGGCGGGATTGTGGGTAGGGATTCGGAATTGATACATATATATGCCAGTCAGGCCAGGTGCTGATTCCGGAAATTGTCAGCAAGCGACGAGATGGATAAAATGTCGTGCCCATGCTGATATGGGGCATTTGTGTGAGCCCGGTGGTTTTATGGCTCGGATGGTGTCATGAACAGAATTCTGTCTGCATACCTATGTGCCCTTTGGGAATTATGACCTTGGGAAAGGGTCCTTTTGTACAAGAACTGGACACTCTTGGTGGCGGAAGTAGATGAATCACAGCCGTGTGTTGGCCATGCAGTCACATTCATGCCAATAAACGTATTCGATTAGATATCGCCTATAGGCACTTAGTTGTATCCAAAATTCGATGTCTGTATTTCAAGGAGAATGAACTAGTACCTACTCTTCTATAAGTGCATGCACGTGATTTGGCATCAATTTCGCGACTCATGATGAATGACGTCGACATTTTCACACATTCAGTTTCCACGGTATATATCAAGTCCAGTCACGTCTTGCGGAATCCTTCGACGGCAGTAATGAAATGACGATACATCCCGAGACTTCACGCCCGGATCCGAATGAGCCTGGTGCTGCCACTAAACAGTCATCGTCGTCGCAACAGGGAAAACGCAAGCGTGATGTTGAAGATGATCCTCCCGTTGGGGGTCCAACTTCCAGCCAGTCGAGCAATTCTAAGACCAGAAAAGATGGGAAAAAAGGAAAAGGGCGACCGAGTCTAAAGAAAGAAGCTAGTAGCGTCGTGATACCTTGCGTCGTAGAATGGCCAGAGGAGTTCAAGCAAATCGAACGAACACATCGCGCTCTGAACCTGGTTTACACCTTCTGCACGACCCGAAAACATCTTGCCACAACCTTCGACACGATAAAATCCGCCGTTGAAGGTCATATCAAGAGGGAGTTACTAATTGATGAGATTGCTTCCATGGTAGCACTCCGTCCCGAGGGTATCTACTTTGCATATGTCGACGAGACTATGCTGCAACTGGACGTCAAGGGCGCTGAAAAAGACGAGATATTTCGGGCTGGAAAGTCATATAGGTCTCAAGCACCAGCACATGACTCATCGGTTGGCGGATATACTGGCCTGGAGAGCCTTGACAAGAATCATGATCGAGATCTTGAACCTATGGGGCGGGAGGTGCTCTTTCTAGAGTTCATTGATGGAGACCTCAAGAGACAGGTTCAAGGGAAGGGAGGTGAACCGGTGAAACCGAACCGAAAACTTCGAGACGAACAGTTGAAGATGCCTGTTTTTAGTCAAAAACAAATGACAAACCTGATTGAGAGACGGAATCAGAAGTTCACCAACGCTATCAACATCTTTCTCAACAAATGCATAGAAAACGGGCATGATCCTCTCGAAACTCTCAAAGAACAGACGAAATCATTCATCCCAGTTCCATCTGCCAAAGAAGAATTTGCTCCAGAAAAGGCGGCCGAAACCATTCCGGAAAGTATCCCAAAGGAACGAAAGACGATACCAGAGATTGTACAAGAGCTGAAGGAAAGCCCTTGGTACACTGGCCAAATTGTCCCAGACGGACACCGAGTGTTTGAACAACAAGATCCTGTGTATGGGGACCTCAACTTTCTACTGAGCCAAGATTTGGTCAATGCTCTGTACAATGCAAAAGGGATCACTCGGTTCTTCGCACATCAGTCAGAGGCCCTCAATAGTTTACATGATGGCAAACATGTTGTTGTGTCAACATCGACGAGTTCCGGTAAGAGTTTAATCTACCAGCTTCCTGTCATTCGCGCTCTGGAGGAAGATTATAATTCAAGAGCCATATACATCTTTCCTACAAAAGCGCTGGCGCAGGATCAGAAAAGGAGTTTGAAAGACATGATGAGTTACATGCCTGGTCTTGAGGAGACGATGATTGAAACTTTTGACGGTGACACCCCAATGACTGAGCGTAACGATATTCGAGAGCAAGCAAGGATCATCTTTACCAATCCAGATATGCTTCACATCACCATATTACCCCAAGAAGAACGATGGAGGTCATACTTGAAGAACCTGAAATATGTTGTCGGTATGTATTCTGGCACTATTTACCCGGCCAAATACTGACCCTCGACAGTTGATGAATTGCACTACTACAATGGCCAAATGGGCTCCCATATGTCCTTCATCATGCGGAGACTGAGAAGAATATGTGCCGCTGTAGGAAATCGGCGTGTTAAGTTTATCTCATGCTCTGCTACAGTTGCAAACCCCGAACAACATTTCAGAACCATATTTGGCATTGATAACGTTCAACTAATAGATTATGACGGCTCCCCATCAGGACGCAAAGAATTCCTATGCTGGAATACTCCGTACAAGGACCCTGGCGACCCTGCATCCGGCCGAGGCAGTACGAAGTTTGAGTGTGCACGTCTATTCTGCGCACTTATGCTGAGGGGCGTTAGAATCATTGCATTCTGCAGAGTCAGAGCTCAATGTGAGCTGCTTGTGACCACTATCAGGCAAGAGCTTGAGAATCTCGGACGGCCAGAATGCACCAACCTTGTGATGGGATATCGTGGTGGCTACACAGCACAGGACCGACGAAGAATCGAGACTGAAATGTTTCAGGGGCAGCTTCTTGGGATTGTTGCAACGACTGCATTGGAGCTCGGAATTGATATTGGCTCACTTGATTGTGTCATGACTTGGGGGTTCCCTTACACAATCGCTAACTTGCGCCAACAAAGTGGTCGCGCTGGCCGACGCAACAAGGATTCACTTTCAATACTTGTTGGTGATGGGTTTGCTACAGACCAGCATTACATGCAAAATCCGGACGAGTTATTCACAAAACCGAATTGCGAGTTGCAAGTGGATCTGGAGAACATGTTGGTGCGTGAAGGGCACATCCAATGCGCAGCATATGAAATGCCAATACGACCAAGGGAGGACGCAAAATACTTTGGTAAAGACTTGCCGAAAATCTGCGTGGAGCGTTTAATAAGGGATGACATGGGGTTCTATCACTGCCACGATCGATTCCGGCCTATCCCTGCAAAGTATGTTGCTATCCGAGACACAGAAGATGACCATTTTGCCATTGTTGATATCACCAACGGCCGCAACATCGTATTGGAGGAACTGGAGGCCTCAAGAGCAACCTTCACTCTTTACGACGGAGCCATATTCCTTCACCAGGGTAATCCATACCTTGTGCGAGACTTCCAACCTGACAAAGGGATGGCCAGGGTGGAAAGAGTCAAGGTGGAATGGACAACTGTTCAGCGTGACTATACCGACATCGACCCTACTGAGACAGAAGCTATCCGCACAATTTCTGATTCTCGGTCGCACGCTTATTATGGGACAATCAAGATACAACAGAACGTCTTCGGCTTTTGGAAGGTTGATAAGAAGAACAGGGTATTGGATGCGGTACAAGTGGACAATCCTCCTGTAATTCGATTCAGCAAGGGGATGTGGCTCGATGTGCCCAAGACGGCAATGTCTATCCTTCAAGAGCGGCGACTTCACATTGCGGCCGCGATACATGCTGCCGAACATGCCATTATGAGCTTGCTGCCAGCATTTGTTATTAGCATGCCTGGCGACGTACGAACCGAGTGTAAGACGGCAGTAAAAGAGTTTGCAAAACAGGAGTCACAACGTAAACGTCCTGCGCGGTTGACGTTCTACGATGCCAAAGGTGGTGCAGGTGGCTCAGGCATCAGCACCAAAGCGTTCGACCACGTAGATCAATTATTGAGGGATGCTCTGAAACGAGTTGAAAACTGTCGTTGCGAGCGAGGCTGTGTGGAATGCGTGGCATCCGAGCAATGCAAACAGGCCAACGAAGTGATGAGCAAAGCAGGAAGCCAAGTAATCCTCAAGACTCTATTGAACGTCGAAGTGGACATGGATTCACTGCCGATGGGGCCAGAGCTGAACATCCCTATGGGTACTGAAACAGTCGTACTCGCGGAACCAGTCCCGTACCGGGCCAAAGAGGCAGTTTTCGAAAACGGGATCAATAGTAAGGCGGCTATGTTGGAGGAATCTGGGGATGGTGCCAAGACTGGGGATTCTGGAACAACAGATGGCGGCGGAGGTTTTGAGCAGTGGCTTGCAGATTCGATATGAAGTCAGTAAGGGCGTCAAAGGGGGTGTAGGTAGACGGGAAACCGGCACAGGGGGGCCACAAAGCAAGCTGCCCCTGTACGGCTGATGGGTTAAGCTTCAACTCTGTACAGAGTCTACGGTGTCATTTGGTTAGACGGATCGGGTCTAGAGCGAGGAATGAATGCATTATAGTAACGTTATAAATTAAGCGTAAAATAGGAATGATCTACTGAAGTCATGGATAGGAATGAGTCCCGAGATAGATGAGGATGGAAACCAGGATGTGAATGTAAGAGTGATTAACTTAACTAATAACAATCATGTATAATATGATGTGCCATGGTGTGTGCTGCTTTAGATGAACCTCTAAGATAGAGATACAGCGTCTGTGACGTAGCCAACGCCAAGGTAAAATAGGACGAAGATCAAGGAACCGCCAAGCAATCTCCGCCGAAAATTAACGGTTGGGCCCGGCTTGGCTCTGCTAAGCTAAAACTAGGACTAAAATCGAGACTGGGACTGAAACTTGGCAGGGCCCAGGTTTATGAGTGACCGCATCTTCTTCATGCTAGAGCTATCTTATTGGTTGATGTTTGCAAGGGGTCTTTGTATTTGCTGCTGTGATTCAACGAGATAGGAGACCCTTGAGGCTTGATTAGCCAGTGAACGAAGCTATTCATCCTAGACAGGGAAGATGATGATACTACCTAAGCTAAGGATACAGAAAAAGAATAGCCCAAAAGCGAGTCAAACGACTACATTATTTTGTCTCTAGGGTGCGTAGCGTGTAGTGCACTGAACAAAAATTGTTGTATCGTCCTGGTTTGCCAAGTGTTACCGACTGAGTGGTTCTCTTTCTCTCATGCAATATTTTCCATCAATATTTACAGGACCTCCACCCCAGAACCAAGGTAACCTAGAAGGTTAGAGTCGTATATCAAAGCTCCTCCTCCCCCAGGTTGGCTCCCTCCGCGCTTGGTCTTTCCAGTCAACAACACAACCTAAAACTTTGGCATTTGAGGCGGTCTATACAAGCCCCCTGGTCTAGACCTGGACCTTAACTCAAACAATTCAACTCTCTAGACATTTGTCCTTTTTGCAACTATTAAAAACAGGTCGCCAACATGCCTCGAGATCGTCACGAACGCTCCTCCTCACGCTCCCACCGCCCTCGCCATCGCTCACGCAATTCTCCCGACATGCGTCAAGCCTCATCCGACGACCGCACTCTTCCTGTCCCAAACACATACAGCGAACACAAGAGAGGCGAAAAAGGCGGAAACGGCAGGATGTCAAAATACATCAAACCTGCAGGCGAGAGTGGCCGAAAGGGCTTTCACCCCATTCACTTTTCCAAGATCTCCTTCAGATCCACGAGTCGAGCTAGTCTTCTTTGCAATTTTCTGTGGCCTTTCGTTCCTGCTGCTATTGCCGTTCGCTGTGCGTTGTCCCAGAAAATAACCTCAAATCTTGAGCCAAGTTTTGCTGACATGTGTTAGATGCTATGCCCGATAATCATGTCACCATTTTTGCGCTGGCCTATATCGCCATGATCCCCTGTGCCAACCTAATTGGTTTCGCTGGCCAGGAGCTTTCACGAAAGTTGCCTCATGTTTGGGGTGTTCTCATTGAGATCACGTATGTCTTGACCCGAAGCACCGAGAAATCTCATGCCATGTCCCACAAACTCATCTAACGCGCCTATCTAGAATCGGTTCTATCGTCGAAATCATCCTTTTCATGATTCTTCTCTCCAAGGATATGTTTTACGTCATCAAGGCTGCTATTCTCGGTTCAATCCTCGCTACTATGCTTCTCTGTTTGGGCTTTTGCTTCTTTGTTGGTGGCATGTTGGAAGACGAACAGGTTTTCAGTGAGGCTATTAGTGAGGCCGGAAGCGGCCTACTCCTGACTGCGTAAGTTCAGGTTAACTCCCAAGATGATCCAGCAGCTAACCCGTGCCAGTGGTGTCGTCCTGGCTCTTCCTACAGTTTTCGAGTACGGTGTAGGCAACGGCGAGACGCTCACCAGCCAAGATCTTGAGCACAAGACACTTCAGATTTCACGTATTGTCTCGGTTCTACTCATAATTGCCTACCTGGTCTACGTCTTTTTCCAGGCCCGAACCCATCATGGTATCTACGACGCTGTATTTGAGCAAGACGAGCACAATGACAGAGACAAGCACAAGGACATAGCCAAGGCTAAGCTGACTTTCACCGAATGCATAATTGCTCTGGTCATCTCCGTCGGCCTTGTTGCTTGGACTGCAGTCATCCTCGTCATGCAAATCGAGTTTGTTATCGAACGGGGACATGTCAGCGACGCATTTATGGGTCTTATCCTTGTTCCCTTGGTCGAAAAGCTTGCTGAGCATTTGACTGCCATCGACGAAGCCTGGGATAATCAGATCAACCTGGCCATGTCCCATGTTCTCGGTGCTACACTTCAAACCGCCCTCTTCAATGCACCCCTCGCTGTGATTGTCAGCTGGGGTCTCAACAAATCCCTCGATCTCAACTTCGCCATCTTCGATCTTGTCATGCTTATTCTTGCTATCCTTACTGTCGGGCGATTCCTCCAGGATCAAAAGAGCAATTATCTTGAAGGATTCCTGCTCATCATTCTCTATGTCGCCATTGCTGTTGCCGCATGGTACTACCCTGATCCTGCTCACCATGGAGCCGGCGGGGGTAGTGCTGAAGGTAGCTCTGAGGGGGGGCATTGATTAATACGGACCGTCCTGCTTGGGGAAGAATGTCTGTATCCTTATTTATGAAATTACGATTAGGTGGCACAAAAGAATGAGTGCATGCATATATGGGATTAGGTTTCATGCAGGCAGGATACGCCTGAGGGCATCAGAAAACTGGTTGCTAAACATATAAGGTGTTGAATTATTGAGTCGGGTTGTCTTGTTTTAGAGCAGATTCTTAGGTTGTTCATTATTGTATTGAAGCTCAGAAGCAAGCTATTATATTATTTCCTTGTCAAGCACGTTAGTTCTGGTAGGTAGCTTTGAAGGAACTCAAAATCATTTATTCTATTAACACATGCAACGCCTTGATGCAAAGCATTATATTCTATGCTTTTATAACCTTTCCCTATTTACGCTTATTCAATCAGAAAAATACCAAATCGTCCGACTTAAAGCCTAAACCTATAAATGTTGCCTCGGCAGCTTTAACCATTAGCGGAGGTCCGCAGACGAGCACCAACTCATCACCTTCACCACTTGGTTTGGGCAACGCCATTTGCTCGGGGACCAGCGCTTGGTTCACAAAACCTTTGATACCCTTCCAACCAGGGGGCGGGTCTGTAAGTGCATTGACAATGCGACATCTTGAAGAATTAGATGCTTCAAGGCTGTCGAGCTCCTCCTTGCATAGGATATCCCGCAAACTGCGGTTTCCATTGAACACAATGCAGGGTGTTGTGTCATTGGGGTCTTGCATTACAGCGCGAAGGACCTGGCGAATGGGGGTGATGCCAGAGCCTCCACAGACCATGATGAAGCGACGAACACGACGCTCTCTGTCATTAATGATGCAAAGACCGTTGCCGTGGTAGACGAATTTGCCCACAGGTCCCTTGAAGTCAACCCAATGGCCAATGGGAAGTGAGTCTAACGCCTGTGTCATGGCGCCGCCCTTGCGCTCGGGAGTATCATAGTAAATCTTGATAAGAATATCCAACTGGCCGCAATCTGATCCGTCCGAGTACGGTGTGTACGAGCGGATGATGGCTTCTCGCGTGGCAGGATCGCGCAAACGCATCATGAGATGCTGGCCAGTGGGGAGACCAATCTTTTGACCTTCGTGGTTGAGCTTGAAGGAAAAGATCTTAGTGTCGGGTGAAATGGACGTCTTCTTGCAAAGAAGAGCTTTGCTCCAGGTCTTAGATTGCAGGAATGTTTCTCGATTTGCATCGTCGCTCGTTGTAGTTGCGTCGCCGCTGAGAATGGCACGAGACTCCTTATCGAGGGTGCCGATATGATATGTTGGAAGCATCGCCTTGGCATTTTCGCTGTCTGAAGATAACATATTAGTAAAGATACAATGGAGTTTTGGACTTGGTGTATGGAAACTCACGAATAGCCATAAATTCTTCAGTTGCATCTTGACCGGCCGCACCAAATATAGATGCCGCGCCACCAGGATGACCTGAGAGATAAGGAGTACCGTCGTATACTTCGCCATTGATAACAAACCAAGGCTCATCTTCGCCTTCATGAGCCTTTAGCTCTTCGATGGTGATCGTTCGATTAACATGGGGATTTGTCAAACAGATCTGTTTCTCGGGCTCCTTGATGACAACTTCTTTCACTTCACCAGGAGCCTTCTCGCCCCAGTAACCGTTGGTGAGGTTTCCGCCATCTTCCTTGACACGCTCCATCCAGCCTTTGATCTTGAGAGTAGGATGTGTAGGATGCTCGAAGCGTAGCGCATTGCCTTCTTTGTGAATCACAATGCGGAACCAGGGGTTGTTCATCATTCCTAGAACGCTCCAATACATATCTCTCGGCTGAATGTTCATAGACTCATCCATGGCACGCATCATGATATCATCTGCGTCTTTTAATTCGCCCAAGGGAATGTCGAGGTCCCAGAGGCACCAGCAGAATGATGTTTCGCGCCACCACATATCGACCCGACCACCATAGAGGGTATCGCCTTCAGGTGCGTTGCGATAATCATCTTCATGGTATCGGATGTGTGCAAGCCTCCATGTCTTGCCCTTATCAAGTGTAATTTCAACTCTGGTGATGCGTCTTCCACCACCGCCATAGGCATATCCTCGTACCTTGTAGCTTTCTGAAGCATTCGTGACAGAGACACTCTCCTGATGAGCAGGGTAGCATATAGCGCTATTGGTACTGAGGTCGTAGATGGCGTACTTCTCGTCCTTCCAGACTTCAGGCAGGTCTGCGCTCTCTTCAGGCGAAACCATCGTCGGTAGCACACGATTATCATAGATGTGGTACCAGTTGTCGCTAGGCTCTTGGGTGACAGTGATCTTCTTAAGCCACTTAACGCTTCGGCCACCGATCTGACCAGGGATAACAAGACGGACGGGTTTGCCATGATCGGGATGCAACGTCTTTCCATTCATCCTGTGCGCAACCATGACACCTCTGTTGGGATCCATGCACCAGTTGAGTTTGATTGATGTTCCATAGTAGCCATTTGGTAGCTTGTCTGCTCCCTCAAAGCAAACATATCGAGCTCCACGCTTGGGCTTTGCTGCAGCAAGTAGGTCGCCTATAAAAACACCAGTCCAAAGAGCAGTCGACAACCCTGCAGCACCCCAAGAGAAGCCTTTTGTTTTTCGGACGATGTTTTGCTCTTTTCGACGGTTTCCAGCACATACAAATGTCACTGGGTATGTCAACTGCTGGTAGTCGTTTATAAGGTCCCTTACAGCCATCTTTATCGGGGTTTCGACAAGGCCATCAATTTCGAACTCCCAATCAAGAATCTCGTCGTCTTCACATCTGGGAACGTGGCCATGGTTCCGTACATAGTGGAGGTTTTCGCTAGTCAGGAAGCCTTCGTCGTACAAGTCGCTCAGGGGTGCCTCGACATTGAATGGATGGACTCCGGTGAGACGGATCAGACGGGGGTCTCTTTCGACAAAACTGTCTGGGGTCTTAAGATCCTCCTTTAGAACAGACTTTGGTGAAGATCTGGGAGGAAGAGGATAGGGCTTGATTTGATCAAGGCAAGGCTGATCAACCGATGTGATGTTTTGTAGATCGTGAAAGCTACCTATCCGAGATGGCTTCGCTGTACTTGGCGGTGATGGGGGAAGGCTATGAGCCTGCTGTGAGATGATAGTTGTAGTAGTTGTTGAAGTCTCCATGGTTAATGAAGCTCTGTACTTGGTGTGAATGACTTGGAATGAAATATCATAAGAGGATTGATAACATTGTTTCAGTAAGAATCTAGATGTCCAGTAAACGGCGAGAGTCCCGTATATGAACTCTTATCGTGGGTGATCGACGCGGTGTGGCTGCCGTTCACCCATCCCTTGACTCCCGAGAGTCTCCATTGGATCTGCTGAGGCTTCGTTCATGATATCGTGTTTCTCTGGTTTCAAGCGAGGAGATGCAAATTACAACAGAGTGGATGCGTTTGTTCTGGTCTGATCCGCGGAGGTTGAAGGTTTATCGTTATCAGGAGACGGAGGCAAAGGGCGAATCATGTTTGTTGCTTTGCGATTGTCGCCGGAGATGTATCAACCACAGAACCCTGGGCCCACCTCAGAACTGACCTGATAAGGGGATAAAGATAGCAAGACCCGGCTTCAATGCCTCGTGCCTCGTTTGAACAGGGTTATGGACCGGAGATTCTTGCACAATTGCCATATATTTTGATGAAATCTAGTCATAATCGTACTGTTCGTTGTGCAGACAACATGACAAGCTGAACCGTGCCATTGTTGGCTACCTATAACATTATATCAGGATTTAACCTTCTTGGCAAGCGATTGTTTCATTTTAATAGCCATATGCTTGAGTTACGTCAGCCTGGTACATGGGTAGGCAGATGTAATTTTTGAGGCATATGAAAATGAAAATGAATAGTAGGTAGGTAGCGTTTATACGTCCATGGATTCTTTGATGTAGGTTAGATACCTACCTGGTAGATATTCAGTTTCCTTACAAGGACCCTATAGGGTAAAATGACCTCCAGTCTATCAGTAGACAACCCTTTATAATATGCTAACATGTACTAACTGAACTGATATAGAGCCATGAGGAAGTAGTTGAATTCGAAACAGTAACACAAAGCCATGCTTTTGCTGTTACTCGCTGTCATTTACCTCCATGACTGGGAGGAACTATGGGTAAAGGTATTTTTAGTTTTGTTTTTTATTTTATTTTTAATTACCTGTAGGTTTGTTAGTGTTCTGCAAAAACTTACGGCTAAATACTGGAATTTCCTTTGCAACAAGTTCCTTTGTTGAAATATATACTCTATATTACAAGTCATGGCCTGATGGAGCTCGCGCACTCAGACAGGGTCAGCACAAACTAAGGCGGCAAGTGCAAAAACCCCACTCAACACCCATCGGGCAACCTCCACTTCTAATAAGGTACAGCAAGGCAGGGCAGGTGTGACTCTGTATGGTTGTCGGTACCTTAACGTCCCGTCAGTTCCATTCAGTGTCAAACCTCAAAATCAGGTAACGGCAAAACTCGACCTAGACATCGACAAACCGGCTCTGCTCACTCGCATTCCCCCCGTCCTGGCTTGACGGAATCACCCATGTCGGCTCTTTTGCCCTTTATACAGCATCGATTTCTAGGGAAGCACATCCCTTAGCAGGCCGCCTGCGCTGAACGCAGCGCCGCCTCCACCCGCCTCATATCCCAGATCTATTCTAGAACTTAACCCAAGTCGCGAATCGCCTCCAATCACGTCGTGTTCCGTCATGGATCGCGCAAGGAAGCGTACGGCCTCTCTAATTTCTTTCTTCTGTTCTCAATATAGGCGCTTACTATCTCTACAGGCGAATTGCGCACACTGAATGAAAAGGCATGGGATGGCGAATCTGGTATGAATCATCTATGCCTACCCCACCACTTCCCCCCGCCCTCGTCAGTTAACAGAAACTATCACAGATGTATTCCTCGTTGGAAAGACCCTCGATTCGTCCCTCAAGAAGAATACCGCTTTCATCAAACGATTACGAACTGCTGTCACTGCTGCGACCCTCAGCACCTTCCTCCAGGAAATCCGAACCCTGAGCCTGCACAAGTACCTTTCCGAGATTATATCTGCCTGCTATGAAGGCCTTTGTAGACTCAAGTCGCCTGGTGAAATCGAGGCCGGTGTTGAGATCGTCAGTGCGCTTCACCAGCGATTCGGGCCAAGCGAGTTTACGGAATATCTAGCGTGGCTGCTTGGTAAGGGTATGGCAACTCCTGATAAGGGTATCCTCAAATCTCTGGCACCCGAGGTTCGTGAGAAGGAGGAGAAGGAGCGTATCACTAGACAGCGCGCATTACTTCGAGTGGTAACTGAGCTGTGGCTTGTGGGAGTTATCAGGACGCTTGACGATGTCAGCAAGCCTGACGACGCGACCAAGGGAGCTGCCGGCAAGAGCACCGAATTGAAAACTCGGACCAACAAGGGTGCAGGTGCGGAACCTTTCCCTCTCGAAGTGCTGAAAGATCTACTCGGATACGACCGCGAACACGCAAATCTCCCGCTTCTCGTCATTTTTGTCAAGTCATTCAGCTGGGATATCCTTGGAGTGAAGCCAACAGGAGCCGACGGTCGAAAGACAGTGGAGGAAGATGGCACTACAGAAGGACACGAAGTTGAGCGAGGCGACGAAAGTGAGAATGGAATATCCTCCGACGAAGACCAGCCCTTTGCCGAACCTGAAATGCGGGAGCGATTTAGGAATATCCTGAAAAAGTATTTCGACGATGTCAAAGGGCACATTATCCGGGACCAGAAGTCGATACAGTCGCAAGCTCGGCGCAATGCTGAGGCTTATGTGAAATCTGGTGAGGTTTTCGAAGACCGTCAGGCAAATTATGAGAAACAGGTAAAGGCTCAGGAACGCCTTGTCTCCAACGCCCAAGTGGTCGCAGATGCCATTGGGGTTGAAATGCCTGATTTGAAGGATTCGGATGATTCACTCGCTGCTTCCAACGGATCTATCGGTCTTGTCAAGACAGGCGATTACCTGCGTTCCATGGGAGACGGCGCAGGGATTTGGGAGGACGATGACGAGCGCCGCTTCTACGAAAACCTAGTTGACCTTAAAGGCAAAGTGCCGGCTATTCTACTCGAAGATGGAAAAAAGAAGAAGACGGATACCGACGAGCAAGTGGGCAAGAAGTTGGACCCGGCCGAAATGCCCGAAGCTACAAAGACTGTTGAGGTCACCGACGATCAGTCTACATCCATCGCAAACCGAACCATTGGCGCGCAAGTCGATGCTTTGCTTGCCCGTTTACCCGAGTTGACAAACAAGGACATTGTCGATCAGACGGCCATCGATTTCTGTTTCCTCAACTCGAAGGCTTCGCGCAACCGCCTCGTCAAGGCCTTGACAGAGGTCCCAAAAGGCCGAAGCGATTTGCTGCCATCTTGGTCACGACTCGTTGCTACCTTGGGACGATATATGCCAGACGTTCCGAAAGGCCTTGTTGACTACCTGGATGCTGAGTTCCGAAGCTTGCAAAGACGGAAAGAGAAGGACTTTTTGGGCCAGGTCCGCCTAAGTAACATTCGCTATCTTGCCGAATTAACAAAATTTGGCATTGTTCCCGAGCATGTTGTCTTTCATTGTTTGAAGGTCAGTCTTGACGATTTTTCACGCATGAACATCGAAATTCTTTGCAACCTGATCGAGAATTGCGGTCGTTACCTGCTTCGGAATCCAGAAACAGCCCCGCGTATGATGAGTTTCCTTGAAACTCTTCAGCGCAAGAAGTCTGTTCAGCATATTGGGCAGCCAGAGCGCATGCTTATCGATAATGCCGTCTATTACGTTGATCCGCCAGAACGCTCGGCTATCGAGCAAAAGGAACGCACTCCCATGGAACTGTTCGTTCGCAAATTGATCTATGTTGATATGACGAAGAGAAATTATAGCAAGATCTTGAAGCAGATTCGAAGACTTCACTGGGAGGAAACAGAGGTATGGACTAACATTCATGTTTTGTGGCATCTGGCTTATAATCCTCTAGGTGGTTGCCATCTTGGAAAAGGTGTTTTCCAAGCCTGGAAAGGTCAAGTATGGAAGCGTTCACCTTCTTGGAATCCTGCTTAGCGCGCTCTATCGTTATCACCCTGCCTTTGTAGTGAAGGTTATCGACAACGTGATTGAATCCATGACGTTTGGTCTTGAGCAGAACGACTACAGATTCTATCAGCGACGCGTTGCTGAAGTGAAGTATCTTGGCGAGCTTTACAACTACCGTATGCTTGAACATCCTGTCATCTTTGACATCATGTACAAGATCATGACGTTTGGATATGGTAAGCAGTCTGAACGGTGGTATTACGACCCTCAATTAACTTCCTCTAGGTGGACCACCTGTGCCTGGCAAATATAGCCCACTAGATCCCCCTGATGACTTCTTCCGAATTCGCCTTGTTTCTACGATGCTGGAGACATGCGGCATGTTCTTTAACCGCGGGGCCGCGGGTAAGAAGCTAGATTACTTTCTCTCCTTCTTCCAGGTATGTCTATGCCGCTCTCCTCACCAGGCATCCGCGACTAAAATTTCAAAGTACTACATCTTTACTAAGGCGTCCCTGCCGATGGATATCGAGTTCCTGGTTCATGATACATTTGCCCTTACGCGCCCGCAGTGGAAGATTGCTTCTGGACTGGATGAGGCAGTCAAAGCCTTCCAGCTTGCTGTTGCCCAGGATCAGAAGTCGGCAGGCGTTGATAAGGGAGTTGATGTGGACGATGCAACCAGTGACGCCTTATCTGACGATGACAATGACGAAGATGGTGATGACAACGATGATAGTGCTTCGGAGGAGGAAGAGGCAGAGGTGAGTCTATCCTACGCCAATTACCTGGCAATTACTGACAAAGTTGACACAGGATATGGAGGAGGACTCGGACAGCGATAGTGCCTTTGACGAAGAGGCTATTGTTGTGACCCGACAAGAAGAGGAGGTTGACCCTGAAGACGAAGCTGACTTTGAGCGTGAATATGCCAAAATGATGGCTGAAAGTCTCGAATCACGCAAATTCGAGCGTAAACAGCTCTTCGACGTGCCGCTTCCAGTTCGCTCCAAGACTCGGGAGGCGACTTCGACAGAGGGAGGTGAAGGGGAGTCCCCTCCCGGCCACACCATGGCGTTCTCTCTATTGACCAAAAGGGGCAACCGCCAACAGGTATGTATTTTGAACTTCGTATAGTGCTCAATGCTGACTTGTACCCAGACACGAACTGTTGAGCTGCCTTCTGATTCGACATTTGCCGTTGCCATGAAAAACCAGCAACTGGCTGAGCGGGAGGAACAGCAACGTATCAAGAACTTGGTTCTCAACTACGATCTCCAACAGAGTGAAGATCAAGATGGTGGTACAGACCCTCACCTTCCACAACTTTATCGAAACACCAATATTCACATACAAACTCAGGCAACGAACGACCGGCGACGTATTATCACAACCGTTTAGACAAGTCGAACAAAGATCGAGGACAGAGGTCTCGCAAACTCCAACTTAGTGATGTGGATTGGTAAACATGCAAAAAAACGGGTAAGGCTTCTAACTAGGTAATCCAGCCTCAGCTGAACCAGTCAGTGGATGGGCACAAAATTCACTAAGCCCCTTTTATGATGACGCCCCGAAGAGACACCTTCGGTTCCTGCCTGGTCACATTTGCGAGCACGGCAATAGTGCGTCGACCTGCGCCACATGCCAAGGGGCCACATGCCCCCTGTGGCAGCACGATAGATCATCTAAATCTGCCGCGTCTGACTAGTCGTTAGCTCCGTCTCTGTCGTCGAGAGACAACTATCATAATTCTTGTTCGAACGCAGGGGCTATGCTGGTTGCTTCATAGCTGGAGATCTCGCACGTTAGACAACACCTTCCTACCCAACGCTGGTTAAGAAGACTAGCTGTCCGCAAGGACGCAAAGCCGCAGCGATTGCTGATATTTTCAAACCTTGTCGCACATTGTACGGGTTCTGAACAGCTCACCGGAAGCATATAAACCACATAAGATTGCTGGACATCCAGTTTACTTTAGCTTGAGACTGAATTACTAAAGTTCCCACCGAAAACGATAGAATGACCGTCCCTTGTCTCTGCTGTCGATAAATTACAATGTGATTCATATTTCAGGAGATATTTTGGTTTCCTTCGTGTACCCGTATCAAGAGTGCTCCTAATATATTCTAACATAGTAGCATATGCCCCGATTCTACATAACTGGATACCTAATGATTGAGATACCCAATGCAGGACATCAGATCTCAGGACTTGACCAACTCTTTCAATACCCTATTATCACGACTCCCGTGGCTAACTGAATAGGGGGCGCTTTCCCAACAACCTGCGTAGGTGGGGAGGCAGCCAGTGTGGCCTTTGATATTGAGGAATTACTGCTCCGTTTTCTGACTGGAGGCCTACTGATCACACTAATCGTCTCGTTGGTCCCGGGAAACTATTGTTTTAGTTTTATATGAGTGTTATTGCCGTCTTGTAGGCAAAATTGCTGTTTGCTTCGCTGTTTGAGCAGTCCACTGTGAAAAGCGACATCATTGTGTAACCGTGATTCACCTGCAAGACTGGGCAAGTAATTTCTGCCGTCCGGGGAGAAGATAAACAACAAAATGTATCTTCTTCTCTATTGCATCTCGACTCTGGGCACGTTCTTTCTGAACCTGCGAAGACTTGACAAGAGGAAGATGCACCAACCTTGAGTCGAGAGCACCTTCCTTTTAAAATTCTCATACACCTTAGTTGTGTCACCTTCCTAGCCTCCACCGTCCCGTCATTTACTTCTTCTAGGACTCGTCATATTTCACGGGCGCCCGCTGAACATCCCCGTCAAGGTACCGCCTCAGGAGACAACTCCTTTCTTGGGAGTGTTTGCCTTGACTTTTGGGTTCTATGTTCTCTCTCACGTAAAAGTACATGCTTTCCAGATTCTCCCTTTAAGAACCCGTATCCTGGATGATAGGCAGGTAGTTACAGTGTTTATATCCCCGAAGAGTGTCATTTCGCAATCATGGGCGTGCTGGATGACTGGCCTCTGGAGAATGTGAGTCGTTATAGGTACGAACAGATTTTTGAATACACAATTACTCACTTGCTTGGACAGATTATCTACACTAGTATAATGAGTGCAGTTCTCCTGATGGCGTGCCTCGAGTGGTTCTTGTGGCTCGCCGCTTTTCTGTATTGCCTTATCAAGGTCTTTCGAAAGTCTGAACACTGGTCCATCAATGTTCTATGCATCATTGTTGGTGTCGCCTTTGTTCTCCTGCGGTAAACTCTGCTCCTTTGTTTTATGTGACACCAGCTAATCTTTACCGATCAAAGAGTGATATTTCTTCCGATTATGGTGGTCACATTGCCCCTTCCCGATCCTATTGCAAAGCTCTGGCCAGACGATATGGTATCATTCTTACAGTGGTTCGCCTTTTGGGCTTTTGCCATTCTGTTGACAGTGCCATGGCTGTTTTGTATCTATCAAGTCGTAACAAATCAGCTTGGACGAACAAAACGAATGAAACAGGTTCTCGACGACGCCACTGCGCCCAAGGTTGTTATTGTAATGCCTTGCTATCGAGAAGAGCCCGAAGTCCTCATAAAAGCTATTAACTCGGTTGTCGACTGCGATTATCCACCATCATGCATTCATGTCTTCCTGTCATTCGACGGAGAAGAAGAAGACGATTTATATATCAACACGATTAGTCAATTGGGCGTATTGTTGAAAACGGAGTCACATCCCAGAAGTATCGATGTTAAGTACCGATCCGCACGGGTGACTATCTCACGTTTCCCACACGGAGGAAAGAGACACTGCCAGAAGGTAACCTTCAAGCTTATTGACAGGGTATACGAGGAATACCTTAAGAGAAACGACAATCTATTCATCCTTTTCATCGACTCTGACTGTATACTGGACAAAGTGTGTTTGCAAAACTTTGTCTACGATATGGAGCTCAGTCCCGGCAACACTGGAGAGATGCTAGCTATGACAGGAGTCATTACCTCGACGACAAAGAAACATAGCATTATAACTCTACTGCAGGATATGGAGTACATCCATGGACAGTTGTTTGAGCGGACGGTCGAGTCTGGTTGTGGCTCTGTCACTTGTTTGCCAGGGGCTTTGACTATGCTACGCTTCTCGGCTTTTCGCAGAATGGCCAAATACTACTTTGTGGACAAGGCAGAGCAGTGCGAGGACTTGTTTGACTTCGCCAAGTGTCACCTTGGAGAAGACCGCTGGTTGACGCACCTTTTCATGATCGGTGCCAAGAAACGGCACCAGATCCAGATGTGCACTTCGGCATTCTGCAAGACAGAGGCTGTGCAGACCACTCGGTCCCTGATTAAGCAGCGGCGCCGATGGTTCCTCGGCTTCATAACGAATGAAGTTTGTATGCTGACTGATTGGCGCTTATGGAAACGATATCCTATACTTATCCTGGTTCGGTTTATGCAGAACACTATACGGACAACGGCTCTACTATTCTTCATCATGGTCTTTGCCCTTATTACCACGGTTAAGAAGGTGGATGATCTCCCTGTGGGGTTCATCGCTATATCTCTTGGGCTCAACTGGATGCTGATGCTATATTTCGGGGCCAAGCTGAAGCGATTCAAGATCTGGCTGTACCCGCTCATGTTCGTTCTTAACCCGTTTTACAACTGGTATTACATGGTGTACGGGATTTTCACTGCAGGACAACGAACATGGGGTGGACCGCGAGCCGACGCTGCGGCAGCAGACAGCCATACAACGGCGAGAGAAGCGGCAGAACAAGCCGAGAAACAAGGGGACGAGCTGAACGTGGTCCCTGAGACTTTCAAAGCGGCACATGATGCGCGCAGGGCTGCATCGAATCGTGAATCGACTGCAACAAGCGAGCTTGGCCGCACTAGAAGCGTGATACGCCCGCCTGGAAAAATCGATGGAAAGTTCTCGGCACGTCAAAAGACTGCATCGGGAACGTACGCCCACCCAGACGAGATGGATACAAGTGCCGACGATATTGAGAAGGGAAGGAGAGCAACTAGAGGTTTCTTCGCAGATCGAGATTCGTTGGATAGTATCCCATCGATTCGAAATATTAACCTGGGAGTAAGTACACCACGGAGAATGAAGCTTCTCATGAATGACGAAGACCTTCGAAAGTATCAACTTGGGCAAAAAATTCATAACCGAAATTCTGGAGTTAACGATGCAGATGGTGTTTACCGCCAGCCAATTCGGAATCTCTCAGGTTTCCCTCATGGACATTCAGCAAGCACGAATGACATCCCTTTGCATGGATTGGGAGTCAATGATGCTGCCGCACATGGTAGTCGGAGCGAGGATATCCAACGGTTTTCAGAAGGGAGAGGCATTAGCACAAGAACAGACAATGAACGATCGAGGCACCAAGGTAGTTTGTCATTTGCCAGTCGTATGGCGAAAAAGAAATCGAAGACGAGTCGTTAAGATGAGGCAAGCTACACAGGGCTGCTGGTGGTTGGGAAAGTAGGCTATGTTAATTATTCTTCAAGGATGAGCAATCGAGGAATTCTGAGTATCAAGGAGCTTAACAGATAGAATAATAATAGACAGGAACCGGTCGATTTGTGGTATTTGTTTACCTTGTGTCGGTGGCTCAAACTCGCAAGTTTTGTACTCTTACCCTGAGAATGAAGCTATCTCGAACAACAAGCAAGCAGCCCGTGCTTGTCGATCCCACACCATCATGTCCACAGTGACAGAAGTCTACCCCGCAATTCTGGAGCCGCATGGGCCATGACAACACAGAGGGCTCGTCAGTTGGGAGATGAAGATGAAGGAACAAGCTGACCAGGGTCCAGTCCAGTTAGGTTGCAGTTGCTACCAGATAACTTTGGTGCTGCTATATCTGTTAATGCATCCGTATCAAAATTACCTCGAGACAGGCATCATATCTATTTTCTGATGCTTGGGTAGTATACTATAAACTCAATAGGTAGACCGGTGAGAAAACGTAGGCTTTGTCGGTGAGCCTATCGGCCACCTGGAAAAGACTTTCAAGGCAATAATTCGGCGGAGTTGAAAATGCATGATATTAGTTTTCGACATCTTGGCACGGTTTGTTTGGCTGTGTCATGATCATGCAAATTCAAGGCTGGGTTGCTCTTAGTCATGCCCGGAGGATCGGGCCCGGTTTAGAAACAGTTTGGTCAATAAAATCTGGAGAGAAAGAATGACCGTGATTGTGTTGTAGTTAGTATCGCCAAGTGAATTGCGATATAGATGTACATGTATGTACTATTCCATGTGGCAAGGTTCTATCACTATCAAAAGACGCAACGCAACATGTTGCCCCTCCATTAAGGCCTTACTCACCCTTTTCAAAGTGACGGAACAGCGGGGGAGGGGCAATATTTTTTCTCTCCTAATCTGATGCACTTAGTATCTGCCATGTCTCGTTCAACCTTGACACGTTCAAAAGTCAAGGGTATCGACGTTTCGAGATTGGTGCCTTGCGTTTTGGTTGTCATGTACCACACAGTTAGTGGGGAGAATCCCTGAAATCCACTGTAAGGCAATTGATTGCGTACAGGAATACTAAGCCACACTATTGATTAAGGTACCCAGTACCTTGACTCAAAAGGTACATGCTTTTTGGTGACAGAATCGCACAGAAATCTATCGTCGTTTCTAGCGTCGACCAAAGTCCATCGTTGATTGTTTAACGTGACCACAACATCCCTGGTGCGTGCTGTGTTGTGTTTCCACTAGAAGGAATTATCATGAATATATAAATCACCATCTCAACATTAAATCTTTGTTTCTTATAAGAGAAAAGAATATCGTATCTTCTAGAAGAAGCCTCATTAAAAAAAAACACGAATCGAATCGCGACAGAAACAAAAAGGAAAAGAAAAGTAACCTCTACTTTACTTACATCATCGCTCCACGCTGTTGTTTGGTGTGTAGTGTATAGACCCGCAGGTACTGAGGACTCAACCCACTGAAAAGAAAGGTGCCATTTGAAAATTTCAGTTCTGTACTTTCAGTAGGCAAGCGGCATCCCCCATTCGCTGCCCCTCCACCATAAAAAAAAAATTGACCTAGCGGACCAAGGACGGACCATAAACAACCAACCGCCGCCCGACCAAGTCGACCTTACCTTACTCTCCCCCTCCATACACTACCTCTATTCTCACGATCCTCTCTCCCCCATCTTCCGCTTTTTTTGCGATCCCTTTCATTTCCCTCTTCTGAGCTTTCCTGCGCATCGCTCAACTATATTCCCCCTCCTCTTTTTACCTTAATATCGTGTTTCGGGGCAAACCCCACCAGCCGCAATCATGAGTGTCGTTGGTAAGTTTCCCTTCCTTCTCAACCAGTTGCACACGACGCTATAAAGACAATAAACCTAACTTGCCGCTTACAGGAATCGATTTCGGAACCCTCAAGACCGTCATTGCCATTGCCCGAAACCGTGGCGTCGACGTTGTGCGTATACCCTCGTTGTCTTTCCCGCTATCTAATCTATCTCGACCGACCGCTTTACCCCTCCATACTCCCTCTTCGCTCTCGCTCATATATCGACATCGAGATAGATGGATAGCATTAGTAGTGCTTTTGACTGACTATTTTTGTTTTGATATAGGTCACCAATGAAGTCTCAAACCGAGCAACTCCGTATGTCATCTCCTACTTGCTTCAACTTGTCGCTTGTCGCGCAAATTCAAGCAACCCCACCATGATTCTTGAATATTTCATACTGACTGATTCATAGTTCCCTGGTAGGATTCGGACCCAAGTCTCGCTACCTCGGTGAGGCCGCCAAGACCCAGGAGATCTCCAACCTCAAGAACACCGTCAGCTCCCTCAAGCGACTCGCTGGCCGATCATTCAACGACCCCGATATTCAGGTTGAGCAGCAATATGTTACCGCTCCTCTGGTCGATGTCAACGGCCAAGTCGGTGCCGAGGTCAACTACCTGGGCAAGAAGGAGAACTTCACAGCTACCCAGTTGGTTGGCATGTACCTGAGCAAGATTAAGCAGACCGCCGGCGCCGAGCTGAAGCTGCCTGTTCAAGATGTCTGCATGAGTGTGCCCCCTTGGTTCACCGATGTCCAGCGCCGTGCCCTTATCGATGCTGCCGAGATCGCCGGTCTCCGCGTCCTGCGCCTCATCAACGACGGTACTGCTGCTGCTCTTGGCTGGGGTATCACAAAGCTCGACTTGCCCGCTCCCGAGGAGCAGGCTCGCCGAGTCTGCTTTATCGACATTGGACACAGCAGCTACACTGTTTCCATTGTCGAGTTCAAGAAGGGTGAGCTCGCCGTCAAGGCCACTACCTGGGACAAGGACTTCGGTGGCCGAGACTTCGACCGCGCTCTTGTCGACCACCTTGCCAAGGAGTTCAAGGGCAAATACAAGGTCGACATCATGACCCACGGCCGTGCTCTCGCCCGTACCATCGCTGCCGCCGAGAAGACCAAGAAGATCCTGTCTGCCAACCAGCAGGCCCCCGTCAACATTGAGTCTCTCATGAACGATATCGATGCTTCCGCCATGATCACCCGCCAGGAGTTCGAGGCCATGATTGAGCCCCTCCTTCAGCGAACCCACCTTCCCCTTGAGGAGGCTCTGTCTCAGGCCAAGCTCACCAAGGACGATATCGACATTATCGAAGTCGTTGGTGGTGGTTCTCGTGTTCCTGCTCTTAAGGAGCGCATCCAGTCCTTCTTCGGCAAGACCCTTTCTTTCACCCTCAACGCCGATGAGGCTCTTGCCCGTGGTTCCGCTTTCAGCTGTGCCATTCTTTCTCCCGTTTTCCGTGTCCGAGACTTCGCTGTTCAGGACATCATCAGCTACCCCATTGAGTTTGGCTGGGAGAAGGCCCCCGATATTCCTGATGAGGACACCAGCTTGACTGTCTTCAACAAGGGCAACGTTATGCCCTCCACCAAGATTCTTACTTTCTACCGAAAACAGCCCTTCGATCTCGAGGCTCGATACGCCCAGCCCGAGCTGCTCCCCGGCAAGACTAACCCTTGGATCGGCCGCTTCTCCGTCAAGAACGTCAAGGCCGATGGTAAGGACGACTTCATGATCTGCAAGCTCAAGGCCCGTGTCAACATCCACGGTGTTCTCAACGTCGAGACCGGCTACTATGTCGAGGAGGAGGAGGTCGAGGAGGAGGTCAACGAGGACCCCGATGTGAGTTTTACTGCACCGCCTATGGCTTCAAGTTTCCCCCCTGTCCTTTCAGAAGACTCGGCATCTACCTCATCGTCTGCAACTGCTGGAGATGATAGTCGTACCTATCCCTCCAAGCGTCAACGCATCGATGACAATGACCGTTCTTCGTCCCGTTCTTCTACTGCCGTCAATGAAGATTTAGAAACTTCAATTTATGAAACCCGATCGCTAACGTACAACTCCCTAAAGGCTATGGAAACTGATAAGGATGCCCCCAAGAAGACACGCAAGGTCAAGAAGCAGGTCCGAAAGGGTGACCTGCCCATCTCCACTGGCAGTGCTTCATTGGATGACTCCACCAAGGCCAGCCTTCTTGAGAAGGAGTCTGCCATGGTGATGGAAGACAAGCTTGTTGCCGACACCGAGGAGAAGAAGAACGAGCTCGAGGCCTACATCTACGACCTCCGTGCCAAGCTCGACGAGCAATACTCTGAGTTTGCTAGCGAGGAGGAGAAGGAGACTATTAAGGCTAAGCTCGAGGCTACTGAGGTACGTTGATAGTGCACCATGACGAGACGCTTTATGCTTACTTTAACTGCAGGATTGGTTGTATGAAGAGGGCGAGGATACCACTAAGGGTGTGTACGTTGCCAAGATCGACGAGATCCGTGCCATGGCTGGCCCAATTGTTCAGCGTCACTTTGAGAAAGTCGAGGCCGAGCGACAAGCCGCTCTGGAGAAAGCCGAGGCCGAACGGGCTGCGAAGAAGGCTGAGGAGGATGCTCGCAAGGCTCAGGAAGCCGAGAAGGCTACCCCCGACCAGGAGATGAAAGATGCCGACGCTCAGGAGACTGAAGGCACAGCCGACCCCCAGTAAATTATGAGAAAAGGGGAGCAATGCATGATATGAGATGAATGACGCCTAAAAAAGATTACGTACGGATGTTGAAAAAGAAATGCTATTAGGATTGGGTGGGGAAGAGATAGAACATGCGATATGGTTGCAACGACTCTGTTTTATTTGGAGAAGGAGGGATCATCATAACGGATATGTTACCCGAACGTTAGACCACTTTTTACACCTTTAGTAGTTAGTATCCATACACTCGAGTTTGGTTCAAGTTTTGATCATTTATCGTTCGTTGCCGTCTTTGGAATGATGTACATCAGTAATGAATACATGATATCTAACAATATTCAGTCATGAGCAAATCCCTAAAAAAGGAAACATGCCCCGCAGATGAACAAGTCGTTGTAGATGCTTCACCTAATATATCACTTGGAACAGCACTTTTAATAATTTCAACTTTGATTTGGATATAAAGCTCCCTTCTATATGGTCACGCCGACTAAAGGAATTCTTTTTTCCTTTGACCTCGTGAGCCCTTAGCCGTTTTTTTTTTTGTCGTCCTGGAAATGCGAACCACTACCGTACACCGTTACCTTCAAACAAGATGGATGCAATTTCTTTTCCGATCTCTTCGCCTTAAAATGCAATGTAGGACTCGTACTGTTCTCCCCGCGCAGGGAGCTGGCTCTCCCTACCTCCACGTTGTTTGACTGTGTGATATAGCTTTGAGTACTGAGAAAGACCGAGCTCCCGGCGCCGACGATGGCGAGAAAGTTCACAAACTACCAGGCTCTTAACTTTTTGGTAGATCTGGTCGCTTATTAGATGTCGAACAAGGGCTTGAGCTTGATGATTAGCTGCCACTCCTCGTTGGTGACTTCCTTTCGGTAGTACTCCTTGAGAGTATCGATACTGGCTCTTGAGATCAAACTGTACAGAGTCTCCTCTTCTTCGAGGTGACGACCGTACATGGGCTGGTTGCCACCCATCTCGATCTTGATAGCGACTGAAGGTTCCTTTCGCTTACACACGGGGATCTGCTTGTGCTCTCGCTCGATAGAAGTACTGCAAAAGTTAGTGAGAGGTCACACAAAATAATGATGATTAAGCTTACACTCTGCCCAGCTTGACAACTTCCTTGACACCAGTTGTGGGGTTGTTCCTGACGGCAGCTACAGGGCAGTTGATTCGGAGCTGACCCTCGGTAACATCCACACCGATGACGATGGGATCGTTCTTGTTGAAAACCTTGACAGGTTTGAGGACACAAGGGAAGACAGCAAGCAACTTGGATTCCTCCTTCTTCTTCTCGAGCTGCGCTTCCATGTGCTTGGTGAAGGAATCGAACAGATGGTAAATAATATCGGCAGTGAAGATCTTGATGCCCTGATCATCGGCGTACTGCTGAGCTTCTTTGTCTACTTTGACATCGAAACACAGCATGGTGGCATAGTCTGGCGCCTTCTCCAACATGACACCACACTGCATGACATCGCGCTTGTAGACGGGTCCGATACCGACGTTGGCAACGGGAATCTTGCAGTCCTTGAGGAAATCAAGCAGAGCCTCGAGCGAACCCAGAGTCGAGGCCTGGACACTGACACCACGACCAGACTTCTCAACGCGGTTGAAGAGAACAGCAAGGTCAGACTCGACCTCATCCTCGATGTCATCTTCGTCATCGTCGGGACCAACAACCATCAGACGAGAACCAGCAATGGCACCCTCGAGGCCAGGGGCACTGATCTTGACACCCAGCGCGGCCTTAACCTCCTTGTTGTGGACATATGCTGACTTGAGACGAAGCTCCTTCATGGGTGCTGGTGTGAGAAGTGCCCTAATATTTGTCTTGATGGCTCCTTCTGTACCACATAGCACGATACGATCACCTTCTCGCAGGATACCGTTGGATAGAACAACATCGATGGTCATACCGAAACCTTCAATGGCCTTGACTTCAAGGACGGTAGCTTGAACCTCAGAAAGGTACATGAGAGAACCAACCATGCGCTCTTGAGTAAGCTGGACAATAAGCTTCAACATGTCGGGAACACCCTCGCCAGTGTGAGCCGAAGTGGGCACAAGCGAGACGTACTTGGACATGGACTTGTTCTGGTAGAAGAGCTCAGAGTTGAAACCTTGCTCAGCGAATGCAATCTTTGTCTTCTCGAGACGAGTCTCAAACTCGTTACGGACAGCCTTGCTCTGGAGGGCCAAACTGTCTTGGAAACCGTTGTTGGCGACCTGCTTCCAGCCGTAGAGACGATCGATCTTGTTGAGGGCAACAATGAAAGGAGTCTTGCGGTCTCTCAACATGCGCATAGACTCAAGGGTCTGGGGCTCGAGACCGTGCATGATATCGACAACCAGAATGGCAATGTTACAAAGCGAAGAACCACGAGATCGGAGGTTGGAGAAAGACTCGTGACCAGGGGTATCGATGATAAGAAGGCCGGGAACCTTGAGCTCGAACTTGCCGTCCTGGTTGACGACAGCTGTCTTCTGTTTAATGGCTTCAGAGGGGAAGTACGTGGCACCAATCTGCTGAGTAATACCACCAGCTTCGCCCTCCTGGACGTTGGTCTGTCGGATCTTGTCAAGGAGCTTGGTCTTTCCGGTATCGACGTGACCCAGAATACAGCAAATTGGTGATCGCAGGTTGTCCTTAGATCGGGCAGCCAAAGCAGCCTGGTGAGCTTTCTCACGGCGCTCGGCAGCCTCACGCTTTCGCTGTGCCTCGGCGGCCTTTGCGGCTGTGACAGCTTCGTCCTCAGAGGATTCATCCTCGGAGTCGTCCTCGGCAGAGTCTTCTTGTGTCTTTCCATTCTCCTTCTCCTTTCCGGCCTCCTCTTCGTCAGAGTCAGCATCCCAGCTGTCCTTAACATCACTGTCGGAGGCAGCTGCGGCTTCCCAGTCGTCCTCAATGTCACTTTCGTCAGCCTTCTTCTCAGCGGCAGCCTTGGCTTCGGCCTCGGCCTTCTCGCGGGCGGCCTTCTCCTCAGCTTCTTTCAAAGCCTTCTCGGCATCCTTTCGTGCTCGCTCGGCAGCTTCTGCAAGGGCCTTCTCCTCGTCAATCTATCAAGTGTTAGCCTGTGCTTATACTGACATCTTTGTAGCGTCTGAGCATACCTTTTGTTGACCACGGCCCTTCTTTCTTCTTGTGTCTGCGGGCTTACTCTTCTTCTCACCACCGTCGGCAGGGCCAACTTGAATACCAGCAGCCAACATCTGTTGAAGCTTGAGTTCATTTCGGGCCTTCTCTTCCTTTTGAGCCTTGGTAAGATATTTACCATCCTTCTTGAGCTGCTCAATGCGCTCCTTCTCCTTCTGCTTCTTCAAAGCTCTGGCCTCCTCGCGCTTCTTTTCTTCCTCGGCAGCAAGGCGATCATCCTCCTCAGCCTGAGCCTTGGCCTCGGCGTCAGCCTTCTCGGCCTCTTCTCGTTGACGCTTTAGATCCTCCTGTTGCTTCTGAAGCTTGGCAAGATGGGCGGGGAGCTTCTTCTTTTTTCCTCCAGCAGCTTCGGGCTCAGGGGCAGCCTCAACAGGAGCAGCCTCCTCCTTCTTCTCCTCGGCAACGACGGGCTTGGCGGGCTCGTTCTTGGGAACAGCACCACCCTTCTTCTTGGCAGCGGCCTAGTAGAGAATTGTCAGTAACTTACGCATATATATGCAAGTGATTTATGCCAGAAAGTATCCGCAGCCAAACATACCTGCTCCTTCTTTCGCTGCTTCTCACGCTCCTTCTTGAGCTTTTCCTTCTCGGCCTTGGTCAGGATACGACCACCTTCGGCATCATCATCGGCGGCGGCAGCGGGCTCAGACTTCTTAGCAGGCTGCTTGTTCTGCTTGCCACCCTTGCCCTTCTTCTCTGGCAAAGCAAACTCATCGTCGATGTTGGCCTCGGCAGGGGCTTGGGCGGGAGGTTCTTCGACAGCAGGCTCCTCGGGGGCGGGTTCGGGTTCGGTAATGCCCTTCTTCTTGCGCTTCTCTTTGTTCTTGCGCAGAGTGGCCATTAGTCCACCAGCGCCGCCCTCATCGTCGTCGCCGTTGGCGTCACCATCAGCACCATCAGCAGCGGCAGCGGGCGGGGCAATAGTCTCGCCCAGCTCGGCCTCCCAGTCATCCTGCTGGTTCTTCTTGTTTCCCTTCTTTTTGGGCGGCATCTCGGCGTTTGGCTTGTCGGTTGACTGGAACTCGAGATACAGTCGTCGGAGTAGGCGAGCAAGCCAGATGTATTTCTGGAAATTTTAGGGTGGAGGCGGAGTACCGGAACCCAAAAACTAAAATACAAAAAAGTTGTCAAACGAACAAGGCAACCAAATGCTCGTTCTTGGTCACTCACACAAGCAGAAGAGCGCCTGGATGGTCAGGTTGGTTTGAGGGTGGGAGTGAGTGGGTTTAGGCCTACTGCAGTGGCTGCAACAGGTTTAAGGCGGGGCAATTTAGCACTCGAGTATCATACAATGCCAGACAGGGCTTCTTGCGTGGCGAATCTAACTTTGTTGGGGTTTTGTTATGTATAAATATAATGCAGAGATACACTTATTTTTATATGCTAATCATTTTGTTAATGATCATTTCAGCCCATCATTAACTTCTTCTTTATTCAAGTACATGCCAAACGCAAACATTGTAAACGATATTTTAACTCCTCGGCTTCTCATGTAGTGCGGGGCAATGGGGAGAAAAACCCAGGAATCATGATTATTTTGTGAATTTGCTATATTATGTAAGCCAATGATGTGAGTCAAAACCTACCGACGTAATAGTAGGTAGGCAACCTTGATGCTAGGCAGTCAGGTAAATCCAATACACATGCCAGGTCAACTGACACTTCATATTTTGGTCAATGAAGATGGTGTGAGCAGGCCTTGCAACACTTTTGCATGACATGACTCTTAGCTACAGAGCGAGGGAAATGTACATGCCCGTGTTATAGACTCAACACTTTTGCATTTCAAAGTCGCCGGAGATTGTACTTCATTAATGTCATACCTATAATCATCAAGCTCTCAACAACTTCTAACCCCCAAGTCTCATTGTAAATCCCTCTTGCTATTCATCAAATTGGCGGAGCCAAAACATAATCAAGTATCTTGTAGCCCAGCTCAATATACTTCTCCTGTCCGTCAACACCATTGTCCCGAAACCCTTCCGTGTGAATGCCATCTTCGATTCCGTCCAAGTATTCGCAAAACAAATCGATGCCATCGCCAATGGATACGAGGCTTTCCAATGCGTTCAAATCGAAACAACGTTTGAGCAGGTCGCCGTCAATATGCATCATGTCTGGATAAGACTGAGGCTCCAGTTCTAAATCCAGATCGAGTTCCATGTCGTCGTCTATTGAAGACTGGTTGCCGCGCGCAAAGGGGCACACGCCCGGGTGGTGATATGCCAGGTTTTGTATGAGTCGAAGGAAACGCCAAAGGTCCATGCCTATCAGGGAGAAATGTTGAAGTGATCCATCAAGTGAAACTCCTAAAACTTCGGCCTGGTCAGTCGTGCTGAACAGGGTATCGTATCGCCGCTGGCGGTCAACTGCCAACCAAAATGGGCGGGTTTGCCCCTTGCGGAATCTCCTGATTGATGTGGGCAATACACCCTCGAAAACAACTTCAAACTCTTTATTGCGTTGGCCCCAAGGGATCCAAACTCCAGCAAGACCAGCTTGTGGAGTGGATATCACACTCACGGGCCACTTGCCCAGTTGTTCTTCCGAATCCCCCATCTCCATCACATGCCCTGTGTACCGTGTTATACGGTCGCTGTGTATGATGGACGCCTGAGTCTCCTCTGATCCCACTTCAAGGTCAATGACTTGTAAAGAGTGCTGTGCAGTTAATGCGCAGACTTTATGACCTTCAACACGAAGTGACGTAGCTGGAGAATCCAACTTGATCTGTTTCATCGGTTTGAGTCTCTTCTCGGAGAGGTCGAGAACTTCCCAATGGAGAACCTTGCCAACACAGAACAAAAGGCCCACAGCATCTCCAACAACCGTGTAAATTGGCTCTGTAAAGCCTTTCTTCTTATATCGGGTCCAGTATTGCAATTGCCTTGTCGGCCCATTGGCACCCTCGACTTTCTCTGCCTTTACAGAAACTATCATCAACCGACCGTGCTGGGTGGTCACAATGATGAATGGAAATGTCATTCCATCCTTCACATAGAACCACTCGTATAAGCCAAATATCCTGTCTCCTGGATGTCCAAGGCCAGAGATGTAATCAGACGGTTGCCTGTCCTTGTTAGTCGCTACTGAAATGTTTTCCCCCGTGTCAGGGTCAATGAAAGAAAGTGTTGGCCGGTTGTCTTTTAAATGCGCAACCACCAAGGCCTTCCATTGTTTGGAGTAGATAAGACGCATTGGTGTCCCGTCGAGCGGAATACTGCGAGGAACTGGGCCAACATGAGGCCATATATCCACAAGAAGAATCTGTGTCCCAGCTAGTAACATCAAAGACATGTGGCGATTGTAGCCAGAGAGACTATTCTCCAGACAAAAGGCCGAGTGAATGGGCGGTGATGGCATTGATTGCTCATTAGAGTCGGTAGCCCAGATTCGGCTTTTGGTCAGAAATTTGGATGTCTTTGTCGAAAAGTCAGTAACAATCGATAGATTGTTGTCACAGCAGACCAAAGCAGCATGACTTCCATTAAACCGGCCAGAAGTCGCAAATACGTTGGCAGGTGACAGACCGAGATGTTCAATTACGAACGAACTGTGCTCTAGGTCGCCTTCAAGCTTGACGGTCACGATGTGTCCAGTCCTAGTGCCAAGCACTAGGATTGTCTTTTCGGCGGTATCAGCGATTGCGTCAACACTTGTGTATGCCTCTGTCTGGAAGAGAAAGTCTTGGTCGGCAGCATCTTCTAAATTGTCAGTTCACTCGTTTCATCTAGCCTGTCTAAGCACCACACTCACCAAGATTTGGGCAGGGGGCCTTGCTGCTCATTTCTTGACCATCAAGTGAATATATCGTCAAGTAAGGCATGCTGTCTTTGACAGAACCTGCCACAATGTAGGTCTCGGGTGATTTCTTGAAGAGGCCCAAGCACGTTATCTCGCCCTTGGCATCAAATGAGGTTGAGTGCAACAGATTCATTTCGTCAACTCGCAAGACGTCTAACCGCGATCCGTGGGCATCATGCGAAGAGAGTACTATCATATCTTCAAGGCAAGATGCATGGTCCGCTACTAGCGAGGTCTTCCCACAAACCTCATCGTGGCTATGTCGTGAACTAAGGTCCTTTTAGCCATCCGTTAAGGCCAGAATACAATTCTCCTACCTCTGAAAGGGTGCAATAAAGCTTGTGGACGTTTCAGTGATTTGTATAATCGTTCCTTGGCCGTTCTGGATCGCTGAGATTGTTCGCGATGAGGTATCAAATGGGCAAGCATCTGAGGACAAAGCGCTGGCATTGCTCAGATCAGCAGGAAAATGAAGCACGTCTGAAGAATGTGGCAACGACAGGACAGCATAAAAGCCTTTCTCGCCTTGAACTTCCATAGGAAACATCCATGACTGGCGAACAGGTTGGTCATAATCGAATTCCAGTCCAATCCTTGCCTGAATACCCCATCTCAGTTCTGTCAAACTTGACCGAGGTCCACGGCCAGAAGTGCAGAAGATGCGATCTGGTTTCTGTTTCAGGTTTGTAGGATTTTTGCGCTTGGTTGAAATCTCTTTATGTGTGCTATCTCTCGACCATGAGAGATTTGTGTCTGTGGTGGCAAGGTCTACAACGGGTGACCAATTCGGTAAAACGCTAACTTGCAGAGGGTCGGCACGGGCTTCGATCTATAGCACCTAGACGTTATTCAAGTCCATTCCACGAGCAGAGAGACAAATACCTTCCAAATACCCCCTGGGCCCGACTCGCCACCAATCACAAGCATATCCGAGAAGACATCATAGGCGGTGGTGAACGCAGTCGTAATATTGGTGTTGATCGTTCCGACATTGAGTACAGAGGGAATTAGAGCCGCTGCATCAATCTCGATCTGAACAATAATGCCATCTTCACGGGCTAAGTAAATAGTATCAATTTTGACCCACCATGTTTTAAGCCTGAACGGTCTTGCCCAGGCTGTCCAGAGGGGCTCGGAGGCTCCATGATGCAAGTTGGTTTGTCCAGGAGGATTAGTCTCAATGGTGTCAAAGATTGTTTGTCCAGTGAATGCATTCTTGACAATACCAATGCAATGTTCCGAGACCGCAAAGAAAGCAGTATTGAGTTGGAGAGGGATGATCATAAGAGGCATCCGGTGTTCTCTTGGGAGAAGAGTCCCCTTCTCTGACTGGAGGACAGTGCTTAGTTCATCGCCGAGCTCCCAGTCATAGACGACCATGCGGGATATATGAGTCAGCTTGTTGACTTCGCGTCGAATGATGATGAGAAGAAGGATGATATGGTAGTCATCCTCGGGTCGTGGGTATAAGAATTCCATCTTGTGTATGACGCCTTGCGTTGCCCGAACTCTAATTCCCTTGACAGGTTTGAAAGAGCCATGATGGCGGAATTGTGAATCCATAGTGGTAAGTGACTCCAACTCGTAGATAATAAACGCACCTTGGGCAGACCCAGCGGCCATGTACCGGGACGAGGGGTTAATAACAAGATGGTATCCCAGAAATTGTAGATTTCTAGGACTCTCGTACTTTGTTGTCACAAACTCGAGCGTTCCATCTGCACGTTGTTGAATGAACAGGAAAACAGCATCGCCGGTCTCGAGCATCAGCACCAGGAGTTGCGGCGGTAACACATGGTGCGCGTCAGCTTGATACACTATATCATCGTCTTGCATAGCAACATCAGGGTCTTCGGTCTTGATCGGATTGCCACGTACGCCATCTGGGGGTGCTCCAAGGACGACTGCATTGCGAATTCGTGTACCAAAATCGGCTTTTCTGATAACCTCGTGGACTTGCCCATCCTCACGGAGTTCACTAATTTGAACGAAGCGATCCTGGATCAATCAGCAACAACTCTCATTGTAGGTTTAGGCTATGGCAAACACTGCCAAAGTGATTTTCAGGGCTCGGCCACAATCCCAATTCAGGTAGCATGAAAAGCAACATCAACAGATACAAGACAAGCTTTGTTCTACCAATGAATAGATCTTTGGATAAAGGAATAACTTGACATGTGCGCGCCAGATATAGTTCGTACGGAAAGGAAAATAACTTACCCCAATAAATGCAAGATCATTGTTGGAGCGTGACCGTAACCACACTGGGAGAACCCAGTGAACAACGGGACTCTCTATAATAGTCCTCGAAAGGATGCCACAGGCAGGTTTTTCGGTATGATGATCAGATGCGGTTTTGGGCATAGAAGAGGAGGCCTTTAAAGCATCTTGGAAGCTGACTGTTTGCGTCACCCACTCGCCATCTCTAAGAACACTGCTCTGGAAAGCCATGCTGAACTCCTCATGGCATCAAATAATGACCAAAGCGGAGCTCGGGGTGATTCCTGGAATCAGGAGAAATATGCCGAAATGCCAGTGGTGAAGGTTTTAAACATGGGAAGTGGTTTTCAGGACGAACAAGTGACAACTTCCGCACGGGGCATTGCAAGTGTTGGGTGCGTCGTCCGTGCAAGTCCCCTCCTGTACAGCACTGCTGTGGTCTGGTGTGTTTGGGGTAATCCGGTGGATGGTTGTCTGCGCCAGTCCAACACCAGCCAAGTCTGACGCCGCTAGAATATCGCCTAGTAACGGTCTGTCGATCAGGTAAATGTGAGCCAGTTGAAGCACAAATCGTGGACAGCCAATATTGATTTAGTCGATTGATCGGCAAGGTAGGGACTTGCGGTAATGCCAGGAGATATATGTCCTGGAGCAAGTGGTCGATTTTGAAGTGAGGTCTAGTAAAGACTGCAGTACATGGGAGGAGAGTTGATTATTGATCAGGGCAAACTGATATTAGACAAAAGCCCCATTCGTATTGAGATTGGCTCTAGGGGGTAGATGGAGAGCAAATATGTCTCGGAGGATAAAAAATCAGAGCAAGCCACAGATAAGTGAGCCCGATGGTTCTGAAACCGGCCAAGATTTGATTTGACCTGATCTGACCTGCGTTGGTTAAAAACAACTCGAGAGGCGTGGGTGAGGCTCCGAAGCTGAAGAGAGGCGAGTGGAGGTCCACCTTTTTTGTGCGTTTTCCATGCCGGGTAGGAGGCGCTGGACACACCTAACTGCTACGGAAGCTAGGTTACTCGCCTGGCAGTAGTTTGTACCTAATGAGTTCGGGTCAGGTCCAGCTCGTCGAGTCCATCTGAATTGTGATCGATCCTCAAGCCCGGGCGGATAGATTTTAGCGCCCCGTCAGACCCTGACCCACATTTTTAGGCGTACAGTAACTGTGTGATCAGTTCTCAGTCTATTATCAAGCCGGGATAATTGCACTTTAGCTATCCATAGATGCTGAATACTGGAATTGATCCTTGTCCTGTTCTGCAAGTTGCCTTCCCATGGTCACTCAACAACCCGGTTTCACCCTAGGTACCTTGTCTGTACCAGTCAGGCCTTAGGTTTCTCAGAACCACCAGTAACATAAACACACTACCTGGACCTTGGGGAGTAGGTAGCCTTGGAGTAATTCTCATGAACATCCCGCAACTAGATTCGTGCCCCACTGAGCTGTTTGTCCAAGCCCCAAGTCAGCACAATCTCCACTAAGGCTTAACAGGGCTTCCAATCTCGACCGCAGCTGGGCAAGACAACAGAATTGTCACCGGTAGCCTACCACTCAACCCCGGATCCCTACACTGCATCATACTTCATTAGCAATTATAACACGATCCGACAATGGCTCAAGACACATGAACGAACCATGCATTAGTACTGTACGACAAGAGTAGAGAGACCACATTATAATTAGATAACCATTGTTATTGGGTTACAATATATTACACAATACGAATACAATCCTTTTGTATGCACACTATAATAAATAACATGTCACCTTAGCTAGTTGGTAGCAGAACAGCTAAGCTAGCCTTGAAGCTTTAGGCTATGAATAAATAAACTAAGAGTAGGGTCTAGATGTCATAAACTGTCTCACTAATTTCGTCTCTTATGCCTGCCTCCTGGTCAACTTTTCTACTGCCCTGATGCTTTGGTAGTTTCTAACTTTCTACCCAACAATCTTTTGGTGGCGTTAGAGAACCAGGGCATTGGTAGAGCGGAGCGGCTCTTGAGTTTTACTACTCCTCATGCAGTCGAATTGGGCGTTGATCTGCGCTGATGAGGCTAAACATGGTATTATGAGTTGTGACTGAATCGGTTTAATGTTAAACAAACTAGACTATAAACACGAACATATAAAATGTTGATATATATATATATATATATATGTAAACTGCTGACTTGGTACATTTGCATATGTGGCATCGTATAGTACCAGGTAGATATTAAGACTACAGATCTCGAGCCGCGTGGCATAGGTATTCATTCAGCCCTTTGCATACCCAGAGTCAATGCAAAGTTTGAAAACACATCACTGCGTTTTGGCACCAGTCTAGTGTCAGTGGAGAGCTGTTTCACCCTCCTGCCCTAGAGGAAGTTGTTGTTTGCTTACCAACTGTGGTGTAACGCGACCTGTCATGTTTGTCAAGCCTTATTGGGGGGGTTTTTGTTGTTGTAGGGCTAACTGACATAGGACGATCGTTGTTAAAGGCTACTTGTAACTGTCTCCCGCAGAAAACACGACAGGAAAATTAAGCTTATAATTGCATGGGAAGCAATGTGCAGAATTCCAGCCATCAACATGATGCCGTTACAAAGATCAAGGCGCTTGCCCTGACAATAATCCGGTAGATTTCTATCCCACGTTCGATAGATCCTTGCAGCTGATTGTCTTAAACAAACTCAAGGTCATGTATAATACCTGTTTGTAAAGGGCTCCGATAACTCACATGCACGAAAGCTGATCACAAGGTTGACAATAAACGAATGGATTGGTTAACGTACAACACTGCAATATGTACACAGAACTGAAGTTGAGAGATAGTCGCGTGTCTTAAATATATGCATGTTCCAACCTGCTCACTACATTAGTGTAAATTCTTTTCTTTTCTTTTCGTCCTTTTCTTGATCCAATCAGAGATGGAAGTGGTGTCTAATAACCGGTCATCATGGAATAAGACGGCAATATCTGCCAAGTCACCCTAGAGTTGCAGTTGTGTTTGTTCTGTGTTTGCATTTGAAAGTACACACGTTGAATACGACACATCCAAACAATTTATCTCAAATAAAAGGTTTCATAATTACAAACTACTCATAAACTACAATACTAATAAACTACCTACTAATAATGTACAGTTCCTCGAGAAATGTCCGGACGTGGGGGCATTATCGGGCCCGTCCCGTCCGGTCAAAGTGGGTACGTGCGCCCCCCTACAGACACTTAACAGGAGTTTGAATCAACCTAACCTCCCGTCGGCCAAACAGGGAGCAGACAAGCTACATCAATTCTCCTGCCTAAGACTTCTCATTCATCAAGTGACACGAAAAATCGCAAACCCCTTGCTAAGCAGTCATCACCAGAAAAGAAAAGAAAAGAAAAGAAAAGAAAGGGTCCCAAGATTGTCCAATAATATATCTCTCATCTACTCAGGGAACAGCCACGGCTTGTTCTGTCTCTCAGCTGTGATCTTGGTCCGGGAATATCTGATATCCATCCCTTCCATCCAAGCTTTGCATCACACCCCTATTCCGCCTCGATTGTCACTCTTTATTGTCTCCGGGCTTGTATTGGTCATTGCCACGAATATGGATAGCACTCAAGAATTCGATCGCCAATCGCGTTTATCTGCTAGCCAGACAAGTAGCAGCACCAACGTCAACACTAGCAATCATGTTTCTCAGGAACCCGATATCATGTCCAATCCCAAAGCTTCCGAGATCATTAAAGCATGCAAATGGAAGGACATCGGCCGCCTTAGATCTCTAGCTGAAAGCCATGGTGGATTCTTGTCCGACATCCTGCGAAGGCAAGCGTGTACGTGCCCATCCCCTTTACACAAGTCTATCCCGACTAACAACGTCTTGCAGGGCCCATATTGCTAGGCATCGATGCCCCATCAGATGATCAAGAGGATCTGTCATCAATGCAGGATGATTCCGGGGACTGGAAGGGATTACCCCGCCACCGGGATGAAGACCAGGTTCAGCTTGACGTCAACCGTTCCTTCGTCTACTACCCAAACAGTACTGACCTTCCTTTTTCTATTCATTATGGCATGTTCAGAAAGCTAATACGGAGATAGACCAGTCCGACGCGGAGCTAAGTCTCCGCAAATCAGAGCTCTCATCTCTCATCACTGAGGTTCTCCGTCGCCATCCTTACCTGTGTTACTTCCAAGGCTACCACGATATTTCCCAAGTCTTACTGCTAGTGCTAGCACCAGCATGGAGAGCTCGTGTGCTTGCACGACTGTCGGTATTGAGGATACGGGACTTCATGCTGCCTAGTTTCGGGCCAACGACTGCTCAGCTCCGTCTTCTCCCTGATATCCTCAATGCTGCTGATCCAAAGCTTCGGCGGCACCTCGCCGGTGTTGAGCCATTCTACGCACTGGCCGGTACCCTAACGATGTATGCTCACAACATCGAGGCATACCAAGACATCGCCCGGCTGTTTGATGTCTTCCTCGCTCGGGAGCCTGTGTTTCCTGTCTACGTATTTGCGCAAATCATTCTCGACCGCCGAAATGAGATTTTCGAGATTGACGAGCCTGACATGCTACACGTTATTCTTGGCAAGGTACCTACCAAAATGGATTTGGATGATCTTATCATCAAATCAGCCGCTCTTTTTGAGATTCACCCCCCAGAAACCTTGAGTTATTGGCGTCAGATATCCAAATACAGCGCTCTCAAGACAGCTCGTGATATTGAAGCCTGTGCAAAACAAACCCTAGATGAGGGCTCCGAGCTTTTTGACAAACAAGTTGATGAGGTTCACTGGCAGGAGATTCGTGATCGCGTTAGGTTGGCTCTTTGGCGTTACCGCCGACCAGCAAGGACGGTTGGGATGGCTCTGGCTGTGGGAGCTCTGGCTTTCTACCTGCGACGCAACCCAAGCCTGGTTAGCCGCATCACGTCCCTTTTTACCCGATAAACACATGATCCCTGTTTGCACAGAACTGTTTCGAAGAATGATCAAGACAAGCATATGTAGTATAGCGATTGGCAACTGGAGTAATTTTTCGTACATAGATGACATAGATCATGTCTTTCTTTGTTGAAGGGGGAAAGGGGGGCAAGCTCTATTTAACTATCAAGACCGATATATATCACCTTAACCTAGACGCCGTGCAAAACATGTGCAATCGTAACACCCAGGCTTAGAACTCGAGTATGCAGTACTCTCTTATCATTAAACCCCGAACCTGCCATTGTTGTCATATCCCAGGCTCTCTACGATGATTCTTGGTGTTGAATCTTCAAGCCTTCAAAATGCTCCTGCTGCTCATCAGCCAGCTTGCCGTTCGCGTCGCTGATGATAGTGAGGATGAGTGAGTAGTTGTTATATAGAAAGCGCCCGCTCTTGCGCTTGTCGCCAAATAGTTCAGCATGGCGAGTAAGAAAGGTCTCCACGTCGGAGCGTAATCGGCGCAGACTAGATACGACAGGCTCATCGTCGCCAGCATCGGCGCTGAGGGTCAAAAAACCGTGCAATAGCTGCCCAAAGCGCTGAGTCACAACATGAGGGGCTGCAGACAGCTTCGCAGCTTCCGCCCGACTTGGTTTGGATGGTACAGCATTGATGAGTTGACGGACCGACTCGCAGTGGCGGTCCATGATGACCTGAAGACGAGGCCAGAGGAGCATAGTAGTAGCATTTATGTAACCATCCACGGCTGGGACTTTACGGCGCTGAAGCTCAAAGGCGAAATGTTGATTCAATCGAATGCAGAGAAGTAAACCCAGCGCATCGTAGGTATCTCCCACGAGCGTCTTAGATAGTGCCCGGCCAAGCTCGAAAGTGGACTCGAAGATGTAGTTGAAGTTCTTTGAGATTTGATTAAAAGACAGCGCAGGCGAGAAAAATGTGGCCATGAAAGTGTACTCGGCCGTGGCGTTATCAATGAGTGCGAGATTAAAATTACGGAAGGGGACTTCCAAATAGTGGGTTGTTTGGTCCTCCTCGGCTAGGTAGGATGAGAGGGCGGCTTGATTGTTAGTTTTTAGAAGATCAATACGCCTTCCAAGGTTAAAGGCATCATGAGGAGGTCCTGGTGCTCGGTTACTTGAAAGGACAGTGGCTTTGCGAGTTGTATCCTCATGACCAAGAGCATCATTCTTGTCAAGTATATGCAGTTTGATTTTGGCTAGGGCCCTCTCATATCGAGAGAATTGGTTTAAGTAGTACCACCGCATGGTATTCATGTAAGCCAAGGCGATCTCGTTAGCAAGAGTTGAGTGGTGTTTGTGTAAGAAAATGAACAGTTCCTTAAAGCGAAGGAAATTCTGTTGTTGGATAATCTGCGCGTTGATGTGTGGCGATCGCAATGCTTTGATTTGAGCCACGATGAAGTCGCGAATTCGTTCAATTGCCTGATTAAGTTAGATGTGATCTTTTCGAGAGTCACATTGCCTCATTCATACCTTGAGAGTAAGTTTCTCCAAAATTGGGTTGAGATCTTTTGCTGCATTACTGATCTCAGTCTCAGGCTTCTTCTTGAACATGTTCGACCTGCGATCAAGTTCGGCAAGCATCTTAGCCCATGATTCGTCAATGTGGCCCTCAGAGATCTTGGAGATAACTTCAGGAGGCAAGCTCAGTTCTTCTACCAACGGTCCTAATGCCTTCTCCACTTGCTTTCGATTGTCTAATCGCTTGTTCAGTGCCGCCGATCGGGTTTGTAGAGACTCGATGTCTGCCGAGACCATAGCTAGATCATTGCGAAAGTTGGCAAGGTTGAGCTCAACCGATTCGAGAACGTCGTCGCATGCTTCTATCGATCGGTGAAGGTCTTCGAGGTTGGCTCTATCTTTCTCGCCTTTTGTAAATTAGTCGGGTGTTTGTATTTCCCTGGGGTACAGCACGTACTCTCTTCTGTCGTTTTTGGCTTGCGTTTGTTGATCGCAGTTGTATCAGGGGGCTGAGATGCAGCCAGCTCCTTCAATGACAAGCCTCCAAAGTCGGCTTCCAAGTTTAGATCATCCTTATTAATGATGACCTTCTTCTCATGCTGGTCGCGATCGTCTGAAAACCCTGCCAACAACGTTTCCAGTACCTCAAGAGAGTCAGGTCCCGTTTCGATAGTCGAGGCCTGTCTCAAACCAGACCCATTCGGTCTTCGCGCTGAAGATAGGAGTGATGAAGAGGATTCGTTGGAGGCCAATGATAGCGAAGAGCCTCGTGGAGATAGTCCTGGACGCTGGGATGTGACATATGGACTTAAAGTACTCGAAGTTCTCTTGGGATACGGCCTGCCCCCGGCTTGAGGTGTTGAGGGTCCAGGACTAGTAGCAGGGCCTCCGGCCAGTCGATCGAGCCACATGTCGATGAGAACAAAGGCGAGGCAATTCGATGAAGGGTGATTAATTGAAGGATACGGGGCTCGAGTTCAATACCATGGCATTATTCGTCGATATCGAACGTATTGGCGATAAATCAATATTGAGTGAATGCAAGGATGAAGCGGGCGTATAAGGGTCAGCTTGGCCAGCTTGCAACGCGAGGCTGTCAACAGCCATTAACTTGAAGGTGTCAAGTATAGATAGAGTGATTGGTCGCGTCGAGCTAGCGCGGACACTAGCTCAGCCTCGTGTGGCTAAACCGAATTCGATTCTATATTTGGAAAGTGGTGGGGTCTCGGTGAACCGACACCCGAGGTACCAACAACAAGAGTTTAGTCAGAAAGTGGATGAAAGAACAGCGACGCCACGGAACACGGAGAATGTGATGGGTAAAATCTGCAGCTTACATGGTTTGCGGGGATTTCACACTACCTTTAAGTTGCGATCTCGCATGGAAGTCAAAGGTAGTCATAGCATGATGGAGTTAGAGGGTAGCAGAAAACATGATGTTCAAAGCTTAAGATACAGAAAATAAAAGCCGAAGAGTTAGTCTAATGTGGCATAAAGTGACTGAATGATTTTGTGTCTCTGGTAAGTAGCATAAAATTTATGTCGCCCAGCAGAGCTAGCTGTGTTACTGTAGCAGGGCTAGTATTAGCAGGTATGTGCTTCGAATGCACCGTCCTGCATGCAAGCAAGAGCTTGGAGTGCATTTCAAGAAAACCTGACCAATCCGGCAAGTTGTGTGTTAATCATGACCTCGTGTTAGAAGTGGGAGGACAGGATCACCTTGTATGAGGACAGCTGCATTTGTTCACACTGCGCTTTTGAAGTTATTCTGTAGTTCTAGATGCATCATACTCCCCTACAGGGTGGTTCACACAAATGACCAGGCTGAGGACCTCCATTCTGCGCCTCGTGATCATTTGGAGTCACTGTCGAAATCAAGGACTGCATCAAGGTTCTTGCCGAATGATAGTTATAATTCAGTCTTTGGTGTTGAACTTGAGTAAACCCTGCTGTCGTAAGTTTGTGTCGCACATCTATTTGTTGGACTGATCGGCAAGGCAACAACCTAGGTCAATCGATCAATTCAAAATTTGAAGCTGTCAGTTCCGCTCCACCCCGCTCGATCTTTGTGTGTAGCGGATAAGTGCCCTGTAAGCAGACTACCCCTCCACTGATATAGGTAACCAGAGGAGGGGTCGAACGGGCAGCATCTATGGTTAAAGGCGAGGGGCAAAAGGTAGCAACAATAAATGGAGCTTCATCAAGGCTCTAGACCAGACCCCTCCTTCAGACAAAGGGCCTGAATGGACCTCAACCCACCTGATCTAAGGATCAGATCAATCAATTCACAAGACAAGAGCTATCCTACTGTAACCCAATCTCATAAGCTGGCTGGGCTGCTAATTTCTTGTCCATCGGTAGCGTCCGTCCATCCAATCCACAGACGGGCAGCCTGAAAAACAGTGCCCACTCCACTGCTGCACCCAGCAACGCCCAATCACAACCTTGAGAAAAAAATTCCGTCGAGGGCCTCTCGCCTTTTTCTTGCCCCCTCTATCTTTTCCGACTTGGGCCCTTTCCTCCTTCTTCCCTTCTCCATCCCACTATTAAGCACCACTTTCAGCTTTTTTTCTTCTCCTCCTCAACCTCACTCCTTTCTCCTCAAGACCCTCGATTTCTTGCCAATACCGTCAAAATGTCCGCCCCTAACGACAACGAGGTGAGTTACATATCTGCATGCATAGCATTGTCTCGAGATCCAAGCGCACGCGCCCACGAAGTCTGCCCTGCGCCCATTTTTCGCCTGGGGATTTTCACCCCGCATTGCGATTTGTGCCCCACGATACAATGCTGCCTCATGGTTTTTGTCCTCATTTTGAGCTTCAACAGCCATCGCAACAACATTACTATATTGCTTGACCGAAAATGAATAATTTTGCTGATTTTTCTGTTCTTCCTATAGCATGAGATGACATTCGATTCCGCCGATGCCGGCGCGTCTCTCACCTTCCCTATGCAGTGCTCTGCTCTGCGTAAGAACGGTTTCGTCGTCATCAAGGGCCGCCCTTGCAAGATTATCGACATGTCCACCTCCAAGACTGGAAAGCACGGTCACGCCAAGGTTCATCTTGTTGCTACCGACATTTTCACTGGCAAGAAGTACGAGGATCTCTCCCCCTCTACTCACAACATGGACGTCCCCAACGTCACCCGCCGAGAGTACCAGCTGGTGTGTGAACCCTTGCCCCGCTCCACAAAGGAAGAACCCCTCCTTTGAGAGCTTAACCCTTGTTGTGGTCGACTAACAAATCTTCAAGCTCGACATCTCCGACGATGGTTTCCTCTCCCTCATGACCGACGATGGTGACACCAAGGACGATGTTCCTCTTCCCGACAACGAAATTGGCCAGAAGATCACCAAGCTCTTCAAGGAGGAAGAGAAGGACACCAGTGAGTAGCTTGCTAATTTCGATGTGAACGACAGACTGACCATGATTTTCAGACGTCATTGTCCTCACCTCTATGGGCGAGGAGTGCGCTATGGAGGCCAAGGAGGCTCCCAACCAGGGCTAAATCATTTAAACCTTGATCCACGCCCTACCTTAATGGCACTTGGCCCCTGAGGATCTACATTGAAAGATGATCTGGATCAGGGGATCTTTTTTGTTTTGATGGACATTTGGCGCATCAATATTCATGGGCCATGGGTAGGCGTCGTGCAAAAGGACTCTCTACCTGGACAGGGTTGCCTGCCTTTTATGATATACGGCAACCCTTAGCACCCGAGCCTCAGGCTCGAAAATGTTTTCCTTTGTTCCTGGCTCACAAGCTGCGAATACCATCATGTCACGATACGTAGCAGCAATTAAATGACGAAAAATGGGAGAGCTTTGGAGTTGATCGATTACATATGTCTTCTTGGTGATGTGAATCATTTTTTGATAACCTTGTGATAACCTTGATCTGAACCTGTCAATGCCTGTCAATGTATTCATGTGGGACAAAGGACAAAATGATTGCTATACTGAATGTCAGGCCCGCTAGTAAATTAATTTAAATTCCAGCTACAGAACTTCTTGGGTAATTGAGGAGTCAGATTTATGTTTTAATGAACAGACAAAAGGCAAAGTATGATTTCGTTGTCTTACAGCTTGTGTTACTAGTAAAATTCTCGGTTGTAACAAACCGACAAATAATATGCTTCACTGACTTTGCTAAGTTTTAGCTTAGCTTTGACCACTTTTTTTTGTCTGTGCAAAACATCACAATCACTTGGCATTGTACTTGTACTGAGTGATCCGATTTCGAGAACAACAACCCTCATTTAGCAGTGCAATGACATGATAAATCGGGATCATGGACGAACGGCGAGATCTTCGCAAGTTTCCGCGCGGTGAAAGATGTCCAGAATGTGGTGCTAGGCGATGGTATTTGGAAAATGGTCTGCGTTTCTGCTCCAACGGACATCAAGTCGAGGTATGTGGCGCGATATTACCAGTATTCGATATCCATCGACTGATACAGCCAAACAGGGATTTGTTCAATTCGATATAGGTGACGAGGTAGATGCTGGAAATCTCGGAAGAGTAGCCAGAAAGGAAAAGGAAGTCAAAGAAAAAGAACTTCGACATCTCATTGGCCAAGCAGGAAGGAATCTCTTTCTCGAATGCCTGCAGCTGGTTTTGAGAAACCAACTTTTATGGCTCATAACAAGCAAAGGTCATCGGGAAGAACTTGAGACTGTGGTCCGCGACCTTTGGGATCTTCGCACCCGCGGCGGTGGTGCGCTTCCCGTGGGAGAAGAGACGCAAGAAGCAGAACAGGATGAAGGTCTCGCATTGTTCAGCTCTCAGCCTACAGCTGATGCGAAGATCAAAGGCAACGCGCCCAAGAAACAACACACAAGAGCCCAGAGCTGGAATCCAGAGGAGAATCCCGACTGGCCAATGCCTAGGATGATTGACACACTGGCTTTGTGCTACCTTGGGTGCTTGCTGCTCAGAATACCTACAGCCATCGGTGAGCTGTGTCTTTGGGCCAATGCTGGACGAATACCGTACAAACGATCGGTAAGTCTCATACTGGAAAACTTTTTCTTTTCTATCTTCGTGTGTTAATGACTCTTAGTATTACGATTTGCCGCAAGAAATGCAGGATCGATTGCCTTCTGCTTATACAAGAGCGCTCAAGCTACCCCTTCGCTGGCCTCTCAAGGGCATCGACTTGCACAATGCAGTGTTAGATCTTGCGCTATCGTATAATTACAACTATGGAATGATATTTCCTGCTATCAATGAAACACCAACCTTGGTTCATTTTGTTAGACAGCTCAGTTTGCCAGGTGCGTCCTTCTTCTATAAAAAAAAAACTGGTCTCTTTGCGCTAACTGTGTTGTAGTTGAAGCAATTGTCACTGCCAAAAGTATACTATCAGTGATGCGCTTCTCTTTCCAATTACCTATTGAACAGTCACGACGCTTCTACATTGATTACCCTGAGATTCTTCTCATCTCGGTTGTTCTTGTTGCAGCAAAACTGTGCTTTCCACTGGGGCGCCACGCCCCCTTACTTCAAGTAGCAGAGACTGAGTCGAATATCAAATTTGACTGGATGAAGTGGCAGAAAAGCATTCACGAATTGATAGATCTATCGCAGGCATCCGAAAAAGAGCCTAGCTTTGACAAGATTACCGTGGACCAAGTTACCTCCATGACAGCCGAGGAGCTCGACCAATACTTCGCTCATATTGCTAGTACAATTGATAAGAAGAGTAGGTTGCTCGAGCACGTCAATAGATACACACTGACAACTTTTAGATGACTCGGTAGTCACAAGATTCTTCCCTTCAGAAAACGCTCCGCCCCCCGAAACCCTTTCGGCAGAGAGCGCCGAGAAGGATAACGATCACAAAATGAGGCAGATCCTAGGTCGAGCTATCACAATCGTTGGAGAAGAAGGATCTGAACAAGAGGACGAAACTATGTTGGAGCCAAACTATGAAGCATTCCGTTCAGTGGAGGATTTAAACGAGACAGCGCAGGCGTTGTATAAAGCTGCTGGTAAGTCCCCATACACATTTCAGAAGCCTGCAAAGCTAACAAGTTATCAAGGCCACATATCAGGCTTGTCACTGGATGAAGCAGTACAGGCCGTTTATATGTTGGAGCAGAAAATACTCGGTTGGCAAATGGCTCAGCGTAAAGAAGATGAAGAGATGTTATGACAGTACCTATCAAGACAAATACCATTATTATCCAATCACCTGCTTAATTTGACTCACACCTCCTGTGGCCTAAGCTTTGGGGGAAAGAAGTAACAGGGCATGATATCATGAGTGCTGAGTGATGGATCCACCCCCCTGCTCCTGCCCACTGCCCCCCAGCCCAATCAAAAATGTCAAGTGCGATGCACGTGACCATTTCGTACCTTTAGGGCTTGCCTTCCCTTTCGTTTCCCTTTCGCCCCACCAATATTGCACGCAGAAAGGAAGCCGGCTTTCCAATCCTCACATCGTCACCGTCACAGAAATCAGTCAAGAGTGAGTATACCCCCTACTTGTGGCCGTAAATAAACGAGCGAAGACGTGAATACTGACTTTCAATGTAGTGCAGATGTAAGCTCGAACCCGCCGATTCCGAAATATCGACCAAAATTCGCCTCCTTCCGTTCGTGTACTAACAGCGCCATCCAGTTTCGTGAAGACCCTGACGGGCAAGACCATCACCCTCGAGGTCGAGTCCTCGGACACCATCGACAATGTCAAGTCCAAGATCCAGGACAAGGAGGGCATTCCCCCGGACCAACAGCGATTGATCTTCGCTGGCAAGCAGCTCGAGGATGGCCGAACCCTCTCCGACTACAACATCCAGAAGGAGTCTACTCTGCACCTTGTTCTCCGTCTCCGTGGTGGTATCATTGAGCCTTCGCTCAAGGCTCTTGCCTCCAAGTTCAACTGCGACAAGATGATCTGCCGCAAGTGCTACGTATGTCGAACCTCAATTTGCGCCGCGCGCACCGGATTCTAACAGTTTTTCTCAGGCCCGTCTCCCTCCCCGTGCCACCAACTGCCGCAAGCGCAAGTGTGGTCACACCAACCAGCTCCGACCTAAGAAGAAGCTCAAATAAACGATTACTCCATGGATATGGCGTCTGGGATTTGGCATTTGGGGGTCGATGGCGAGGACAGAGGAGAGCTTTCTTTTGTTCACACGAGGCTGGTTGTTTTTTAAAATAGCATGTGCAGCTCCGGCAATACATTCTAGATGATGCCCATATGACGATGTGCCGTGCCGTAAGGTGTCCCGGCCAGACCCCTCAAAAGAAATAAAAAGCATTCAAGCTTCAAACAATGCTTGTGCAACGAAATGGCTGTGATTGTGTGTAGGGAATTCGGCTTTGCGCCTCTTGACCTGGCAGAAAGAAACAATGCTATATGATTCCGATATGTATAAAGAGACGCGCTTTGCGACCATAGATAACATCGTGCATGCCTAGGTAATTCCTACTGCAACACATCAAATTCATCTATTGGAGCAGGTCACTCTATCCCTCGCTTTACAGGGTGTTTCATGTTTGAGCCCCACTGATAATCATGCACAGGGTTGTGATAAGACAAAGGCTGTAAATCATGAGGCGCCGCTTAAACTTCGGTAGCCGAGCTTGACACGCTGCGCGCGCTCCTGAATTACGACAACTGCCAAACTGTCCCAATTGGAGCTGACAGTGACCTGTGACAAGTAGCTGCAACTTTACCCTCCCTTGTAATAGCGCTGTTCGTTTTTAACCACGTACACATCACCAACTACGAACGAGTCGCTCGCTATATCAGTTCAAAACAATCCAACGATCGATTACTAGTTTCCACAATGTCTGGCTCAGGATACGACGCCGTCGTCGACGTTGACGATGAGGTACACATACCCTTCTAGCTTCATCAAGCTCCTGCGAAGATGTCCAGCAACATAACTCTTCGTATACTCTTACATCTGAACTAACATGATGCCCAGGGTGACCTCGGCCACACCGACCTCCAAGAAGATCTCGAATTCCACACGTCCAACTTCAACGACACAAATCCCAACACCCGCAAGCCTCCCTCTGGCGGCAGCAGTCTTCCTGCGCCGGTCACAGCTTCGAGCGGCTCAGGTTCATCCAAGCGCTTCCTCTGGAGCATGAACTTTTATGCGCAGTTCTTCGATGTCGATACTTCCGCTGTCCTGTCCCGTTGCTGGGCCGCTCTCTTTCCCCGAGCAAACTTCCTCGATGTTCTCGAGGGCAACCCTGATTTATACGGACCGTTCTGGATCGCCACAACAGTTGTCCTGATTCTCTTCCTTGGAGGTACAATCAGCCAGTATATGTCTGATACGGGCAAGGGACCATTCCTCTACGATTTCAAGCTGTTGAGCGGTATGTCCAACATCTAGAGCACTGCTGTCAGGAAGTTGCGTACTAACATCAAACCAGGCGCCGCTGGCCTCATCTACGGCTACACCCTTTTCATCCCTATGGCTCTGTTCCTTGCCCTCAAATACTTCGGTAGCGAATCTGCCAACCTTCTTGAGTGCTGGGCTCTGTACGGTTACTCCAACCTGATCTGGATTCCTGTGGCCCTTATCAGCTCATCGCCCATTTCCATTCTCAACTGGGTTTTTGTCGGTGTTGGTTTCGGCATCTCGGTCGCATTCCTGCTGCGCAACTTGTATCCCGTTCTCAGTGCCACAGATCGCCAAGTCAGCAAGATTCTGCTGGTCGTTGTTGTGCTACTGCACGCTGGTTTGGCGCTTGCCATCAAGATCCTCTTCTTTGCCCATGGTAGCCCCGTGTCCAGCACGCCAGACAAGGGCAAGGGTGACCGCATGTTTTAAAAGACTAGTTCAGGGAATTTGATTAAAAAGATAAGAAGGGATGGATATAAGGGCTTGAATGATACGTGTTAGAGAACATGTCCCGGGCCTCAACTACAGCCACAGTGTAACCAAAACGGAGTTTTGGGGAAACATATCATTTTGGCATTGTTTTTGTACAATAAGTTAGAAGGTGCTTTCATCTGATCAAAATTTTACCTCCTTATCGTGTCCCCCTTTCACAAAGATGCAATTTGATCCCTAAGACCGCTTGACACTCTCAACAGGCCCGTTTTGCGCCGCCCAATCTAACCAGCTCCCGGGATAATCGCTCACTTTCTTCCAGCCAGCATGCTCAGCCAAATGCGCGGCCGACTTTGCGCGAACGCCAGCTTTGCAGTAAAACAATAGCTCTTTGTCCTTTGAAGGTCTCTCGAAGCCGTACATCTCCTCAAAGTCCTCCTCCGGGATATGGAAACTCTGCACTGCTGTTGTGATGGGGATATTGATCGCGCCGGGAATTTTGCCTGTCTCGAAGAGCTCGTACGGTTCTCGGACATCTGTAGCGCAATGTCAATATGTGTATTGTATACGTCGGAAGGGACAAACATACCAACAATGATTATATCTTCATGAGTGCCATCTTCCACAAGTTTTTTCAATTCCTCGAATTCCCATTTCTTAAAGTCTTTTGTTGGTTCTTCCTTGACGCTATAGCTTCGCAACGACTTAGCAAAGGGCGCAAATGCTCGTGATGCCAGAGATGGCCTTGCTGTGCGGGCTGCGATGGTGAAGATAGGCCGCGCGGGTCGGACGGCAACTGAGGCGCGCAAAGCTGAGGATATGAAGGTGCGACGGGATGCCATTTTGATTTGGTGTGTATTGTCACAAGAGAAGTTGTATTGAGGTCGAGAATGACGGATCTTGGGCTAAGCTAAGTTGCCTGACTAAGGTATCATCACTTCGGAAGCTTGAGTGGGGGTGATGTAATAATTGATAAAAATGCCATGACGAGACCAGCACAATGTATGTATAAGCCTACAAACCTACAATATCATTCCCGATGCCAAAACCTGCGTTCATCAAAGTTCTTTAAAATAGAATCACTATAATTAGTATAAGATTTGTGGCTATGCTCACAGGTCAGCAGCGTGATCATGAATCCCTTGTGCTGACGTTGGTTGAAATGAAACACCATTCATTCCGTCATCTTATTCATTATTGATCTTGTATTATTTTTCATTTCGCTGTCCAAAAGCCATGTTGTAATCATGGCAATCATCTCTATGGCCCATTCATCTCAAAAGCCCTCGGGCTGCCAATATATACACCGAGAATAGGTATTAAAACTGATATCCATCATGTCTCTTCTTTTCGTCCGTAGAGCTGCATGGCTCTTCCGACTGAATGTCTGGGATTTTACCCAATTACTTCTGGAAAGTCCAGAGTCCAGTCTGCTTTTCTTCCCCAGAAACATTGGCCTTTCACAGCCATGTTCCTCAGCCGATTCTTTTCGAAAAGTTCCTCATCAGATGCCTTTCGACTGGTGATATCAATCGAGGGCATCAGGAACGTCAAAAGTATGGCCGATAGCGGTATCTATTCCTGATTCGAAAATAGATCTTGTGGTACCGCTTACCACTTCCTCTCCTCAAAGGTAAGAGGGCAATCGTCCTTTTACATGTTAGTTGCTGTTATTAAATCTAGCAGATGGGTGTAAACGTACCATGGGGAAGATGGTGGCAAAGACCTTGATCTCCTCAGACTTGGGGGTGGCATGGTGCTTCCAGTCAAGCATGACAGAGGCCTTTCCGATCATGAGAGCCAGATTGAGCTGAGCGTAGACCTGGCCGAGGCAGTAGTGAGGGCCGGTACCGAAAACCAAGTAGTTCTTGGAGCCCTTCTCCTCGGCGTCACCGCTGTAGTATCGCTCGGGGTCGAAGTGGCTAGGGTTGTCGTATACCTCGGGGTCGTGAAGAGCCATGAAAGTTGTGGGAATCAACATGGAACCTGTGAAGATTGAAAGTTAGTCTGAGGCCGATGATACAGAAGCAAAGTGTTGTTGAACTTACCCTTGGGAACGGTGTAATCTTCAGTCAGGGGGAAAGCCTTCTTGGTGACATAAGGAACCATGATGACAGGAGGACGCCATCGGAGGAGCTCACGGACAACAGCGCGGGTGTAAGTAAGAGATTCGAGTTGGTCCATGGTGATAGGAGCGTTGGGGTCACCGTTGCGGACCTTGATGTTCTCCTCTCGGACACGGTCAAGAACGTCGGGTCGCTGGGCGGTAACCTGGAAGAGCCATGTGGCGGCGCTGCTGGTGGCATCCTGGGAAGCGAAGAGGAAGGTGAAGATGGTCTGAGAGATCTCGTAATCGTTGAACATGCGGAGGAGAGGAGAGGGCTTCTCGACATTGTGGGGCTCACCCTTCTCCTCGGCCTCGCGCCAGCGCTCAGACTGGATCATGGACAGAATCCAGGCGTCCATAATGCAAGTAACCTCACCACCAGCAGCCATGCGAACCTTGCTCTTGGCAGCACACTTGGAGAACTCGGCCAGGACCATATCAGCAGCCTTCTTGCCGTACCAAGACTTGGTGTAAGGGAGGATAACGGGGAGGTTGACAAGCTCGAGAGCAGCGGTGATGAGGTAGTAGTCCTCGGCGATCTTGGTAACGGCCTCGTCGGAAATGTAGTGACCGACGAAAGTACGGCAAGATACAGCACACATGACCTCACGGAACTCGTGCATGAAAGGAACGGGCTTGCCGCCGGCGTCCTTGGTCATCTTGAGGAAGTGCTTGAAGTAAGTGTTGTAAGCCTCCTCCTGACCGGGCAGGTAAAGTTCGAGAGCCTTGCGGGTGAATAGACCATTGAGACCCTTGCGGAAATCAACATGAGCCTTACCGTCGAGGAAAACCCAGTTGTCGTGTCCAAGAAGCTTAGGGGCAACGTCGACGACTGTGGGCTTGACGTAGGCGGGCGAGTTGAAGACCTTGCGAGCCATATCACGAGTGGAAGCGATAACGACAAACCTAAGGAGCTACATGTCAGTATGGCCGATTTTTTATTGCCCTATCGGAGGACTTACTTGTGGAAGATAGAAACGCAGCTGAGAGGACCGCTGCTCCATTTGGCATGGTAACCGTCAAATCGGGGGTCCATGGAATCAAGGAATGGGCCGATGAAGGGAATCTTCATGGCGGGACCGACAATAGGGCCCTTCCTGACAATATAGGCAACTATACGAAAGCTATGGTTAGTGATGTGGCTCCCAATACCAGCAGAGAGACGACGTACTCTGATCATAAGCAACGCAGAGTGCGATCAAAGTGAACACCCAAGTCCAGACACCGGCATTGGAGACGGCCTCGATAACATAGTCGACCTGGGGAGGGATGTTGACGTTGGCATATTTTGTGCCAGCCAAGACGGACGAGAAGCCGCTGGTGGTGGAATTGACTGCCTCCATTGTGTTTGCGCGGCGACAGAAGTGTAATGAGAGTCGCTGGAGTCGCGTCGCAATCGAATTCGAAGTGTCGCAACCAAGCAAGTGTGTTGTGTTGCTGATTGTTGTTGTTAAGTCCTTCACAACAACTGAGTACTCCTTGCGACTGAGGAGAAGTTGGGTGAAAGGTAAAGGAGGGATGGAGGGTAAGGAGAGGGAGAAGGAGGGAAGGGAAGGGGAGAGCAGGACCTATGTAGAAGCAGGGGAAGTGGATGTTGTATTTCTTTCCAAGTCGGGGAGGTCCAATGTTAGGTTCCTTAGTAATTGGTCGTCCATTGAATGTCTTTGTTGGCTGTTTGTTTTTTCCAGTGACCGACCCGCAGATGGACGCCTCTCGTCTGCATAGTAGGTGCTAAGTCCGCGTAACAGCAACAGGTACCCAACTAAACTATCCATCACTTAATCACTTCAGCGCCCTTCCTTGCCCATCAGTTACAGGGAGCGGACGTGACAAGACAAAACCCGGCCAGAAAAAAAATAAAAAGAGGGCCCTGGGGTCTCAAAGGTCAAGGTTTGTTTGCAAGGGTCAGGGTGTGGGCGATTAACGGGAACGAGTTCGCTAACGAGCGGAGATTTAGCATGACGACAGAGTCATTGATGGATGAATCTCTCATTAATTCAGTACGTCTATGGAGCCAATGGAAGAAGTGGATGATTCTATGTGTTTTCTAATTATCAATCACTATTCACTGTCCGTCCTACAAGCTTTGTCGTGGCTCTCTGTACCAAAGACGATGCTGTTGAGTAGGGTGTGAGAGAAGAGACAGATTAGATACGATGTGCATTTGTAGCGTGATTGATTAGAGATGGAGGGGGTACGGTTGGTTCTCCTCCAACTGCAAACTCTTTTGATCAATGATAGTCTCAAGACTATAATCGATGAACTAAAGTTGTTTTTTTACTCAATCGACTCTTTATTCACTTTGATAGATCTACATTGCACAAATGATGAGAGTCAAACGCACGTTGGCATGTCAATTTCCCATCTTTTTTTCTGCTGGGTCTTTCATATTAGAGTCCCTTTTACTAGGTGCCCATTTGGTGCGAAATGTGTTCAGCTGGCACCGTGTGGTTTCCCATCATAGTTTAGTCTCCGAACTTGAAGCTGTCTGATCCAAGACTGGTTGGTCAGTAAATAACGTCAACATTCACTTTTCTAAATGGAAAGCAAACAGGTAGGCCACTTCTTGGCTTTCTTTATTCTTAATACGCGGATAGTATCGCTTTCACCGCCACCGTCATTGGAACCTCCAATTCGTACATCTTGTTGCTATGTGCTCAGATATGGAACGCACGCGTGACCGTGATTCACTTACAGACAACAAGCAAGCGCTTAAAGCATTGGCATGTCTTTCTTATGTTGGGAGACTCCACCATCCATGATCGTATCCGTACAATGTAGGAAATAGACAGCCCTGCTAGTTTAGCAATTAACTAGGCCAAACTCGCATATTCTCTTTTGCAAAGTCCACCGCCTCGCCTTCTTCCGCGCCTTCCGTCACAGATCTAAGCGGGCCCCTAGCCTGATATTCGGGACAAGGCTTAGTATTACCAATCTACTTGATCGTATGTTTCCCCTTGAGCCTCATAGTGCCATTGAGTTGCTAGATTGTCTGATAAAGCCATCGGCTGTGTCCGATCTGAAGCCATAATTACTCTGGCCTCATGAATGCGCCATTGAAACTCAGCCAGTGCGTGTGTAGAATGCATCAGACGGACTCTTGGGCCAATGCGCGCATCTGGGGATGAGATCTGGACAACAAACCGCTTAAACCCTGGCCTGGCCTGGCTGTCTCTGATCTATGTAATCGCTTATACGAACATGGATCGTGTCGGCCGATACGCATATACAAATGATGAAAGATGGTTGAATATTCCGTACATGTATTCCAGGTACATCTATCTACTTTGATTATATGAAAAAGTCAGAGTCAACATAGACAAGAGAGCTTCCATAACTGTCGCAATGAAATTCTGACAGGCCTAAAAGCTACTTGTACACCCTATCCACCTCGCTCTATTCAACATCAGCCGCTATTGGCTCCTCTGACTTATAATGTCAGGGACGCAGCCAGTTAAATTGTCGCTGACAAAGGCTCATCTCAAGGGTCCGCCTCTAGTCCGCGCGATCATCCGGGGTTCCACACCACACCGAGGAACGGTTTGACATGGATACGGCGTATTCGTTTATCTGGGAATATTCGGATGTATTTTCCACGTTAACGTTGACAAAACTTTGATACAAAAAAGAGAGACGTTTACTCTAGAGTCATGTGAGGGTGCACTTACATATATGCCAAGTACTAGAGTGTCATCGATGCAAACAATAGTCCACATGCATTTACGAACATGCTCTCGGGATTTGTCTATGGCCCGGCAATAACAAAGACCGGCTTTACCTGCCCGTGATGCCGACTTCATTTGCTTTAAGCTTGAATGCTTGTTCCAGTCAGCACTTGACCCGAATACGAATGCGATTCTTTGGTTCCCCACAACCGTAGTAGCTGTGGCGTCTGACTGGCTCAGCACAACTCTCCAATAATTGCACCAAATTGGTACAAGCAAACTGTCAAAGTGTACGTTTCCGATGAGAATTGTGACTTTGCTTGATTCCTTGTTACTCATCATGTCTGCTCTTGAGGTTTACTAGGATGGATATAATGCCAAGCTACTTTGGTCACTAGAGCTGCAGCAGATGGGTTAAGGTTATCTATCATAAGGGTTATACTATTCTGGCTTAGTATATTATGCTTATCTCTTATCTGTTGTCTACGTCACTCACTTCTTCAACTTCTAGCCCGTTGACAATACAAGTGGGGGATCGTCGAGATCATGAGGGGCATCATGGATGTTTCACTTACCCTGTATCGTTGCCATAACCTTTCTGTCTCTTTAGTTTGTTTACATGTACTTGGACTTGGAGTCTTCCCGAATACTAAATGAAATGAATTATATGTTGTTTACTGAATAATTCACAAGTGATCTGGACTGTGTAACATGGCTTGAGATATCCTAGCTGACAGCGACATTATCCATCAAGGTAAGAATGTGAAATAGCATCAATACAACATCCCACTTCACCTCACTTGCTTCAACTTGCTCTCTTCTAAACCATAACGTTGATAAACACACCAAAGTTGTGATTAAAATCCCATCATATGCTAAAATTTGCAACTATAATCCAGAAACCGCGTCATTGCTGTCAGATATGCCGACGTCACACACACTGTTCTTCAAGATTGCGTCATGTTCACAAGCCGTAAGACGCGAGTTTACCCTATAACAATCAAGTAAACTCTCTCCACCAAGAAAAGTATACTGGAATGGGCAGTTGCAAAAAGGAGGGGAAACCAGATTCATTGGTATCTGGCAAACCAGCAGAGCCAAGTGGATGCTAATAACCACCTATCGCACAAGAGCTACGTAGACCTGCACGCGCCTGCCCGCTGCCAAACAGGCTGGATGATGGGCCGTGGTCACGCCTCAGCCCAACTACTGACGCTTATAACTCGCAGCACCCGCAGCCACAGTAACTTGAAAGCTTCATATCCAACCCTCCTAATACAACAACAACAACAACAACAACAACACTTTCATCACAAAACTATATCCAACATGCCTTCTTACATCGTAAGGACCACACCGGACGTGATCATATGCGGGCTATGAGCTGATAGTCTCTCTAGGTTACCTGCAAGGAAGACGCCAGCGACGAGCAGGTCCAGTCGTACGTACCAAACTGCACTTGGTGGGAAAGTATACAGATGCTAACAGTCAATAGTGCTAAGCAGCACGCTATTGACCAGGGCGGCAAGATCGGACATGAGTACAGCCTCATTAAGGGCTTTTCGTATGTTTGGGCACCTCTAGCATGATAGATGGAAGGCTAACTATTGATGACAGCGTCGAGTTCCCCGCAGATTCCGTTCAGACCCTCGAGAGTCACGAGCATATCAAGGCTGTTGAGGAAGACGGCGTCATGACGACCCAGTAGAGTCCAGGAATAAATTATAAGAGATGGGCGACATCCTATAGATCATCTTGAGCTCTGTTGCACTGGCGTTCTGGAATATAACTATTAAACTACATTATGATTCAAGGCCTTGTATTTCCGTGATAACCATATCGACAAAAGTCCTTTCTCTCCTACCGCAACCAATCTCATGAGCTGGCGGAGCGGGGTGCTCTCTCTACTGGAGCTTGCTCATGACGACCCCGCAACCCCGCAGATCGAGGCTTGAGGTTGACTACAACTGACGAGAGATATGTATTATTCGGTCACGTGTGATAAGGTAACAACAATCAAATGACAACAGGTATTGCAGCAACTTCAGATTCAGAATGGGTATAAAAGTAAGATAGACATGTATTTAAGGAAAATTGAACTTGATGCCTTCAACTAGGTAGATATCAAAATGTTTTGCAGGGAGTAAAGGTACGTTCCCATTCAATAGTTTACTCACTCAGTCTCATACTGCTCCCTCGTCTGGTAACTTCGTCTCTTCCATGCTCTGCGTAGTGAGCCCTATTGTTCCATCGCCGAATCTCTCAGAATCTTATATAGATGGCTGATATTACATTCTGAATCCTCAACAATTTCCAACAAAACTGCCTGGAATCGGTCTGATAGTGTTCTTGCCAACTGCTCAGAAATGCGATCTGAGGCATATGCCATGCCTAACGACAGAGAGCCATCATCTTGTTCCACAGACTCGATGGCAAAGTCAACAGATGCGTAAGACTTGCTCAGGTCCACAGCCACTCGTTCGTAAATTGTAGAGCCAAGTGACATATTCTGTTTTTGCGCCTTTGTGTGATTCACCATGCTGACTCGCATGTCTGGTGCATCTGATTCGACTTCTTCCGACCAGCCCATGAATCGTTGAGCAATCTGCTGGAGCTCGAGACCTTCATGTGCCATGCTGTTGACTTGCTGCTGTTTGATTTGTTCAAGCAGTCTCTTCGCGGTCCACTCCGGTTCGTAAGTAACCCGGCATGGTACTGCTCTTGCGCAACATGCGACAACATCTGCGACTGAGGGGTGCACGATAGTTCGCCCTGTCAGGATATCTGCGAAGACAACATCATTGCTTGTGACGTGGTGGCTCAGCACTATGGCCCAAGCGGTCTTGACAGCCACGGCAAGAGTGAAGTCGAATTGTCTGATTCTCGGCAACATGATCGGTTTGCTAGAAACGATACCGAGTCGTGATACGAGAGGCTCCGCATGTGCACTGACGGATGAAAGGGCGGCTCCTTGGACAAGTTCGCTCCAATATTCTCCAGTTTCGTTTGTGGTTCGAGCTTGGAGACTCTGGAAATACGGGCCAACAGGGGCAAGATTGCCTATGGTCTGTCCTGCCATGATTGCTTCCAAGGCTGCCCATACTTGATGGAGAGTGGCGCCATCATACAGCGCATGTGACATGCGGAATATAATGCGAACCTGCTGAGTAGTTTTGGTAGTGATAATGGCGACATCAAACATTGGCCGCGCAAGACTTGGTTCGGTGAACATGTCTCGCTCTGGAGTCTCTTCATAAAAGGCACCAGGGCTCTTGTCGGTCTTGAACACACGTACTGTTGGTTCAAAATTGGCGTAAACAACTTGCAGCAACTTCTGATCGTGTGTTTTGGCAAATCCAGTACGGAGTGACTCGATCTTGGTGACAAGCTGAATGATTGCTGACGTCAAATGAGACGTGTCGCAAGGTCCGGTCGCGTCGAAAGCGAAGTGATTCAACTGCCTGCGTGCGGGTGACATGTTTTCCCTGACTATCTGGGCCTGGAAGGCGGTTGTTGGCAAGATGTCAGTCACGTCTGATTCCACTTCGATACAACCATCGGCAAGTACGGATTCAATAACACTTGCTCGCTCTTCCGATGATACAAGAGAGAAGCGTTCATATTCTCCATTTTCTTCAGTATCGGTAGTGACTCGTGCTGCCATTGCACAGAGTACAGAGTTTTTGAAGATTTCGGAAACGTGGATTCTCAAGCCGAGCTTAGCAAGGCGCTGAACCAGTGACATGGCTGTGATAGAGTCGCCTCCAAGGTCGAAGAAATTATCCATGCGTGAGACAGATTTCTTCTCGATATTAACGCAGGCTGCCCACAACTCGCTCAATATTTCTTCGTTCCTGCCAACAGGTGCGTAGTACATCTGGGACCTGGCCGTGTACTCAAGCCACTTGTCTGATGGTATAGTGTCCAACAAGTTGACGATTCGTCGACGGTCAAGCTTTCCGCTGTCAGTTAGCGGGAATGAATTGATGACCAAGAAAGCGGATGGTATCATGTAACTGGGCAGTCTCTCCCGAAGAGAAGCTTCAATGTACTCGAAACTCTTCCGTTGCTCTCTATTAGGTGTGACGATGGAATGCGAACCGGTAACAGCGGAATGGTTGGTTGATGAGGCAGCTTCGATGACGCCAATGAGAGAAGATCCTCGCTTGCAGACATAGGCGTATTTTGCGTTTGGGAGCAAGAGGAGAATCTGACTCTCGATTTCGCCAATTTCCAATCGTTGACCATTGATCTTGACCTGGGTGCCAATACGGTCGAGATACTGCAACGTACCGTCTGCATTTTGCTGCACAAGATCGCCAGTACGATAAAATCGCCGACCTGGACTGAGACCCAGCTCTTTGACGAAGGCAGGATCCACCAAGAATGAAGCGGCCGTCTTCTCAGGATCATTTAAGTAACGCCGAGCTAGTAACGGACCTTCTATAAGGAGTTCACCTGGTGTAGAAATCGGAACCAATTGTCCGTTGCTGAATGGATTGATGACCCACGTTCTGGCGGCGACTGCCTTTCCAATATTACGAACCTGTGAGCTGTCCAGGAGGTCGTTGCATGTCGAGTAGATAGAACACTCCGTAGGTCCATACGCCTCCTTGACGTCGGCATGTTCTATCCATTGATCAATTGTCTTTGATGCAAAGACCTCACCACCTACAATCAGGGTCTTGATAGTTGGAACATCCTTGGGCTGCAGCAGAGAAACCACAGCAGGTGTCATAAAGGCAAAGGTGACATTTGCCTCCGAGATGAAAGATCCAAGTCGGTTCATGCGATCATGTTCGGAAGGGATACATGTGCAACCACCAAAGGAAAGAGGTGCCAGGATATCGTAAATAGCAGCGTCAAAAGTGAACGCAGCAAATTGCAACACACGCTCGCCAGGCTGCAAACCAAATCTTTGACTGTGGACATAGATGCTTGTTGCAAGTGCGCGGTGTTCAAGGATAACGCCCTTTGGTGTTCCAGTCGATCCACTTGTGAACTGACACCAGGCAACGTTGTTAGGCCGTACCGATGTGCAAGGCTCGTTGAGTAGTATGTCTTCCACTGCTGATGGAACCGCGTCGAAGAATGAGTTAATGTTGATGAGTTTCGTGTCTGCTTCGAGTACATCCAGTCGACTCTCTTGTGCTTCATCAACGATGACGAAGGGGGCGGCCGTGTCTTTGAGAATCGTCTCAACACGAGCCAGGGGATTCGACACGCCTAGCGGAACGACCGCTCCGCCAGCCCGAAGTATGCCTAGAATAGCAACGACTGACCACTTCGATTTATCCATACAAAGACCAATCATCACCTCTGGTCCTACACCTTTGTTGACCAAATAGCAAGCCAGCTGACGGCTGGCCTTATCTAGATCCCCGTAAGTCAACTCGCCATCGTGGGCAAAGACAGCTTGAGCTTTCGGATGTGCTGCCATTTGTTGTACTACAAAGTCATGGAGACAGGTTTCACGAGGTTCTGCCATATTTGAGTTCCATTTGCAAATTTGATCCGCATCTCCGGTAGGCAGCAGACTCAGCTGTCCAAGTTGGTGACTCGCGTTTTCGGATATAGCACGAACAGCTTGTATCAAGCTATCGGCCAGTCTGGATGCTGCTGACTCGGAGAGCAATGTAGTCGAGTACAGGATGTCGAACTCAAGATCGGTGGGTGACGCAACAACGTGGATATTGATGTCGTACTCTGTTGGGTCCTCTGAGTCCAAGCCCTCAAAGATGATCTCAGCAGTACCGGAACCGGTTGGTACTTGCCTCTTGTAAGAGAGGATACTGTTGAATAATGGTTGGCCTCTTGAAAGACCAAGTTCGTGCTGGATAGCGGCAAGTGATACTCCTTGGTGCTCAAATGCCTCGGCAGATTGGCTTTGTAACCTGCGAGCCGCATCTGACACAGTTGAGGTCCAATCCAGCTGCAAGTGACACACTAACATGTTGATCATCGGCCCAACTAGTTCTTGGACACCTGGGATTGGTGCATCACGGCCGCTCGAGAGGTTGCCAAAGCTGATGTTCTGCGAATTCGTCCAGCTGGCTAGTACTACAGACCAAGCCAGCTGGCAGATGCTTGCAATTGACACGCCATGCGTATCCCTGAAGGTGTTCAGCATGGTAAGATCTTCGATTCGTTTGGAGACGGAGAGAATTTTGCCATGCCTGTCACTTTGCGCTGGATCTTGCGGCGGCAGAAGACATGGCTCGGCATTATGAAGTGCTGACTTCCAATATTGAAGGTCGTCCTGTTGATGCTTGCTCTCGAGAAATTGGATGTAGGAGCTGTAGTTGGATCCACCTGTTGTGAATCCATTCCCGTAGGCATCGATGAGGTCGCGGATAATAAGTGTCATTGACGAGGCATCCACAAGCGCGTGATTGATGTCGAAGCGGCAGTAAATCTCGCCCGAAGTTGTTGCCAACGTTGTGAGACGATGGGGAGGGCGACGTCGATCGGATGTGTCAAGTTGAGACTGTGCTTCAAACCACTGGGTGGCTTCCTCATCTAAGACGCCGTCTACACAGACAACATCTATTTCAGGATCAATGAGAACAATTTGAACGAACTTCTCCTGATTGGGAAGTGGTTCCATTAATACAGTCCTCAACACTGAATGGCGAGCAACAACCTGCTTCCATGCTTTGATCAGTCGATCTACAGCGACTGGACGGTCATGGTTTGATGGTGTAATTCGACACGTTTGGTAGATGAGATAAGCCCGAGGTAGTTGCATCTGTGTAAGGAGGATGCCCTGTTGAATTGGCGAACATGGAAGAATGTCTTGAACCTGACCGGATGAGACTCCCATGGCGGTGAGATATTGGTTCTCAATCAATGACATATCGCTATCGGAGAGGCGTGCAAGTGGGAAGTCGGTTGCTGTTACTCTTGGTGTGATTGTGGCTAACTCCTCGGCAAGACTTTTGACAGCAGAGCTGTAAGATTGAGCCCATTGTCGTATGGTCGTCTGATGCTTTGTCTTCGGATTGAAGCGAATGCTTACACAAAGCTCCCCTCCCTGCACAGTGGCGGAAATGTCAAGCACAGCGGAAATGTTCACGAGACTCCCGACGGGGGCTACGCCAGTTGCATCATCGCCATTATCGATGCGGAATAGAGCATCTTCTCGCTCGAGTTGTTGAAATCTTCCAAGATAGTTGAAGACAATCTCAGCTGGACCGTGATCAGCATATCTTTCTCGACCCTCAGGAGTGAGGAATCGACTGGCAAAGTAAGGCATTCCACGACCAGGGATGCGTCGGCGTTGGTCTTTCAATTGTCGAAGGACATCGATAGCCTTTTTGTTGTCTTCACTTGGCGGGATGTAAATTGGCGAGAGCGTTGTAAACCAACCGACAGTCTCAGTCAAGTTCGTCTCGCCATCCATGGCCTCTCGACCGTGTCCTTCGGTAAAGATGGGCGGCACAGGTCGGTCACTAAAGTGCTCCCTGAAAGAGTGATAGAACGCCGCCAGTAGTATTTCCACTGGCTCCGTTTTGAGGGCGGAATTGGCAGCGTCGGAGAGAAGAATCGAAGTTGTGGCAGGATCGCACTTGGTCTGGATGTTGATGAGATTGGCAGATCTTTCCTGGCGAGGAACCAGTCCCCAGTACTCCCAATTGGCATCGGGTATAGTTACAGGCAAGGTGTCAATATTGCTGTTCAAGGATTTGCTCAGCGACTGGCGCTGGCGCTCCAACCACGAAGGGAAAGATAAGATATCCATCTTCAATTGCTGGTCATACACCAAAAGGGTCTCAAGATCTTGAAGCAGAATACGCCAAGACATGAGATCGATAACGAGATGATGGGCGACAAAATGAAGGACCTGCCCTTCTTGTCCATCCTCCTTCTGTACATCCTGACGATGGATTAAGTCGGCTGCAAAAACCGGGCCACGCTCAAGATCCAACGAGGCCTGTGAATGTTCGATAATATTCTGCATAGAGTGTGCGTCGCTGGCTGTGTGTTTGCGAAGACGATAAGAATCAGGTACCTGCTTTTCCACCCATTGGTGCCAGCCATTCTGACTGTGACCGAAACGGGCTCGAAGCATGGCATGCTTTGATACAATCGCATCGAGAGCCCGGGAAAGGTCTTCCCACTCTAGCTGACGTGTAACATGGAGTGACACTCCTTGATTGAAACGATATTCTCCGTCAGCGCGGATTCCGCCCGGCGCAATATCCTCGAAATACATTTGCTGGATCGGCGAAAGCTGAAAGTTGCCTTCTGGTATCTTTGTTATCGAACTTGTATCCTCGGTTGTTTGTGTCTGGGTTGCGAGCTCTCGGATAGTCTGGTGATCTAGAACCTTGCGCACAGTGACTAAAATACCACGAGCTCGACAAGCAGAAACTACCTGCATTGCAGTGATTGAGTCTCCACCAAGACTGAAGAACTTGGTCGTTGTGTATGTAATTTTGTGGAGTGAAACGTCCAGCACTTCGCTCCAGATCTGCCGCAGCTGCCTCTCGACCGCTGTTGCTGACCCCTCGTCAATGTGCTCAGTATTCTTGGATGTGAGGGCTGTGATCTCGTCCTCTGTCAAGGACTGGACCCATCGCGAGATGGCAAGTCGATCAGTCTTCCCCGACATATTCACCGGCAGAGCTGCCAACGGAATCCAAACGCTCGGGATCATGTAGTAGACGAGCTTGTCCGATAAGATGTGTTGGAGCTCATGGAACTGTATGTTGGCATAGCCCTCGTGCTCTTTAGAGATTTGTTGGATGGCTGTGCTTTGAGCACCTGTAGAGGTTTCACCCAGTACAACAGTCGCGACAAGACGATTGGCGAGAGGTCCTTGGCGTGGAAAAAGGACAACTGCATCTCGAACGGTGGAGTGCTTCTCGATTTGGCTTTCAATCTCTCCAATTTCTACACGCTGGCCGCGGATTTTGATCTGTGTATCGATGCGGCCAAGGTAGGTAAGAGAGCCGTCCCGGTTCTGTTGTACAAGATCGCCGGTGCGATAGAGGCGGCGACTGAAAAGACCCAGCTCTTTAAGAAAACCAGCATCCGTGATAAAAGCGGCTGCTGTTTTGGTAGGGTCATTCAAGTATCCGCGTGCCAGCAGAGGCCCGTCAATAAGTAGTTCACCTGGACTGCCAAAAGCAGCGAGTTCAGTACTGGAAGGTCTCACAACCCAGAGACCACCCGCAATGGCAGTTCCAATATTCAACGCCGACGAACTATTCCGGATCTCCCTGCATGTTGAGGCAATTGAGCATTCAGATGGTCCATATCCATTGATCACCGTGGCCTGTTGTAACCACTGGTCTACAACGTTTGCCTGAACAGCTTCACCAACCAATATGATTGTTCTTACTGTCGGGGTCTCCTGAGGTCGGACGAGTGCAGCTACGGTTGACGTTAGAGTTGCCATAGTAATTTGATTCTCTGCGACGAATGATGTGAGACGTTCGACACGATCCTGTTCAGATGGGATACAAATGCAAGCTCCAAATGCAAGTGTAGTCATCATCTCTTGGATAGCGGCATCGAAGGTGTAAGCCGCGAACTGAAGTATACGGTCATCGGTCTGTAAGCCATATGCCTTTCCGTGACCAAGGATGCTGGTTGCTAGAGCACCGTGTTCGAGAACAACTCCCTTCGGCGTTCCGGTTGAGCCTGATGTGTAGATAACCCAAGCCGCGTTATTAGGTCTTGCGAGCACATGGAGCTCAGTATTTTGCGCTGGTTCCGCTGTTCTGTCAAAGAAGGACTCGACAACAAGAAGCTGTGTATGTGCCCGCAGTCCTTTCAACTGTTGCTCCTGAGGACGGTCGGTCAGGATGAGGGGTGCGGCCGTATCAGTAAGAATAGCTTCAATACGACTCAGCGGTTGGCGTGTTCCAAGAGGAACGACAACACCACCTGCTCTTAAGACCGCCAGCATTGCCACTACTGCCCACTTCGACTTGCTCATACACACGCCAACCATAACTTCCTGACCGATGCCTATTTCGATCAAGTGGAGGACTAGCTGGCGACTGAGATCATCCAACTGTCTGTAAGTGAAGTCGCCGTCCCAGGCAGTAACGGCTGTCGCTGCTGGCCGAGCGGTCATTTGATCCACCACTAACTCATGAATACAACGATCGACTCGTGATGGAATGGAAGAATTCCATTTGCATATCTGGGCCATTTGATCTGGTGAAAGAAGTTGAAGACGATCAAGTGGCAGATTATTGTCTGCATTTTGCGCGAGCTGTTGAACGAGATGGTTGAATTGATCGAGTAACTGCTCTGCATCATTGGTGGTAATGACTGCGTCGTCAAAGCGCAATTCGACTTCAACATCCCTTGTGTCTTGTCCCACGGTACACTCAATTGTTAGTGCTTGAGCGTGGAAAGCATCCATGGAACTAGCTTCGTGCTCGATTTCCAGGTGGGAACTCGCGACCGTCGACTCCATTTCTGCAGCCGGCTGAACTACGAAGATATGACCGGGGTCGAAATCAGGTCCAAGACTGGGAACCATACGCCTGATGTTTTGGAGGCCAGTATGTTCATGTGGGATCATCTCGGTGGCTTGATTTTGTATGTTGGCAAGGAAATCGCGCACTGATTGACTTGATGAGGTAGAAACGTGGAAAGGAACAGTGGTAATTGTGGGCGCCATGAGATGCAGGAGGTCCTTCACGGGGGCTGAACGGCCTGAGAGCACGACGTTGATGACTGCTTGATCAGCACCCGTGTTGGAGGCAACCAGGAGTGCCCAAGCAGCGCGTAGCACAATGGATGTTGTCGATCCCACTGTAGTTGGGATTCGAAGATGCCTGTGTGATGTACTTCGTGGATTGATGGCGTGTTGCTGAGATGGTAACTCGGGGTAACGGGTCCAATTCGCTCCCTCAAGGTGCTTTTGCCAGAACATCGCTGTCTGGTCCTTATCTTTCTCGGCCAGGTAACCAATAAAGCGGGAGACTGGAACTGCCACTGGATGCGAGAGCATGCTACCGCTTAATAACCCTTCAAACATTTCCATCGTCTTTGCCATGCTCCAGCCGTCGTAGATGCTATGATGAACTGTCCATGCGAAGTGACGATGGCTTCCATCCTCGAGAATTGCTGCACGGCTTAGAGCACCACCGTATGTCATAGGAGTAGCTCGATCGGCAGTGAGATAGTCTTCTAGCGAAACCCCGGCTTGCCAAATAGGCATTTCTCGTAGTACAACCTGCAACGCTGTTGCTTGAACAGACGGAATGATACGAGTTCGCAAGATGGGAAGGTCATTGATGAGTTGTGCCCACGCGGCCTTCACCCTCTGCGTAGAGATGCCTCCTTGCAGCTTGAAGACGCGTTGAACAACGTAAGCTTCGGGACGTTGTGCCGTGATAGTCATCAAACCAGCTTGTAATGGACTACAAGGGTATACATCCTCGATCTTATTGACGGATACATCACATTGCACTGCAACATCTGCCAGAAGTCGCGATCTTTCCTTAACACTTGCCTGAAGCTCTGGCCAAAGACTGAACGGCTCCGGGTCTTTTTCGTTTGCATAGCTAGATTCGTGGCCGCCTTTCTCATCCATGGCTTCTGCTAGATCCACGAGCCGAGGCCATCGGAATATATCAGCAACAGAAAGAGGGATACCCTGGGCATGAGCCGCAGCCGTCAACTTCATAGCTGCAACAGAGTCTCCGCCAAGTCGGAAGAACGAGTCATTGATACCAACTGCCTCAGGATTGAGCATAAGTGCTGATGTATATAGAGTCTGCAGCTTTTGCTCCATAGGGGTAGTTGGCATCTGTTTGCTGTTGGCAAGGCCAGAGAAGTTGCTTAACACATCGCGGGGAAGCGACATCAGGTGATCCCTGACTGCACGCCGGTCAAGTTTGCCAGATGCGTTAAGAGGAATCATCGATGCCAGTAGATATACGGTTGGGACCATGTAAGCTGGTAAAACTAGGCCAAGATTGTTATCAAGTTCGTCTAGTCCTTCGCGCATATTCTGGGTGATCTGTGACGGACTGTAGAGCTCCAATCTTGCGTCTGAAGTAAAAGCTTCAGTCTCGGAAATATCAGTCTCAATGACGGCCACTAGAATCGGTGACACATCCTGGTCCTCGACTGCTGCCTGTATCACATCAACAATGGCCTCACGGGCATTTGGTAATAGATCCATGATATGGCTTTCGATCTCACCAACCTCCACGCGTTGACCACGGATCTTGACTTGCGTATCTCTGCGACCTAGGTAGACCAGCGAGCCATCCATATTCTGTTGCACCAAGTCGCCCGTGCGGTACATGCGGCGATTTGGACTGATGCCAAGCTGTTGAATAAACGCGGGATCCGTTATAAATGAATTTGCCGTCTTCAAGGGATCGTTCAGATATCCCCTAGCTAGCAATGGTCCTTCGATAATCAACTCCCCGATGGCCCCAATGGGGACAAGTTGATCAGAATTAGAAGAATTAACAACCCAGGTTCTGGCGGTAATTCCCCATCCTATGATCGAGGCTTCTGAACTGTGCTGAACCTTATGACATGTAGAATGGATGCAGCATTCTGAGGGACCGTAGCCATTGATGATGTTGGCGTGATCTATCCATTGATCAACAACCTATGGAGGAGATTAGACGATGCATTAAAGAGCGAGATACTAGATTACTAACCTTTGCTGGGAGAGCTTCGCCTCCTAAGATCAATGTTCGGATTGAAGGGGCATCTTGTGGCTGGATCAACGTAGCTACGGTCGGCGTCAAGATAGCTAAAGTGACCTTCGCTTCCGATATATACGGCACCAGCCGGTTCATTCGATCATGTTCAGATGGTATGCAGAGGCACGCACCAAAAGATAACGTTGCGATGATGTCTTGAATGGCAACATCGAAGGTATACGCTGCGAATTGCAGCACTCGGTCACAAGCCTTGATGTCCATGCCGAACTCGGTTCCATGGGCGATAATGCTTGTTGCAAGGGCACCATGCTCAAGGACAATGCCCTTGGGAACGCCAGTTGAACCTGATGTGAATATGACATAAGCACTGTGATCAGGCTTCACAGATGGAAGTGACTTAGCGGATGAGTCGCGCTTCGTCCATGGAGTCGGGGCCGCGTCAAAGAAAGAGTTGACGGCGAAGAGAGATGCACGTTCAGACAGTGGAGCCAGCCGATGTTCTTGACTTCGGTCAACTAGAATAAGTGGACTGGATGTATCCTGTATGATTCCTTCAATTCGTAAAAGGGGTTGTTGGATTCCCAACGGAACGACGACGCCGCCTGCGCGAAGGACAGCCAGTACAGCCACCACGGCCCATCTGGACTTATCCATACAGAGGCCGACCATCACTTCCGGGCCGATTCCTTGATCAATAAGATGGTAGGCTAAGTATTGGCTGGCGTTGTTCAACTCGCCGTATGTCATTTCACCATCCCATGCAGAAATAGCTGGCGCCGTGGGGTGGCTAGTCATTGTCTCAAGTATCAAGTCGTGAAGACAGCGCTCGAGACGTGGCGGCACAACCGAGTTCCATTCACGGAGCTGGGAACAATCCTCATCGGTGAGTAATTGAAGCTCTGCAAGTGGCTTGTCTGTCTCTGCGTTTTGTGCCAATTGCTGAACTATATGCGCGAACTGGGAAACCAAGTGTTGCGCGGTGTCGACTGCAAGAACAGAACGATCATAACGCACTTCGATTGTCACATCACCTGGGTTTTGACCGCCTACCGTGCATTCAACTGTCAATGCGTAGGCATCGAATGCATCCAATGAAGTAGCATCGCGTTGGGCATCCATTTTGAACATCGGTAAGTCTGCGGACTCACTCTCTCCGGCAGGTTGAACAACAAATGTATGGCCCGGATCAAACTCTGATCCTAAACCAGGAACAATGGCCCTGATGTTCTGTAGACCAGTGTGCTCGTACGGGATCATTTCTGTAGCTCGATGGTGAATTGTCTCGAGGAAGGCACGTACAGACTGCTCTCTGGAGGTAGATACGTAAAATGGAACAGTAGTGACAAGTGGACTAATAACGTCCATCACTGCATCTATAGGTGCCATACGACCGGAGAGGACAACATTGATAGCTGCATCATTGGCACCCGTATTCGTAGCAACCAACAGGGCCCAAGCAGCTCGAAGAAGTGTGGACATTGTTGCAGGGCCGCCTGTCTCAAGGTTGACACGTATTTGACTCTGCAATGTATCGCGCGGCTTGGCCTGGTATTGTGGCGACGATATGGCTGGATAGCGAACCCAGTTCGCACCTTTGAAATGTTCTTTCCAAAAATCTGCGATTTGATCCTTGTCTTGTTGGACTAGATAGTTGATGAAACGTGAAACTGGTGCCGGGGAGAACGTCGACTGTCCACTCAATAGTTGTGTGAGCATTTCCATTGTCCTTGCAACACTCCAACCATCGTATACACTGTGGTGCACTGTCCATACAAAATAACGACCAGCGGGATCGTCAACAACCGCTGTACGACTGAGCGCTCGGCCATAAGTAATGGGAATGGCCCGGTCCTTGGCCAAGTAGACCTCTAGTGATTTACACTCTTGCCAGACAGGGGCTTCTTGTATCACAACCTGCAGAGCATCGGCCTGTGCCGAAGCCGAAGGTATGATTCGAGTGCGCAAAATAGAGAGCTTATCAGTCAGACTTGTCCATGCAGCCTGGAGCTGTTGAGTGGGTAGATCGTCATGTAGCTTGAACACCCGTTGAATAACGTAAGCCTCGGGACGTTGTGCGGTAATAGCCATCAGACCGGCTTGCATTGGGCTGCATGGATAGATATCCTTAATTTGATTAGCAGATATATCACATTGCGTAGCGATATCTTGCAATAGTCGTGCTTGTCGTGTGTTGTTGTGGCTGTCGGTCTGAATTTCGGCCTGAGTCGTCTTCGCCAGGTCCGGCCACAGGCTGAAAGGAGCTGGATCTTTGCCCAGGGGTCTAATATCGTGACTGTACTTCTCCTCTATGACTCTTGACAAATCTGCCAGACGGGGCCAGCGGAAGATATCGGCTACCGAGATGGAAACGTTCTGAGCACGAGCCATAGCGGTCAGCTTCATGGCCGCGACTGAGTCTCCGCCGAGTTTGAAGAAAGAGTCATTAGTTCCAATAGCTTCTGGAACAAGTCCCAATGACGTAGAATAGAGAGTCTGTAGTTTCAGTTCCAGATCAGTAGTAGGTGCCGCTTTAATCGAATCTCTGGAGCCCGAGAACCTGACGATCGTGTCACGGGATGTGGATTGCAATTGTTGCCGAACGGTACGACGATCAAGTTTACCAGAAGCGTTGATAGGGAGCTTAGACACTAGCAGGAATGCTGCAGGTACCATGTAAGGAGGGAGGACGTCACTGAGGTCGTTGTCTAGTTTTCCTAGCGCCTCGAGTGCGGTGTCTGGAATTTGCGCAGTGTCAGAAAGACTGAACACCTCGCCGTCGAGGAAGGGGCTAGCATCAGAATGCTCGATGACAGCTACCAGGATAAGCGGTCCATCGTGCACTTCGCCTTCTGGGCGGACCAAGTCGACAAGAGCCTCCCGCGCTCCTGGAAGTAATCGAACAATCTGACTCTCAATCTCAGCGACCTCTACTCTCTGGCCTCGAATCTTGATCTGGCTATCAATACGGCCCAGATAAGTAAGTGTAGAATCCTCGTTCTGTCGTACTAGGTCACCAGTGCGATATAAACGCCGGCCTGGGGTAAGTTCTAGCTCTTGCATAAACGCAGGATCTGACACAAAGGCTGTCGAGGTCTTATCAGGGTCATTCAGATACTCCCTCGCCAACAAGGGGCCTTCGATAAGCAGCTCTCCTGGTGCTCCACGAACCACCAACTGCCCGGTATTATCCGGGTTAGCGACCCAAAAGGTACCGGCGAGGGGTTTGCCAATGTTCAGAGCGTCTGTACCACTTTGAACTATGTTGTAAGATGCCCAGATAGAACTTTCGGAGGGGCCGTATGCGTTTACTACAGTTGCTTGTTGTACCCATCGATCAACCACCTTTGATTGAACAGCTTCACCAGTCAGAACCATTGTTCGTATTGTAGGAATGTCCTCCTGAATAAGTGCCGCAACGGTCGATGTTAGAGTTGCTATGGTAACATTTGCATCCTTCAAGAAAGATGGAAGTCGTTCCATACGGTCCTGCTCTGAAGGAACGCAGACACACGCGCCAAATGAGAGTGCGGTTATAATCTCTGCAATAGAGACATCAAAAGTGTAAGCTGCAAATTGCGACAGCCGATCGAATGGTTGTACGCCAATTGCTGGCCCATGGGCAAGTATACTTGTTGCGAGGGCGTTATGTTGGAGGACGACACCCTTGGGGACTCCTGAGCTTCCGGAAGTGTAGATGATCCAAGCTGGATCTTCAGGTCGTACAGTCGACTTTCCAGATCGGAGAGACACTGGCTTAGATGTTCGGAAAAAGGATTCAACGGAGAGAAGCTGTGTATGGGATGTTAAGGGTGCTAGTCTCGTCTCGTGGATGTCATCGACAAGAACGATTGGGGCGGTCGTATCCTCGACGATGCTTCTGATCCGGCTGACTGGGTGTTTGGCGCCAAGAGGGACAACGACACCTCCAGCGAACAGTACCGCGAGCATACTGACAATTGCCCATTTTGACTTGTCCAAGCATAAGCCGACCTTTGTCTCAGGACCTACACCTTGCTCAACTAGGTAGGAAGCCAGTCTGCGGCTAGTCTCACCTAACTGATGATATGTCATATCTCCATCCCACGAGCTGATAGCAAGCGATTCAGGTATAGTGGAAATTTGATCTGAGACCAATTCGTGCACGCAACGTTGGACAGGCAGGGCCACAGCCGAGTTCCATTCTTGTAGCTGCAATTTATCACCAACAGGCAGTAGACTGCTTGTAAGCTGCCGTAGTGGTCGATCTACGTTCTCGGACACAATGCGGACAGCTTGCACTAGACTCTCGACGAGCCTTGTAGCCGCTGCTTCGGAGAGAACTGCAGTCGAGTATTGAAGATTGAACTCGAGGCTTGTTGAAGAGGCATCGATGTTGACATGTACATCATACTCTGTTGGATCCACTGAGACGACAGCTTCAAGTCTGATTTCTGCTGGCTTGGCGTCAGGTGAAGTTAAGGCTTGACGTCTGTATGAAATCGTGCTGTTAAACAGTGGCTGGTCTTTCGAAAAGCCTAGCTCGTGTTGGATAGATGCTAGCGATGCTCTCTGATGCTCGAAAGCTTCGGTGGATTGGCTTTGTAGCTTTCGAGCCATGTCGCCAATCGTTGTCGATGCATTCCAATCTAAGTATAAATGACAGACAAGCATGTTGATCATAGGTCCAACTAGTTCTTGAACGCCAGGAATGGGAACATCGCGACCACTCGAAAGATTGCCGAAGCTGATGTTACGTGATCCCGTCCAGTTTGCCAGGACCAATGCCCAGGACAGTTGACAGATACTAGCAATGGAGACATTGTATTTATCACGAAATCGGTGAACCGTCGTAATGTCATCAAGTCGGTCGATGATATGGCCAAGTTGTGCCTGGCTAGCTTCATCTACTGGTTGTTGCGGGGGCAAGAGGCAAGGTTCAGCACCAGCCAGTAAAGATTTCCAATATTGGAGGTCGTTGTGCTGCTGTCTGCCCTCAAGGAAAGCGACATAGGTACTATAGTTAGAGCCGCCACTGGATCCAAGCTCACCCTCATATCCGGCAATGAGATCACGCAAGATGAGTGCCACTGACGAAGCGTCTACCAGAGCGTGGCTGACATCAAAACGACAGTAAACATTGGCTGTATTCGTCTTCAGGATTATCAGGCGGTGAGGAGGACGGCCCAATCTCGTAATGTCAAGCGTTGATTGCGAAGCGAGCCAGTCAACCGCGTCCTCATCTCTGATATTCTCTCCATCCGCGATCTGGATGTCGATATGTGGTTTCTTTAGGACGATCTGAAGAAACTTCTCCTGGGCAGGTAACGGCTCTACCAAAACCGACCTAAGAATCGAGTGTCGCGCTACAACTTGGTGCCAAGCTGCAATAAGACGCTGGATATCAACAGGGCGCGTATGGTCGGTCGGCAGGATGCGGCAAGTTTGATGGATACAGTAGGTCGAGGGGGATTGAAGTTGAGTAAGCAGGATACCTTGCTGTATAGCTGAACAAGGGAGGATATCTTCAACTTCCTTGGTAGATGAGAGCCCCATCTCTGTCTTCAGATACTGCCCTTCGATCAGTTCCCAGTCAGTGTCGGATAGTCGGGCGAGTGGAAAATCAGTCGCTGTAAGTGTAAGAGGTGTCATAGAGAGCTCCTCGACCAGAGTCTTCACTGTATCTCCATACAATTTCACCCATTGCTTAATTGCAGACTGGTGTCGTGAGTTACGGCTAAAGCGGACTTTGATCGAGAGTTGTCCTGCCTCAACTGTAACAGAAACATCAAGTACAGAAAAGAGCTTGACTAGAGGGCCAAACTGGGAGGATGCACTCGTGTCATCATCCTCGATATGGAAGAGAGCGTCTTCTCGTTCTAGTTGTTGGAAACGTCCCAGATAGTTGAAGATGATCTCGGCGGGGCCGTGACTGGCGAACTTATCTCGCCCGCGACTTGTCAGGTAACGGCTACCAAAGTAGGGCAAGCCTTTGCTAGGAAGACGTCGGCGTTGGTCCTTGACATTCCTGAGTACTTCAATACTGTTTTTGGAAGCTCCTTGTGGTACGTGAACTGGAACCATCGTAGTAAACCAACTAACCGTGTCAGAAAGGTCAATTTCTTCCTCCTCAGTTTCACGACCGTGTCCTTCAGTAAAAACAGCAGGCATAGGACGATCTGTAAAGACATCTTGGAAGGAACTGATGAGGGCAGCAAGCAGAATGTCAACGGGCTCGGTCTTGAGAGCAATGTTGGCATTGCCTGACAATAATGAAGCCGTGACAGAGTCACACTTGATCTCAATAGTAGAAAGGCTGGCGTAGATGTCTTCACCGGGAACAAGACCCCAGTAGTCCCAGTTTGAATTTGGCACTGCTACCGGCAAGGTCTTTGACAATGATTTATTTGCTCCCTCTTCTGTCTCGTTCATGAGCTTGTTCAATGCGTCTTGTTGACGCTCTAGCCACACAGGGAAAGAGAGGCTCGTTGGGTTCGGGAGCTTGTGATGAACCAAGAGTTCTTCCAGATCTCGTATCAAAATGCGCCATGAAACCAGATCAACAACAAGATGATGAGCAACAAGGTGCAAGACCTGTCTACCCTGTCTGTCTTGTCTTTCAATGAAGTCGACTGCAAAGACTGGGCCATGCTCCAGATTAAGACTGGCTTGTGATTTCTCAATGACATGCTGCATCAGCTCGACGTCCACCACTGTATGATCCTGGAAGCGGTAGCTCCCAGCAATATCCTTCTCTATCCACTGTTTCCAAGCATTGTCCTGACTGTAGCGAAAACGGGCTCTAAGCATGGCGTGCTTAGAGACGAGAGCATTAATAGCCCAGGTCAAGTCTGCTTTCTCGACCCGTTGTGTAGTGTATAGTGAAACAGCCTGATTGAAGCGGTAGTCCATATCGGCACGAAGACCATCTCCTGCAATTTCGTCAAAGAACATCTGCTGGATTGGTGATAGCCCGAAGACGCCGTCTGGAATTCTTGCCAAATGAGCTGCATCCTCTCGGCCCGTGTGGGAGCTGGCTGCCAATTCAGGGATCGTTTGGCAGTCCAGGACCTTACGGACGGTTACGAGTATACCGCGAGCCCTACAAGCGGACACCACTTGCATAGCCGTAATTGAGTCTCCTCCGAGACTGAAGAAGTTGGTTGAGTATGTCACGCGAGAGATCGGTACGTCGAGAACCTCGCTCCAAATCTGTCGCAGTTCTCGCTCAATCGTTGTGGCGGACGATTCATCAACATCCTCCCCTTCAATCGCTCCCGCGCCAGTCAACACCGCAGTGTCCTCTGTAGACAAAGACTCGACCCACCGCAAAAGTCCAAGACGATCGGTCTTGCCTGATGCGTTTATAGGGATATTTAACAAGCGAATCCAGACACTCGGCATCATATAATGCATTACCAGCTGGGAAAGATTCTGTTGAACATCTTTCAACCAGATATCAGCGGTTTCGTTTTGCTCATCGGGAACGCGCTGGATATTGGCACTGGATTGCGGCTGTCTCTGATCATGACGGGTTACCGACATATCAGATGAGACGATAAACGCAATGAGTCGCCCAGCCAGAGCACCTTGCTTCATGTATAGGACCACTGCGTCGAGCATTCCTGCTTGCCGACGTAAGTGATACTCTATTTCCCCAATCTCGACACGTTGGCCGCGAATCTTGACCTGGGTATCTCGACGTCCGAGGTAAGTGATTGTCCCATCTTGATTTTGCTGGACAAGATCACCAGTACGGTACATGCGTCTGGAGCCGGTATCGAGGCCAAGATCTTTCAGAAACTCCGGATTTGTGATGAATGATGCCGCGGTCTTTGTTGGGTCGTTTAAGTATCCGCGTGCTAATAAAGGCGATTCGATGAGAAGTTCACCAATGTGAACCAGCTGTCCAACGCTATCCGGGTTGACGACCCAGAAGGCGCCGGCGAGTGGCGTTCCTATGTTAGTGGCATCCAGAGAGTTCTTGATTATCTTACCTGTGGTCCAGATGGAGCTTTCAGCAGGACCGTATGCGTTGATGACAGTGGCTTGATGTATCCATTGATCAACAACCTTGGACTGAACAGCTTCACCTGTCAAGACTAACGTCCGAATCGTTGGTGTTTTGTCCGGTTGAACAAGTGCTGCTACAGTCGACGTCAACGTAGCGATAGACACCTTTGATTCTGATAGGAAGTGGGTGAGACGATTTGTTCGTTCGTCTTCCGAGGGTACACAAACGCATGCACCAAAGGTAAGCGTTGTCATGATCTCTGCAATAGATACATCAAAAGTATACGCTGCAAACTGCGACATTCTGTCTTGGGTTTGGATACCAATTGCAGGACCGTGAGCAAGTATGCTTGTTGCCACAGACCCATGCTCAAGTACAACGCCCTTGGGCTTGCCAGTCGAGCCAGATGTGAAAATGACCCAAGCTGCATGCCCAGGCTGCGTAGGAGACAGCTCAGTGGAGGATGGCAGCATAGAAATAGGAGAGGCAGCATCGAAGAAAGAGTCAACCGTGAACAGATGCGTATCATCTAGCCTTGCCAGTCGCTGCTCGTGTTTGCGGTCAACCAAGACAAGAGGTGTGCCTGTTTCTCCGGTGATTAGTCGGATTCGAGAGAGTGGCTCTTGGACGCCGAGAGGTACCAGAGTACCGCCAGCGCGCAGCACGGCAATCATGGCCACTATTGCCCATTTCGATTTATCCATACACAGACCAACCATCACCTCAGGGCCTATGCCTCTCTCAGCAACCAGGTGGTGGGCCAGTTGGTAGCTTGTGTGGTTCAGCTCGGCATAGGTGAGATTTCCATCCCACGAGCTGATGGCCAATGCCTCTGGCTGGCTAACGGTCCTGTCAAGCACAAGCTCGTGGACGCAACGTTTGATGCGTGGTGGGATGACGGAATTCCACGCACGTAACTTCGTCTCTTCAGCCGGCGATAGCAGTCTCAGCTGACCAAGAGTTCTGTCTCCATCATTGCAGACGGCAATTACGGCCTGCACTAGACTATCAAGAAGTTTCTCTGTTGTCGCTTCAGAAAATGCTGCTGTCGAATATTGCATGTTGATATCGATGCTGGTTGGGGAAGCTTCAATATTGATGTGGACATCGTATTCTGTCGGGTCCTCCCAGGTCAGGCCTTCAAGTGTGATGGCTGATGCTCTCCCAGAGCTTGTAGATGCTTGTCTTTTGTATGACAAGGTGCTATTAAAAAGTGGTTGGTTTCTCGAGAGACCAAGCCCGTGCTGAATTGCTGCTAAGGATGTCCTCTGATGTTCGAATGCCTCGGTGGATTGACTCTGAAGCTTGCGAGCTACCTCAGAGACTCTTGCGCCCCAGTTCAGGTCTATATGACAGACGAGCATGTTGATCATTGGCCCTACCAGCTCTTGCACGCCTGAGATTGGTACATCACGGCCACTAGACAAGTTACCAAAGCTGACATTTCGTGAACCAGTTTGCATCGCGAGAACCAAGGCCCACGATAATTGAAATATGCTGGCCACAGAAATACCGTATTTATCTCGGAATTGGTGAAGTTTTCCAATGTCATCAATCCGGGCGGATACCTTCTTAATAGTTGCTTGTTCGCCAGTGCCGTGAGTTGGATCATTTGGGGGCAAAAGACACGGCTCGGCATCTTGGAGTAGTGATTTCCAGTACTGAAGATCATCCTGCGAGTCTCTTCCTTGAAGGAAGGCAACATAAGTACTGTATTTAGAGCCACTAACAGGCGCCTGCAGCTTCTCGCCATCATACACATCCATGAGGTCTCGCATGATTAATGCCACGGAGGAGGCATCGACCAGAGCATGACTAATGTCGAATCGACAATAAACTTCTCCAGAAACCGTTGTCAGCACAGTGAGAAGATGGGGAGGGCGGTTGAGAATTGAGACGTCCAAGGACGGTCGTGAATCAAGCCACTCAGCAGCAGTTCCTCCATCTGCAATATCGTCTTTCTTGATAATGCCAATCTCAGGGTGCCTTAACACGATCTGGATGAAGTTCTCCTGTCCGGGCAGTGGCTCCAAGAGCACAGTCCGAAGGATGGAATGCCGAGACACAACCTCTCTCCAAGCTGCAATGAGCCGGTCCACACTGACAGGCTCGTCACCAGATGGTACGATACGACATGTCTGGTAAATACAATAGGTTGACGGCGACTGAAGTTGGGTCAGCAGGATACCCTGTTGGATTGGCGAGCAGGGCAGAATGTCTTCAATCTCAGCAGAGGAATTGAGACCTATCGTAGGCAGGTACTGTCCTTCAATGGTTTCCATGTCGCTGTCAGAAAGACGAGCAAGTGGAAAATCCGTTGCTGTTGCCACTGGTTCCACTGTATTCAACTCCTCGACTAAGCTCTTGACGGTTTGGCCATATAATTCGACCCATCTTCGGATAGCTGCTTGAAATCGCGATTCATTGCTGTAATGAACAGTGATGCATAACTCGCCTGCTTCTATCGTGATGGCAACATCAAGCGCGGCAAAAAGCTTTACTAGACCACCAGCTCGTGACATGGTGCTTGAATCATTGTCTCTATCAAAATGAAACAAGGCATCATCCCGTTCAAGCTGCTGGAAGCGTCCCGTGTAGTTGAACATGATCTCTGCCGGGCCATGGCCTGCGAATTGCTCCTTGCCTTGAGCAGTCAAGAAGCGACTGCCGAAATAAGGAACTCCACGGCCAGGAATGCGTCGACGCTGATCCTTAACCTGTTTCAGAACGTCAATCATGTTGCTACTAACAGGTTCACCGAATGAAACAAAAATCGGGCTCATTGTTGTGAACCAGCCTATAGTCTCGGACAAGTCTGTCCCGTCATCTGGAGCCTCACGACCATGTCCTTCAGTAAAGACAGCCGGCACAGATCTGTCGGTAAAGACTTGTTGAAAAGACAGAAGTAGACCAGCTAACAATATTTCGACCGGTTCGGTTTTGAGAGGAACATTCGCGCCACCGGTAAGTAATGAGGTGGTTTCGATATCACACCTTGCCTGAGTACTGGAACGGATACCGAAAGTCTCCTGGCCGGGTGTAAGCCCCCAATAGTCCCAGTTCGTCTTCGGTACAGTCATAGGCAATGTATCAAGCACATTCGAAACCCTATCAAGGGATTCTTTTTGTCTTTCTAACCATGTTGGGAATGACAAGCTGCTTGGATTTGGGAGTTTTTGATTGATGATTACCTCCTCTAGGTCTCGCAACAGAATACGCCAAGACACAAGGTCGATAACAAGGTGGTGGGCGACGAGGTGGAGGACCTGCCTATCCTCTCTTTCGACAAGATCAGCTGCGAACACCGGGCCATGCTCTATATTGAGAGTCGACTGAGACTGAGCAACAATCCCCGACATTTCTGCATCTCCAGCTGCATGTGTACAAAGACGATAGGAACCGGTTACCTCCTTCTCTATCCGTTGCTGCCATCCCTGGTCTTGGCTGTATTGGAATCGGGCTCGAAGCATAGCATGTTTCGCAACAACCATGTTCAATGCTCGGGTCAACTCTGCCAAGGTGATTTGGCGTGTAATGTGAAGCAAGACTCCTTGGTTGAAGCAATGCTCATTGTCAGCCCGAATTCCATCAGCCGCTATACTCTCAAAGTACATCTGTTGGATTGGCGACAGTGCAAATGCACCCTCTGGTATAGTTGCGTAATCCGAATCCTGGGTCGCCTGTGCCTCGGCTGCCAGCTCGGGGATTGTCTGACAGTCGAGAACTTTCCGTACGGTTATGAGGATCCCACGCGACCGGCCGGCCGAGACTACTTGCATCGCTGTAATTGAGTCACCGCCGAGACTAAAGAAGCTGCTTGAATATGTTACGCTACGCAGCGGAACATCCAAGACTTCGCTCCAAATTTGTCGTAGCTCCCGTTCAACAGCTGTTGCCGACGTGTCGTCCACATCGTCGGCATCGCCACCGTTGCTTAGAGCTGCGATATCATCGGATGATAATGATTGTATCCAATCAGTCAAGGCGCGTCGATCTGTTTTTCCGGACTGATTCATCGGCATGGCTGATAAAGGGAGCCATATACTGGGTACCATGTAGTGCATCACCTGCCGCGACAAGCCGTGTTGCACTTCACGCAGGCGGAGTCTAGCATTCTCCATCTGATCCTCCGGAACACGCTGGACGGCCGAGGTTTGAGGGCGGTCGACCGATGAGGACTCGCCTAGATTGACGGCAGCGACCAAACGGCCGGCAAGGGGTCCCTGTCGCATATAGAGAACGACAGCATCGTGGACACCTCCCTGCTTTCCTATATGGTACTCAATCTCACCAATCTCCACGCGCTGACCACGGATCTTGATTTGCGAGTCAATGCGGCCTAGATATGTTAATGTTCCGTCCGTGTTCTGCTGCACAAGGTCTCCCGTCCGGTACATCCTATGCTGACCATGGCCAAGTCCAAGTTCCTGAACAAAGGCAGGGTCGGTCACGAAAGCCTGGGCAGTCTTCACGGGATCGTTGAGATAACCTCTTGCAAGTAGAGGACCTTCAAGAAGAAGCTCTCCTTGACCTCCCAACGGCACAAGTTGTCCGATATTGGTCGGGTTGACAACCCAAGTCGCACCAGCAATAGCCGTTCCGATATTCAAAGAAGCAGAGCTGTCAGTAACTGGTCTGCAGGTTGAATGAATACAACACTCCGATGGCCCATAAGCGTTGATGACAGTCGCATGCTCTATCCATTGATCAACGACCTTTGCTTGCACGGCCTCGCCCATTAGAATTATCGTCCGGACTGTCGGAGTCTCCTGCGGCCGAACTAATGCAGCCACTGTTGATGTCAAGGTTGCGATAGTGACCTTGGACTCTGCAAGATAGTTTGACAGTCGGTCCATACGGTCGCTTTCGGAAGGAATACAGGTTGTCGCGCCAAAAGCAAGAGCTGTTATAATTTCTTGAATAGCAGCGTCGAAAGTGAAGGCTGCAAACTGAAGAAGACGATCGTAAGATTGGATATCGAGTCTGCGACCATGGTAGAGGATGCTAGTAGCAAGGGAGCCGTGTTCAAGGACGACACCCTTGGGCTTTCCTGTACTACCCGAGGTAAATATCATCCAAGCCACGTTGTCTGGCCCTATGGAGGTGTAGGGACCAGAAGTCGGTATATCGGTCGAAGGCGCATCGTCAAAGAAAGAGTCAACGGCAACTAATTCTGTATAGGAACCCAACTCTGCTAATCGCTCTTCGTGGGCGCGATCAACGAGTATGAGTGGCGAAGCCGCGTCCTTGACGATACCTTCAATACGTGCCAGAGGATGGGACACCCCAAGAGGTACCAAGCCGCCACCTGCAAGAAGTGTGGCTACCATAGCGACAACACCCAGCTTTGACTTCTCCATGCACATGCCGACCATAACCTCTGGGCCCACGCCTTTTTCGACAAGGTGATAGGCCAGTCGACGACTCGCGCGTTCCAACTCGCCATAAGTCAGCTCACCGTCCCATGAACTCACTGCCAGTGCTTCTGGCTGTTCAGCCATCTTTTTCACAACCAAATCGTGAACGCAGCTCTCGAGACGTGCAGGTTTGGCCGAGTTCCACTTGATAAACGCAGCTCGGTCTTGTGAACTATGACTTGGAAAGTCGCGGATCGACAAGTCCACTCCTTCTAATAAGAATGTCACTGCGTCTTCGAATGCCGCCATCTGGGCCTTTGCAACTGGACTGGCTATTCTAGAAGCCCAGTATTCGACACTCAAATTGATGCGTTCTTCATTGAATCTGACGTTGGCAACAAGATCAAACTGTTGTCATGTTAGCGTGGTGGTCAATTGATAACTCGGAGCTTCTTACGTCTGCTGCGCTCGTCCTTGCGTCCAAGCTCATATAGGTTCCTTCTGTGAATGGATGCGTGTTCGATCCCTCGCGTTCAATTGAGAGCAATGTGTTTCCAAGCCTCTTCAATGATCGGGTTTTTGCAGCGGCTAGGTCAGCAATCGGTATGTTTTGAAATTGCAAGCCATTCTGCCAATCTTGCATTGCAGACCCAAGTGCATCAGCAACGCTGGTCTCTGGGTTCAATGCCAGAGAAAATGGCAAGGTGTTGATGAAGGGCCCAACCGTCGCCTCGACGCCATCTATATCACTGTTGCGTCCAGAGACTATATATGAAAAGGTAATTTTATCGGAGAGGATAATGCGTCGAAGGGCTAGCGCCCATGCGACATGGAATAGATTGGCTGGAGTGATCGAGAGTTTACCACAAACTGCACGCAGCCTTCCATCAGGTATCGACACAGAGCAACGAGTTGTTTCCAGATCTTTCAACTGTGGGTTGGTAGTGATGAGGGGCAAATGGGATTCACTAGCTTCGTTCAGGTAAGACGTCCAGTATGCAACTCCCGCGGATGCTTCGCCCTCGCTCAAGGTGGCCTGCTGGCGGGATGCAAAAACCGTGTATGGAAGCGGCAGGTTCTGCGAGAAGTGGGCAGATTGCAGATAGCTGGCACGGATGTCGTGTAACAAAATCTTAGCAGAGTGCCCATCTACTAGGGCGTGAGAGATTTCCAGTTCGAGTCGAAGCTCTTCATCGTTAATCTGGTAGATGCAAAGCCGCAGTGGGCTTTCAAACTTCCCCGTGGTGAAGGCAGAAATAACGCTGGTGTCAGCTGAGGAGGGGATGACAATCAGGCGTGGTGGCAAGGCCGTAGGCTTGAGAACGAGCTGATCAAACTTGCCAGGTCGGTCATTGCTCTCCACGAATGCAGTTCTTAGCATCGCATGTCTTGTAACAATATCGCTCCACGCCCTCGCAACCTTCCCTATTTCGACCCGGCGCGGAACATTGGCAGAAGTTGGCAGCAACCTGAGAGTGGCTTGGCTAACGTATGAACCTGGGTTGATAGCTTGGCTGACAAAGAAGCTTTCTTGCACTGAGGAACACGGTCCAATTGACTCAACGTCGTCAAAAGCTAAGCCGTGTGTCCGCAAGTCCCTCGCCAGCCCATCCAGCGCGGAGTACGACCAACGAACCAGAGGGAAGTCGTGGAGGGTTCCCATCCGTGGAGCTTTTGCAAGCTCATCCACTGTCTCATTCAGACAGGACTTGAGTCGATCTGCAATGAGTTTATCATCAGGCCTAGTAATGCCGAAGTGCAATGAAACATGTGCTTGTCCGGCTATCATTGCCAGGGATACGTAGGGAGAGTGATTGGGAGTGGGATCCGAGAGCCACGGAGAATAATCGACATCTTCAAAACGACAAAGACGCGTACAGTCAACGTAAATCACGGCAGAAGACCCAGAATCTGTAGAGGATCCGGCACGAGCATCGCGCATTTGGCGAACCACATGCGCCAAAGTCTCACCCGACTCTAGAGCTGGAGCAGCCAATTCCGTCTCAACCTCATAACATCCTATCGAGTTCAAGGGTATATCTTGTTCCTCACGAATACTGTAGGCAGATCTGATGGTAAGGATAGTCCCCGTGTCTCGATAACGTGGCCCAAGAGATTCCGAAACAGCGGCGTTCACAATATCTACAGGGCTGGTTCTCAAGGTAGCATGCGTCTGCGTTGCGAAGAGTTTCTCGGTTTCCAAGCGAGATAGCTGAAAATCAACAGTGCCAGTAGTGTTGCCATTGAGTTTCAGGGTGCCAGTATCGATAGTGGAATTGGACTTGGTTGCATTGGCTCTTTCGACCTGCGCTTCTAATCCCTGGCATCCTTGAGCAATCCAATCGCTAAATTGGAAGTCAGAGCTGAGCTCGAGCTTGTTTCCGTTGATAGTGGTGCGCAATTCTCCCAGTATAAGCCGCATAGAAAGGACGTCGACAACGTTTGCATCTGCAGCAAGGACAATGGTATGACTGCACCCTGGCGCATCACTAGGAATTACCAAACATCCTGATGAAGGGGCTTCGCCAGAAATCAGAGCATCCCTCAGCAATTCAAATGCATCTGTCACTTCCTTTGCCTCTGGAGACTCTGCATAAAAAAATTGACGTGACTTTAGGCCTGATCCAGGGGTTGTTGTAAGAATCCATTTGCCAGTTGATGGAACAGACCAACTTGAACGTAGGGCTGAGTGTCTATCAACAATGCGCTGCATCGCGGTCGGGATGATAGAGGTATCCGTGTTCTCGGGTATCTCCATGGTAGCGAAGCGCAACCGACGACCAGCTGCGGTGGCGCTTGTAGCCGAGTCATCTGAACCATTTCGAATGGTAGCTTCGTCATGAACCCCATTCCCATTCATTCCATTTCCATTTGCGTGGCCATTTGCTCCGTTGGCTGCTCCAGCGTTTTGTTGGGCTACGCTTTCAGCAAGTTGAGCTAAGGTACCAGCCATCAAGAGATCTTTCATGTCTACCACAATGCCTGCGTCACGACACCTGACGATGAAGTCGATTGCTAGAATGGAATCACCACCTAACATAATAAAAGACTTGTCCCAGTCCAGGGAGTCGACATCGGTGTCGAATAGTTCAGCAGCAACCTTACCAAGCACAAGCTTGGACGGCTCAAAATGTGCCTGGCCGTTATTGGGTTTCTCCATGATTGACGAGTGCGGTTATGTTTTTGGTATTACTGATTGTATTATTGTTGGGAAGAAAATAAGGTAGAAAAGAACGATAGCTTGAAGTCTACAAGCGGCAATGTCTTGTTACAAACTGAAAGACGTAGGTGAGACTTCCAACCTCAAAAAGCTAACTGCTAATCATCCAAGGTGTCGCAAAGTCGATATCACGATGTGTGATGAACTTGGCTGAAGGTGCGAGATTCGGAAGTATAATCACGTAAGCAAGAGATATCTCTGTATAGCATTGGCACTGAGATAGCGATTTGTCCGTTCCTTTGATGGCGAGACTAATACGAAAGAAGCATTTGCGGTGCATGCGCGCATCCTGCAAGCAAGGTATCATGAACCCTTCCGCTCATTCGGGTCAGCCCGGCCTGGCCTATGCGTTACATGTCAATAACACATGGGGATTCTTGATGATACGTTCCCCTCAATACTACCCTGGCATCCCAAATGTGGCCACATGAAGTTGCTCGGTGCGGCTGGTATAGCTTGAAGATACATGGTGGGTGGATATTGACAGAAGGATGAAAACAAACCCAAACCAAAATGGGAGTAAATATTGAAATGGGGGGAGTTTTTAACTTTGAACCAGCAAGCACGGGCCGAACGGCAGCTACTCCACTTAACCGCTTATGCAGGTCCCACTCACAGTGGGTGGGTACCTGCAGTCTTGATGGATTCACGCCTCTTGCCTCTTACCAGTACTTAGTATCGATGAGATGGGATACTGACAACTGCAAATGATAGTGGTATCAAGCGATGGGACGAGACCTTATGGGTTTTTAAAGTGAAGTTTCTTGTTCAACTATCAGGTAGGTAGACATTAGCTCGCCAGTCAGCCAGTAATGGTAAATGGACTTTTTCCTGCCATCTTTCTTTACCCGCTCCATGGAGGGCTACTCTATGTAGCTATGGGAAGTTTACAAACATCGTCACAACCCACCATCAAAATGTGACAGTGCGTAGCTATTATTCAATTTTAAAATTGCAATCACAAATATGTCAATTTCTGCTTATCTACCTATTTGTCCGGTCGAGTGATTGCATAGTTCGTCACTTGAGCTCTGTTCCAATTACGTACAGGGTAGCTACATTCGAAAGCGAAGAATGAATGCCAAAAGGATGTCCAAACAAGAAAGTGAACAAATTGCCCCTGGACCTTTGTTTCTTCCTTATTGAGATAAAGTAGACTCTGAAGTACCTCCTGGGGAGTTTATATGGATAAATAAATTGGCGTTGCATTAATCGTGATTTCCAGTCATTCTTGAATTGAAGCATAAACAATGACGATTGCAAGGATTCGATTGAGCTATGAGATAGATTGCTTCCGCTTTCAACTTTTGGATACTATAAAGTACCTTTGTCCATTACCCTTGTACAAACGCATCTTCTGTTTACTTCTTCGGAGGACTCCACGTAGCCACTTGCTTCCTCAGCTCCCGCTTAAGGATCTTGCCACTCGCACTCTTGGGAAGTTCATCAACGAATATGATGCGATCCTGCAGACGACAAACCTCGGGCAGCTCCAGATCGTTGTGCTCCTGTATTATCTTCCGAAGATCGGCCTCGCTCTTTTCGCGTGCGTATGAAGGCTCTCGAACGATGAAAGCTAAAGCTCTTTCGCCCGCTACCTCGTCAGCGATACCGATGACGGCAGTTTCGGCGACAGCAGCATGCTTGGTTAGGTGGTCCTCGATCTGGCCTGGGGCAACCTGATTGCCCTGAATAATGTACGTCAGTAATTGGTAAATGCATGAGTAGGAATACCTATGCTTTCTCTGTGACTTACCTTGACTTTGATCATATCACGGATGCGATCAACGATAAACAAATGTTGCTCGCCATTAGGCGAAATACGGAAGAGACCGACATCTCCAGTTGGCCACCAAAATTCCTCATCTTTAGGGGGAGGGAGGAGTGCCTCGTCGGCATGGTCGACGTAACCAAGAAGACCACTAGGAGATTCGATCTCGATCTCACCCATCGCCTCAAGACCTTCGACGATGCGGCCATCATCATCTCTTAGTCGGATGCGGACGCCAGGAAGCAAAACTCCACTCGACCCTGGGAAAATATCTTTCGGAGAGGAGAGAGATCCAATACCACAACCCTCAGTTTGACCTAGATGAATTGTTAGGCATTTCTTGACTCCGAGGATAATGCGACGTACCCCATCCTGGAATGATTTGCCAATTTGGGCGCGCGGCTTGCATCTTTAAGAAGGCCTCCTTTGTGAGAGGTCCGCCACCGTTAACGATATATCGAACCGAGCTCATGTCGAATCTATCCAAAATAGACGCATTACGTGATAAAGCATTGATGATGGGTGGAACCTGTATCAATGCAATCAGCTTATGTTAGGATATTGCTGAGAGCCTGGCTGAATCTCAAATGCCGTTTTAGTTGGAGATACTAACTAGGTAAAGCGTGTTGATACGATGTTTGCCAATGGAAATGAGGATTTCCATCATGTTAAAGCCACTATGAACCACAGTGCTATCACCACGCCATGTAAAGGTATGTGTGATCAAGAGACCGTAGATGTGGTTGAACGGCAAGAAAGCCAGAGTAACCTCAGAGGCGGGCCCCTTTGTGGCCTCTATGAACAATCCAGCCTGAAGAATGCTGGCAATGATGTTCTCATGTGTGATTGCAACAACACGCTGGAAAATGGCAAAAGAATTCGATCAGTAACAAACACTACAGGACAATGAGGGTGAGTGATGTTTACCTGGAAACCAGATGTGCCACTGGTGGTACAGTAGTACGCCACACGTTGACTTGCTTCGCCTTCTGATAAGGAAGTCTTTTCAAGTGGAGGTAAATCTTTACCCACCGCCATCAAATCATCAAGAGTAGACATCTTGAGTGAGTCTTGCGATGTCTCTGGCACTGCCGTCTGCTGAGATTTGGGGGCCTCTGAGAAGCTGTAGAATGGCACACTTGAAGACAAAGAGCTCTTCTGAAAGGCTTCTTTTCCGAGAGCAAGAAGATCTTGAGATACAAACATGGCAAATGGTGGCACACGATCCATGTGAGCGGCCATTTCATCAGCTGAGCTTGTAGGCTGTAGCATGAGACACCCACCACCAATGCGATGGATGGCCCATGATAGAATCAGGGTGTCGACCTAGAGAGAGACCAATTAGACTTTGTTCAGATATAAGACTTGGAGATTACCAACACAGTTCGAAGCCAAGATGGCAACGGTTTTGTGCCACTTCTGTTCGGGGGCAATGTGCCATGCTGAGCTCAATGCTGCCGCCATCTGGCCAAGGCGAGCTTCAATATCGTCGATAGTCCATTTTCGATCAATGGCTGCCTCAATGAAGAGTGGATCGGAAGCACCTTGTCTTTCACGCCGTTTTGCCAGACAAAAGTCGCCGATTGTCTGTTGAAGCGGCAGAGGAGATGGTAACGCCGGAGCGTAAGCTGGTGCAGTAAAGATCATGATGAACGATGACCAACAGTGAATGAAGCACGGTTTAATCTGACGTAGGCGCTTTGGAGATGTTTTATTTAGTCTCGTGCTTTCCGCACATGCAAATCTAGCTACCTACGATTTATGTCTAGTTCTCGCTATCCGACATCTGGCGCTTTGCATGAATCCATCCATGTACACGAGGCGGAGTGGGCATCACCCGCAATCCTTGAGTACATACATATACAAACCCCTGGAACCAATAATGATTATTACCGTGTACAATTACCAGATTCGAATGCATCGCAACCAGCCCATTGGTGCATGATACTCAATGCAAATGCCTAGACACCACGGAGAATAAGATAATACAGCCTGCATCTTGATTTTGGCTTAGCTTTCAACAAAACTCTTAGAAGAGTCCTTAGCTGATCCTAGCAATAACGGCCCTAAAATGAGCCCCAAATGTACCAGGTATGCATGGGGCATAAGTAGGACAATTCTGTAAGTCTTACTGCCCCACTTGTTACCTTGAGTTGGTGTAAATAACACTGGATCTTCCTACGGAATTCCCTTATTTCTTATTGTCAATAACCGATCCATTTGCTTTCACCTCCCTCTCCCCAGCATGCCACCCTACCCCGTGAACCTTTCAGATATGATAACTCCACAGTACTCGGTATCCCTGGCGTGCTGGCCATTGTTCCAGAACACCAGCTTCTTGTGTCTAATTTTATTCTCCTGACCCATTAATTCCTCACTTGGTGTCAGATCCTACCCATCCATCCCCTATACCGTCCAGGAAAACACCAAATGGCTAACCATCAGGCTCGCCAGAGTGAAAGCAGCGAACAAACAGTGGTACCAGAGCCTCAATCGACCAAGAAGAAATCGAACCTTACCAACTATCTAAGAGTTTTTGCTTATGCGACAAGATGGGACTTTTGCGTGTATGTGGTTGGCGCACTGGCGTCCATTGGAGTCGGCGTGACGATGCCGTTGATGAACGTTGTCCTGGGACAGCTCGTCGGCGATTTCAGCGACACGGTCCAAGATCCATATAATATGGATTTGGACAGCTTCAAGTCGATGCTGCAAAAACAGTCTTTGTACATTGTTGGACTCTTCTTGGGCCGTTGGTTTCTAAACTCGATCAACAAATTCTGCTTCAGGATGATTGGAATTCGTCTATCATCAGCTATTCGCCATCACTATTTACGGTCTTTATTTGCTCAATCCATCCATGTCATTGACTCAATGCCGCCAGGCTCGGCTGCAACTGCTATCACTGCAACATCCAATACTTTACAAATCGGAGTATCGGAACGTCTGGGAACTTTCGTGACATACGTGTCCACCATCATTGCCGCTATAGCTGTTGCATTTACTTGGAGCTGGAGTCTGACGGTCGTTTCAGCGTCACTACTTCTCTATATCGCTATCATCATCGCTATCGTTGTGCCGATATACCTAAAGGCAAATGCTGCTACGCTCGAAGCAGATGCACAAGGCACGGCCATTGCAAGTGAGGCTTTGCAAGGGATTCGGCTAGTCAATGCATGTGGTGCTCACGAGCGCATCATCTCCAGGTACAGTAAATGGGTTACCAAGGCTATGGAGCGATCGCAAAGGGTTGCCCCCATTATCGGCGCTCAGACGGGCTTAGTAGTATGTTTTAACCTCCTTTTCCATCGTTGTAAATCAAGTGCATCGAGCTGATTGCGTATACAGTTCTTTGGCATATTTGGTGTATTCGGTCTTGCTTTCTGGTACGGCACGCAACAGTTCATCCATGGCGTTATAAAGAACGTGGGGGTAGTCATCATTGTGTTGACGTCGGTTATGCTGATATTATTTGCCTTCTCATACCTGGAACAGCCAATTATGGCCATAAGTCAAGCTATGGTTGCTGCCACTGAGCTATTCAAAGTGATCGACGCGCCTTTGCCGCCAATGGGCTCTCTCACACCTGACATCAATTCGAAAGATCTAATATTCGAGGATGTAACCTTTGAGTATCCAAGCCGGCCCGGAGCTCGAGTGTTGGACGGTCTTTCGTTCCGCATTCAAGCGGGTCAGAATACTGCACTTGTTGGTCCATCTGGTTCTGGAAAGAGCACGATTGTTGGCCTGCTAGAAAGATGGTACTCTTTGAAGCATTCTCAAGCCCTTCCTGAAGCAGCCACACCGCCGTCCTCGAAAGAAGGAGAGCTCGACAGCCATGACAAGCCAAAACATGAGCGAAGCACATACGAAGTACCCGTCATGTCACCGACCAACTTGACTGGTGGTTTGTCCGGATCTATCAGCATTGGTGTTCACGGCTTGGATGATCTCGAAGCAAAGTGGTGGAGGGCACAGATCGGTTTGGTTCAACAAGAACCTTTTCTGTTTAACAGCTCCATCTTTGAGAACGTCGCGAATGGTCTTCTCGGTACCGAATGGGAAAATGAGTCCGAGGCTAAGAAAAGGGAAATGGTCCATGATGCATGCCAAGAAGCATATGCTCATGAATTCATTTGCCGTCTACCAGATGTAAGTTTCCACCAATTATCCGTATTTACGACACGAACAGCTCTTCTAACCACGAGATTGTCTATCTAGGCGTACGACACACGCGTAGGAGACGGCGGCGCAAAGCTATCTGGCGGCCAGAAGCAGCGTATTGCTATTGCCCGCAGCATCATCAAAAAGCCACAAATTATGATTCTCGATGAAGCCACCTCTGCAATCGATGCAAAAAGCGAGAAAATAGTCCAAGCAGCCCTCGATCGAGCCACTAAAGCCCGTACAACTATCACTATTGCCCATCGTCTTTCTACCATACAGAAGGCAGACCATATTGTCGTGCTCAGCAAGGGTCGTGTTGTCGAGGAGGGCACACACAAGAGTCTCATGGAGCACGAAAATGGGGTGTACTATAGTTTGGTCCAGGCACAATCACTTCGACTGTCAACGTCAACCACGGATGGCACAGATCCTGACGTCCCATCCACGACATATGTCGAGCTGAAGAGTGCTGCCGTCGACATTGAACAACCGTTGGAGGTTTACAACGATAACAAAAACAGCCCCGACGTTGAACCTGAGGTACTACGGACACTAACACAGTCTTTTGTAAAGTTGCTTCATGGTCTTCGCTCACAATGGCCCTCTTTTCTCCTTATCGCCATCGCATCCATCGGTGTTGGCGCAGCCACCCCGCTCCAAGCCTGGCTCTTTGCCAAAGCCGTTATTGTCTTTGTCTCACCTAGCAATGATTTGAAGAAAGAGGGCGACTTTTGGGGATTTATGTGGCTCGCGCTAGCAGGAGGTGTCGGTGTTGCTTACTTCTTCCAATGTTGGACCAGCCTGAGTCTTCAATATTATGTTGGCGCAACAACAAGGGAAAGTTATCTCCGCGACATGTTACATCAAGAGCTACGCTTCTTTGACGACGACAGTCGCTCTTCAGGCGCTTTGATTGGGCGTATCGCGGGCGATCCCAAACAAGTCGAAGGGGTCTTCGGGATGAACTTGGCTTCCGCAACCAGCAGCGTTTTCACTATCGTCGGCTGCCTCATTATCTCACTCACATTTGGCTGGAAGCTTGGTCTTGTAGGATTATGCGTCACGGTTCCTATAATGATGGTGTCCGGGTTTTGGAAGTTTCGGCATGAGCTCCAATTCGACCAAATGAATGCGGCTGTATTCGCAGAGAGCTCACAGTTTGCTTCAGAGGCCATCGGAGCTATGCGAACAGTATCATCACTGACCATGGAATCTGCTATTAACAACCGTTATAAGCAACTATTAGACGGTCATGTTGAAGCAGCACGGCGAAAAGCTCAATGGACTGCTATTATTTTCGGCTTCGCCGAGAGCGCTACACTTGGATGCCAAGCACTTATCCTCTGGTATGGAGGTAGGCTAATCTCCAGTGGCGAATATAGCCTTGAGGCTTTCATGGTCTCTTACATGGCCATCATCAACGGCGTGGAATACGCTGGTCAAATCCTAGGCGTAGCCCCGAGCGCTGCACAAGCTGCTGCTGCTGCAAACCGTATCCTTGATGTTCAAAACTCTAATCGGTCCTCGCAAGAGGCAGCGAAGAGTAGCCCGACGGTGGAGGATACGGAAGGCGGAGTGGAAATTGAACTCCGCAATGTTTCCTTCAAATATCCCACACGAAATGTCTCTATATACAACAACCTTGGTCTTACTATCAAGAAGGGTCAGTACGCAGCTCTTGTCGGGCCATCCGGGTGTGGCAAGACAACAATAGTCTCTTTACTGGAACGTTTCTACGACTTGGAGCCAAACCATGGCGAGATTCTCTGGAACGGGACGAATATCAACGATTTCGGCGTGTATCAGTATCGACAGCATTTGTCTCTTGTTTCTCAAGAGCCCATTCTCTTTCGAGGGACTATAAGAGACAATATCCTATTTGGAGTGTCTGACCCGAGTTCTGTCTCAGAGGAAAGAATTCACGAGGTTTGTCGCGACGTCTTCATTCACGACGTTATCGTCTCACTACCAGACGGGTATAACACCGAGATCGGTGCCATGTCTCTATCTGGTGGTCAGAAGCAGCGTATCGCCATCGCCCGTGCCTTGATTCGTGATCCGAAACTTCTCCTGCTTGACGAAGCCACCTCAGCGTTGGATTCTGAGTCGGAGAAGATTGTGCAAGCTGCGTTTGAGAAGGCGCGAAAAGGAAGAACTATGGTTGCCGTGGCACATCGGCTTGCGACAATACAAGATGCTGATATCATTTTTGTGTTTGATCAAGGTATGGTTGTTGAGAAAGGCACCCACAGTGAACTTCTCCAAAAGCGTGGTATATACTGGGATATGGTAAGTTTCCCCGTCATCGCTTGTATCTGTTGGCTAACCCATAAACCATTCAGTGCCAAACTCAAGCTCTGGATCAATAGTTCGTCTGATATGGGATCCGGGGATAGGGCAGGCGTTTGAGTTTAAATGCTCGAATAATAGCGATCCAAGTCTATAAATCCATAACACATTGCCCGATCATAGACGCGCCCACCTTACGCTGTTGGAAATGTTTCAATGGTCAACTGACTGAATTATGTAAAATATCTTATTCAATGATACAATGTACAATCTTTTATGTACATTCTGTTTTTTAAGGAGTGTTTCCTAGTAACTTTTTACTTTCTGTCAAGTTCAAGTTCAAATCCTTTCCTGTGCTATATAATGTTCAAAAGTCATATTAACCCCAAGTCCCCTCAAACCCATACTCCATACTACAAAAACGTAAAATTTGTTGAAGTTGCACTTAATCCTCGTCGTCCTCGGGAGCCAGCATCTCCATGGCTGCTGTGACAGTCGCAATTGTCTTTGTGACAGAATCAACCTGCGGCCATTAGTAGCTGCCTTCATCAGGAAGAGCAAATGATTCTTACGTTTCTCGGATCAAAGATGCTAAAGTGGTGACCCTGGATCGGATAACTCTCTTTGATAACTGAAGACCCAGCTCGCTCGTTCCAGCCCAAGGTAGGACTATCTCTGAACTGGTCGACCAAGGACAAAGCTACGTGGTCACTATCCACGTCGTCGCCAGCACACAGCATTACGGTATAGGGTTGCGGCTCTCGTCGCCACACAGGAATTTTCCATTTATGCAACATTGTTACCGTTTGCAACATGGATTTCTCGACATCGCTTCGAGTCGAGGCTGGACCATCTTCCGAGGGAGGAGATTCGAGAGCGAGGGAGAGTGCATGACGATAATCAGGGAAGGGGCTATCGATCATGAGAATGCCCGCGACGTCCACCTTGGGATCTCGAGAGAAGATCCATGCGACTTGGAGTGCAGTCATGCCTCCGAGAGACCAGCCTAGATCTTTCGTTAGTCACGTCCTCGTCGAATATGTCTTATCTATGTGTATATACCGCCAAGCAGAATAGCTCCTTCTGCGACTGTGGATTTAATGAGAGCATAGTACCGGCGACTCATATCCTGAAGACTTTCATCACTGCTGGCTTTGATACGCGAGTGTGCGATGGCGTATACATCACGTCCCAGGAGACCAAGAGCGAGATAGTTAGAAATGGTACCGCTAGCATCGTGAAACAGAAAGAGTGGACTGGCATTCGACCCAGCAGGTCGCTTCTGAATTTGGCGAATCATGGTTGCTTGTAATTATCGTGACAATAAAACGATAGTACTGGAGGTTGAAGCAACAAGGAAAAGATCTCCCTGGCTGGCGGATGATCTCGTGGGGCTAGTTGATGAGAACGATTCTTTGCCAGTAGCAAGACAGGGACAGACTCCATCGACTGAGGGAATTTCCCGTCGTAAGCCATGAACGTTCATGACGGCTAGGCATGTGTGGTCTAGGTCAATGATGAGATCTGAGTACTCAACCAAGTATACCGAATAGGTATGCTGTAAGCCGTCAATAATGAGAATGACAATAAAGAGATGATATCTTGAGACAGAGTTATTCATGTAATAAGTGGGGTAATGGAACGAGCAGGGGTATGGTGCGCTAGGCTGGGATCTTGCCTTTCGAGGCTCTGCATAGCTGCCATATTAGGAAACTCTTGACATGGGTGGGTGTAGTTCTAGCACTGAATGAACGGCTCAAATACACTCCCTCCGTTCGTGACTGAGAAATATCACCTTAGAGGATGTCTAGTTTAGCTCTTACGAGTGTATCTCTTGATTGAAGGAAATGCTTTTGATTAATGGTCTTGAAGTCATTTGAAGAGGAGGAACTGTTGTGAAAAAATATCTATTAAACTTGATCGGGTTCACCAAATGGGCTTCCTAGCTACTGACTGTTACTGTGACTCTGTTTGAAAATCACATTTCGCGAGAACCCCTCTTTCAGTAGACAGCTTATGCGACCAGAAATAGATATCTGACAATGGTATGTTCAACGTTACATTGGGTTCTTTGAAAAAGATCCTTTGCCTCGGTTCGGAGATTCCGTGGCTATGGCCATGGGAGAATACATCCACTATCATTGCCTGTTCGAATGCAGATAGACACTGGTAACGGGAGCTGAATAACCGTAATAGGAACGGTGAATGTCATTATCATTGATGGTGGGCCGGGCTTGGCCTACCTATTCTAGTCACAACCAAGCATGCTGGTATAATCAACCTCTTGATCACCTCAGCCTTGTAGTCTGTTGTATACTATAATACATCGTCCCGATTTTTTCTGTATACTCCATGTTGTCTCTGTAAACTACAATCCTAACTAATTGCGAACAAAATGGCTCCCAACATGTCAGCTCCAGAGCCAATTGCCATCATTGGCATGAGTTGCCGCTTTCCGGGTGGTGCTTCGGAGCCATCCCGTCTGTGGGACACCCTCTCTGAGGGAAAATCGGCATGGAGTGAAGTTCCCGAAGACAGATTTAATATGAAAGCCTTTTACCAACGCGGAGATCCTCATGCAAGCACGACTAATACTGCTGGAGGTCACTTCCTGGATGAAGACCTGTCCAAGTTTGACAGCAACTTCTTTGGAGTGAAACCTCTGGAGGCTCGAGCCTGGGATCCTCAACAACGTCTTACTCTAGAGCTTGCGTACGAAGCATTTGAGAATGCTGGCTTGACCATACCGCAGCTTTGGGGATCCAACACTGGCGTGTATGTTGGTCAATGGAGTTCAGACTACAGTGAAGTTCTGGCGAGAGATCCAGAATATCAGGAACTCTATCATACTCTCGGCGCTGGTCCAGCAATTACATCCAACAGAGTCTCATTCTTCTTCAATCTGAGAGGCCCCAGTTTCACGGTCGACACGGGCTGCTCATCAAGTCTTGTCGCATTGCACAATGCCGTGCAGAGTCTGCGCAATGGTGAGAGTACCATGAGTCTTGTCGGCGGTGTCAACGTCTTGCTGGATCCTCAGCGTTTTACGTACCAGAGCAAGCTCAAAATGTTCTCGCCCGATGGTCGTTCTTTCTCATTTGATCATCGCGCCAATGGTTATGGAAGAGGAGAAGGTTGTGGATGCGTCGTCTTGAAACCACTTTCACTCGCCGTCAAGGATGGCGACCGAATTCGAGCAGTGATTCGAAACTCCGCATTGAACCAAGACGGCAGAACGCCTCAGGGCATCAGTGTCCCAAGTATGAACGCGCAGGAGGAATTGATCCGACGGGCGTATGCTGAGGTTGGGCTGGTTCCCACCGAGACAGACTATGTCGAGGCCCACGGAACAGGTACTGCCGTTGGTGATCCAATCGAGGCTCAAGCTATTGCTTCTGTGCTTGCTCAAACCAGGAAGCCAGGACAAGAGCCGCTGTCTCTATCTTCAGTTAAAGGAAACATCGGTCACACGGAAAGTGCCGCTGGTATTGCGGGACTGATCAAGTCCGTCTTGATGCTCGAGAACCAGGCTATCCCCCCTCAGGTTAATTATGAGAAGCCGAACCCCAAGATCCCGCTGGATAAATGGAATCTACAGGTAAGTTTATCAGAGATAATTCAGCAGAAAACGGACAGGCTAACTCTTGTCTCAGATCCCGACTCGCTTCGAGGAGAAGCCACTTCACCGCATCTCTGTGAATAGGTAAAGGAAATAGTCCAATTTTATCGAAGTCCTTCATTGCTAATTTACTTGGTAGTTTTGGATATGGAGGCACGAACGCTCATGTGATTGTCGATCGCGCGGGCGAACATAATTACAGCAACGGTACGAACGGTACAAATGGTGCCCATCATCACAATGGCACCAACGGCTCAAATGGTACTAATGGCACTAATGGCTTCCACAATACTGAGAGCATATCCGATATTGCCTCGGAAAGGCCTCGTGTTTTCGTGTTGAGCGGTGCTGAAGAGCAGAGCTGCCATCAAAATGCAGAGCGCCTTGCACAATATCTTACTAAACTTCCAGCATCTCTGTTGGAGGACTCGGATGAGTTTCTTGATAAGCTGGCTGTGTCGGTCAACAAACGCACTGTCCATGACTACAGTTCTTCTATCATTGCTTATGACGGAGAGGACTTGCTTGCACAGCTTGATGTCCTGCAGCAGACACCTGTCGCAATCAGAGCACCTGTCAAGGCAGGAGCTCGCGTCGGATATGTCTTTGGAGGTCAAGGGGCCCAATACTATAACATGGGCCGGGAAATGATCAAGTCTTGGACACCTTTCCGTCAATCTCTGGACAGAGCCAACGCCCATCTCAAGACTATGGGATGTCAATGGGATCTTCTTACCGAGCTGGGCCATGAAAAGGCTCAGGACTCACATGTTGATGAGCCAGAATATGGACAGACTCTCTCGACTGCCATTCAGCTAGCTCTAGTCGATACGCTGGTCGCTGTGAAGATGCGTCCGACATCCGTTGTTGGTCACTCTAGTGGAGAAATTGCTGCGGCTTATGCTGCTGGTGCCCTCTCCTTTGAAGACGCACTGACAGTGGCGTATCATCGTGGTCGTCTCACATCTCAGTTGATCCGTACTGGCATTTCCGGTGGTATGCTTGCCGTGGGCTCATCACCTGATACAATTCAAGACTACATTGAACAGGTCAAGGCAACTACCAAAGCCAATGTGAAGATCGCTTGCTACAATAGTCCAACAAGTGTCACGCTTTCTGGCGACAGCGAAGCTATTAATGCCATCGCCGAACTTCTCCAGGACGATGATGTTTTCAATCGCAAGTTAAAGACACAGGGAGCTGCGTATCACTCACAGATGATGCAGGCGATGGAGGAAGAGTACCGATCCGCCATCGCGCATATTCAGCCACGCCCCGTGGATGCATCAGTTACCATGATGTCCTCGCTGCTAGGAAAGAAACTGCCAGCCGGTTTCCTGTTGGATGGGGAGTACTGGGCTCGAAACCTTGTGTCGCCAGTTCTCTTCGCTGGAGCTCTGAGGGGTATCATGGTAGGCGATGAACATGATGGGACATCACAGCATAGTCCTCAGGTCGATCTCCTTCTCGAGATAGGCCCTCATGCGACAATGCAAGGTGCAGTCAAGGAAACATTGAAGGGACTGGGATCTTCAGTTCGCATCCAATACCTGTCTTGTCTAAAGAGAAAGGCAAGCGCAGCCGAAAACATGCTGCGCACCCTGGCTGATCTGTTTGCCCTGGGTGCCCCTGTTGACCTCCATTATGCAAACGTCGGATTCCGCACAAGCTTACCATCCATCCTGAATGATTTGCCGCCCTATGCATTCAACCATGACCAGCGTCTCTGGCATGATGGCCGTATATCCCATGAGTTCACTCACCGACAGTTCCTCCCTCATGAGCTTCTGGGCAACCTGTCCGCCGATGTTAATCATACTGAGCCCAGGTGGCGCCGTTTCTTGAGGCTGAAGGAGCTCCCTTGGCTGCAACATCACGTTGTGCAAGGTCAAGTTATCTTCCCAGCAGCCGGTTATCTGGCAATGGCCATGGAAGCTATGCGCCGCTTCACGGCATTTGAGACTGAGAATCAGCCTAAGGCGACTGCCGGCTATTCATTCCGCAACACTAGCTTTTCGAAAGCTCTTGTACTCAGAGAGGACGATACGGATACCGAGATCTGCCTGTCTCTGCGACCCGAAGCGAGAAGCGCAAGGAACTCATGGCAAGACTGGAAAGAGTTCCGAGTCTTTTCGATATCACCTGGTAAAGGATGGAGTGAACATTGCCGAGGTCGCATTCGCACTGTTGTCGATGAAAGTATCCTTGCAGATGCTCTCAAGGACACAACTGGAGTCAAGGACCGCATCGCCGCCTCGGTTCCCCATCACATCACTCCCAATCGGTTGTACGCCACTGCACGTCAAGTTGGCATGGAATGGTACGCTCCGTTCGACAATGTCGTGAATCTTCAAGCAAGAACCGATTTGAGTGTGGCCACCAACAAAATGCCAACCCTGTTGAGCTCGGCTCATCCATTCGGGCCGTCAACATATGTTGTGCATCCAGGCATGCTTGACTCAACTCTTTTCCACGGCCTAGTCGCCAGTGTCCTAGTTGAGCAGGAGGTTAAGGCACCTGTGGTGCCTACTTTCCTTGAACAGTTTACTGTCTCAACTGCTATACAAGTTCCTGAAGGCGCGGAATTGCGCACTTATTCTGTCTCCCGGGAGGAAGGTTCTTGTTGGAGCGCCCAGGTTGAGTTGAACGGAGAGTCCGTCATGAGCTTCCATGGATTGAGG